TTGAAACAGGATCTTGAGATGAAGGGAAGGTACAAAGTGAAAAAGGGGTGAGAGAATGAGACTGAGGGGAGAGTGAGGAAATGGATGGGACTCAATACAAATTGGTGAACAAAGTCATCAGTGAGCCAAATGCAATAATGAGCAAAGTGGTTTGAGAGCCATGATTGAGAGAGAGACAAAATTCACAGAAATGTAACAGTATGAATAGGGGGAGTGATGAAAAAAGCAGACTAAAGGGAAATGATAGCACCAGGAAAGAGGAAGGGAGAGGTATTGTGTTTACCAGTAACCAGCCCTTATGAAAATGAACCATGGTTTTATTATAGTAAAATTGTAGTAACCATGTTTTTTTGTGGAATAATTACCATTTGTATAACAAAAACCATGGTTAACCCAAATTAACCCATAGTAACCCATAGAAGCACAAATTTTCAGGTTACGACTGTAACCCTAGTTCACTGTGAAGAGAACCTCCGCGTGATTGCGTCTGAAGTACGTATATCCAATAATCCAAGAGGGAGAGAGGGAACGTCATGTGTGGGTGACGTCACGACCAGGAAAGGATTAATGCACATCAGGGTTGACAGGTGTTAACTTCCATTAGCCGAAGCAAGTCTATCACAGGGATGAAGTAAGTATGGCAGGGTGACAGACACTTTTCTGAAACTGTATCAAGGGGCTCGAATGAAGCCACAGATAAGCCTTCTAAAACAACAGCAGGTCCCAAGCAGGAACTCTGGTTCGAATCGCTGGTCTCAGCCTCAAAGTACCACGAAGGAAACAAGTGTTGTAGATAAACCTAATTACCAACCAATAATACTTATACTCTGGCGTGTCTACTCGTCGACGTCGGCCTAGTCTAACAACCATCACTATGCCAAATCCAGCCCCAGTGTTTTAACTGATTGGTGAGTCAATCTCCAGAACTTCGACTCGGCTCGCCTTTGTTTGGTTTTCCACTGTGTAAAAGTTGTACCTGTACCTGCTTTCGGGTACTTTTTTGGCATCACCTCCGGCAAGGTTCTGAGCAAGCTGAGGCGATACTAAAATCTTCTGAGCAACCTGAGGCAGTCAAAAGCAGAAGGTTTTGAGAAGCAGGTTGTCACAAAACTTGCATTTAGAGAAGCCTAAAACAGCCTCGCGCGCATGCGAAAAACCCATACATTTAACACACTTACTGTGAGGGTCGTCATTCGCAATAAAGCTATCGCAGAGTGGCGGGGAACAACAAAATTCCATGGCACTTCACCGCAAGTAGAACTGAGTTCCACTATTCACAGTCGCTGAAGTGCAGATGAAGAATGCTGATGCAAATCTGAATTATTTGGCCAGAAAAACTGAGACAGAAGGGCTTAAAATGAAGGCTTCGTGAAGGCAGAGAAATCTGAGCAGATGGCGCAGGCATGCTAATATAATATGACGACGCAAGGGAGTCGGGGTGGCACCTGCGAATTGCCATGATTCTATAAGGTTAGACATCTGTCAAGTTCATTTCCCATTTTTGTTATTTTTACACTCACACAACCAAAGTCATGAGGTTTCACTAATTTCGAACACTGCATTTTTTTAAAATGTTAGGATGCCTAAAAGGGAAGTAAGGTAAGAATTAGTCATTAGAAACAAAGGGGTAACAAAGTCAGGTAAAGATTTTTCATAAGGTTAGATAATCTAAAGGTCAGATTTTTAGAGTCAGAAACATGATAGTTCTAAAAGATAGTTTACTATCTTATCATTAAAAATCCACCACACAAGTTATTAGAGGGTTCCTCCCCTAAGATGCTTTATCCACAGGGGCAAGGTAAGCCGCTATGGCTGCCACATAAACCTTTAAGGTAGATGGGGATATCCCTGCCGAAAAGCGAACTTGTAGAAACCAACCCGGCAGTTAACTGGACCCTATTGTTGCATATGCACCAAGAAGTGAAGACTTTACACTTCAGGAGGTTGAGTTGGGCCCCCTGTGAGTTGGGCCCTCTCAGGCCGAATCCACAAGTTCCATATTTCCGGGCGGGGTTGAAAAATCGCTCCTCCCGCCTGAGACAGCGGAATCTCCAAGGGAGACCCGCTGAGGAGGGACACTAGGCCCGAGAACCAAATCTGGCGTGGCCAATATGGTGTTAAAAGCAGTAGACTTATTCCGTCCTGTGGGACTTTCTCTAACTCCTGAGATCAGAGCAACTGGGGGAAAAGCATATGGCTGTAACCACGGCCACGTCTGTACCATTGCGTCTGATGTGCAAGTTTCAATTAGGGGAACTTAGTTCTAGGAACTACCAACAGAGTGGTTCCTGGTTACCCTAGGAACATTTTCCTGGTTGTATTCGCATTACTTTATTAACCAACATTATTAATTAGAACTGTTAGAAACCCTATTCTCTGTAGAGTGAAGGGACCTGTTGTGATGGATTTTTAATTAATAAAATAGCAAACTGTATATTAAACTAACAATGATTCTAACCACTAACCGACTTCCTTTTTGTACTTACTTGCTTCCCTAAACTGACCTGCTGTGCAGCAGTAATAACAGACAGACCTCAGCAAATGTCCTCTAAATGCTTTAATTACGGCCGGGAGATCTTTCTGAGCAGTTCTCAAATCTCCCAAAAATAACCAATAAGCATGGCCGGTGGATTTCAGACACATTCCATTGAGAATCCCACCAGTAAACACGAATACAACAGTTTTTATAGAATAGGGGTATGGCAAAATTACATGAAACATTACATATAATTTTCCATAAAAGCCCTCTTGTTACCCGGTAATCAAAAGATTCAAGGTTAGACATCTGTCAAGTTCATTTCCCATTTTTGTTATTTTTACACTCACACAACCAAAGTCATGAGGTTTCACTAATTTCGAACACTACATTTTTTTTTAAATGTTAGGATGCCTAAAAGGGAAGTAAGGTAAGAATTAGGCATTAGAAACAAAGGGGTAACAAAGTCAGGTAAAGATTTTTCATAAGGTTAGATAATCTAAAGGTCAGATTTTTAGAGTCAGAAACATGATAGTTCTAAAAGATAGTTTACTATCTTATCATTAAAAATCTACCACACAAGTTATTAGAGGGTTCCTCCCCTAAGATGCTTTATCCACAGGGGCAAGGTAGACCGCTATGGCTGCCACATAAACCTTTAAGGTAGATGGGGATATCCCTGCCGAAAAGCGAACTTGTAGAAACCAACCCGGCAGTTAACTGGACCCTATTGTTGCATATGCACCAAGAAGTGAAGACTTTACACTTCAGGAGGTTGAGTTGGGCCCCCTGTGAGTTGGGCCCTCTCAGGCCGAATCCACAAGTTCCATATTTCCGGGCGGGGTTGAAAAATCGCTCCTCCCGCCTGAGACAGCGGAATCTCCAAGGGAGACCCGCTGAGGAGGGACACTAGGCCCGAGAACCAAATCTGGCGTGGCCAATATGGTGTTAAAAGCAGTAGACTTATTCCGTCCTGTGGGACTTTCTCTAACTCCTGAGAGCAGAGCAACTGCTCCAAAACACATAACACACAAGTTGTGTGTATTCCCAGCCGTTAGGAAGTGCGGGCAGGGAGAAGCACACTGCTTGAATGTTTGGTTCGCCGTATGTGATATAGTGACTGCACAATCTCGGGACGGACAACAATAAACAAGACACACAGTTTGACATAGAGCGCTTGCTGAGGCACGGAAGCTAACGCCGTTCATTCCGGATGTTAATTTATCCTTTCCTGGTTGTGACGTCACCTGCCCGTGACATTTCCTTCTCACCATTGGATTAGTTGACATACATGCTTCAGAAGCAATCACGCGGAGGCGTTCCCAAAGAGTCATTGCCGCAGCGCAAGTTCCCTTAAAAAGGGAAAGATGTAGAGCCAAAAGAACAGCATAGACATTAAATCGCCTAATCATTAAATAGCCTAATAATGATAATAGTTCTCATGCAGACTTGCATGTACCTTTAGCTCAGGTTGTTTAGAAATTCCAAAGTCATGGGTTTGAAATGGCCTACTTTTAAACTGTATTCCTTAAATCTGCAAGTTATTATTTGGATTTAAACATGTCTGCCAAATTAATAAATCTAATGTAAATCTAAATAGAATCCTTGACGAGACGCACCCCTTCGGTAGTTTTAGTGTTTTCATGTTTTATCACAGATTCAGAAAATGTCTTTACCTGCAGTAGAGTCGTTCACAAGCTGCTTGTGCTAGTGCATCTTCGCAGGTTTGATTTGGCTGCATGTTCATATTCACTTTTTTTCAGCGTTCTTTCGGTTTTTGCTATCCTTTTTTACCAATTCATGGATTAGGGTCCAGTTATATAAACGCAGACTGTCTGACCAAACAGTAGCAAAGATATTCAGTCTTACTTTTTTCGTTCTCAAAAAAGACCAAACTCAAACCAATTTGTTTATGCAACTGATTAAATAAAAGTCATATGACTCATTCTTAATAATAATAATAATTATATTATTATATACATAATATTTATTACACATATATATGTTTAAGCAATTTATGCAACAGGCCTCATCACTTCTGATTCTTTCCAAACAACAGAAAACGCGATGCGTGTCATAATGCTAGAAACGTTAACAGTAAATGTTGATAAAAGTCAATTAATGATTCCCAAGTGAAATTAGCTTGGAAAATTTGCTACCGCAAAAAGGTGGCGCCCTAGTTGGCTTAATGGGTTGTCTAACCATTAATCGATTTGCTGTTTTCTTTTTACACAGTAACGTCACAAAATATACATCTGGACATGATAATGTTGTTGATATTCACGTAGTCGTACAACTGAAAGTGAAAGGACGTTTCCCAGAACGTTTTACATCGCAGGCTGCCAGTTGTTGGCTTTTACTGGCAATACAAACACATTATCTTAAAAACCACAACATTTCCGCTTCCATTTCAGAAGATGATGAGCATGAGCACGTGAATGAGAAAATGGTTGTTGGTTTCATAAATGTCATAAATGAATATTATTATTTAGACAATTATTAGAAACATTTCTTAACAATAAAATATTTTTAAAATGTAGATTATTTAATGCATCAACAAACGTGCACAATTAGTAATGTGTTCGCTAAACATTTCAAAATACTGTAGAAAAAAACGTTGAGCTCGGATCAAAATCAAATATGTTTCCAGGTGAATACAAATGTAAAAAAAAAAATATTTTAGATTTAAGCTATTTTTTGTGTTTCATAACTGTCATTCAATGTAAATACATATAGAGCAAGCTCAATAGATGTGTCAAAGATGCAGTTTCTATTCTGTTTGGAAAACAGCACTGTAAAATATGTCTGTACAAACAGATAAACATAGTGATAAGAACAAGTCCAGGACAAGATAAAATGAATAAACTCTTATTTAAAGGAATAGTTTACCCTTGTGTTGTTCCAAACATGTATGAAATGCCAATTCCGATTCATAAAAACCTATTTAAGAATTGGATCAACCGATTTATTGAAAATAGCTCAAACAAATGATTTGTTAATAAATAAGACATCACTTCTTATCTCCTGAATGAGCTAAAGCTAGGGTGAATTCAGTGAACAACATTTTCGCTGTTCCTCGCACAAAGCTATAGTAATAGCTCTGCAAGACTTGGAATATAATGTTATGGTTGTATGGGCTATTTTTATAATACTTCTATGGCGTCTTTGAACTTCATTCAGGAAAAAAAATAATCATACAGGTTTAAAATGACATAAGGGTCAGTTAATGACAGAATTTAATAGCTCATTTTTGGTGAGCTATTCTATGGAGTCAACAATACCAAAGTTAAATATAGCTGCAAGCAGCAATTATCGGGCCCAAGTGTAAAGAAGATGAAAAGACAAGCCAACGTGGCCAGGAGTGTCAGACCAACTGCAGCAAGGAGCAATTAAATACAATTTAAGATGATTTTAGGCAAAATGGCTGAATAATCATATATACAGTCACTAATAATATGATCTAGCGGTTTGACCATTTGGACTTTCGACCAATCGGTGGCTCAATTACGAAATTGATGTGGTGTGGTCAGAGTGAGGTGACAATGACACATGTTAAGTTTGGTGTCAATATGTCAAGGCATTGCAGAAATAAAGCCTGAATAGTCATGTTGGCATCATGCCTCAACTTTGCTGCTGCGGTATACGAAAACAGTTTCATCTATTGAGATAAAATCCATAACATTTTGTCGGCACAGTCTGGAGATTTTGGTGAAAATCGGACAAACGGTCTAGGAGAAGTCTAGACCCCTAAATACACAAGTGTTTTTGAATACATGTACTATCAGGATTTCATCAGGTCATGTACACTGAAATGATGAAAGAAGTATAAGAAAGGTTTTTTTTCCCTCTCCCCCTGTTTATGTCTTTCATTAGTGTCTTTCAGTCTGAGCCAGACTCCTCAGAGCTTGGCGGTGTACTGACCGCTTCTTCTTCATCATCAGACCCCTGTATAAAAAGAAGTAGGCACAGAGAATGACAGGAAGACAATGAACATAGTGAATACATTTTCCCCCTAATACCCACTGGTATAAGATCAAATCTGAAAAAGGGCAATAAAATATATACAATTATTAAATTCTAAAAAGTGTCAGGAATTCTGGACACATAAATCAAAATTTGGATGGGATCATATTCATAGCAGAGAATAGAGGATCAAAAACAAATGACAACAACAAAAATCAGTGTCAGAGAAATCAAAACAAATTGTACAATTGGACACTGGGAGACACATTTAAGTTTCATATTAAGACTAATTATTAAAATCCAAAGAATTATCTGTTTATATTATTTAAGGTACCTGAACTAACATGAACTAACAATAAACAGTTGCATTTTTATTAACTAAAGTTAACAAAGATGAATAAATACTATAACAGCTCATTGTTAGTTAATGTTAGCTACTACATTAACCAATGCTAACTGATGGAACATCATTGTAAAGTTTTACTATTAAAAGTCATACTGCTCTTTTTTTATTCTTGAGGTAAATCTTGAAATAAATCATTAGTATTGTTCCTAAAAAATTAGACAGAATTTGCTTTATTTTTTATTCAACAGCTCAACAAAACTGAACATTTTTTATGGCTTGATACTTTTGTTATTTGTTGTTTGTAGGACTATATATATATATATATATATACATAATCCTGACATTTGGGCAATACTTTGGTGTTGTTTGACAACCCTTCTTTTAGTATGTGATGTACATAGTATGATGTAGTTTTAAAAACATACGTTTCTGAACTATATAGTTACCTACCTTCCAAACTATGTACTATGTTGCGCTGTTGCTGTAACTATGTTGTTGAGTGAAACTGTTTCCATTAGATAGACAATTTTGTTAAGCGTGTGTTAGTGTTACCTTGCGCTTCCGTCCCTTCCCTCTTTCTGACTCTGATGAGCTCTCTTCACTGGATATGAACTCTCGACTCTTAAAGCTGTCGTTGCCTGTTACTCGTTCCTTCTCTTTCTCCTTCCCACCGCCTGACTTCTTTTTCTTCTTTTCTTCATTCTTCCCTCCTTTCTTTTTCCTCTCCCTTCAGGAATAAAATGTGGGAAAAGAGTGATAAAGCCTATTATTAATGCTGACATCAATGGTGATTGTGAGTTAATAAATGACATAATTTTCATTTTTGGCTGAAGCAGTAAGTCGTAGGACTAGGCTATTTCACTATTTTGAGTACTTTTTAGAGCTGCTTGAGGATCCTCCACCACTCTCCTTGTACTCTCTCATGGCTCGCTCATAGTCTTTCTTTGCTTCCTCTGCTTTTCCTTCCCACTCCTGTTGGAATGAACAAGACAAAGGTATCAATTCAAGTTTTAAGAGAAAACAATCTGAGGCATTAAAAGGATAATTCACCCAAAAATGAAAATTAGCCCTCGAGTCAGATCATCCTAAGTGTATATGACATTCTTCTCTCAGACGAATACAATCAGAGTTATATTAAAAAAATGTTCTGGCTCTTCCAAGCTTTATAATGACAGTGAATGGCCGTTTCTGTTTTGAAGTGCTCCACATGGCTCCGGGGAATAATAAATGCCTTCTGAAGCGATGTGTATCTCTGAAAAATTCTAGCTTCCGGCTAAACGCAGTCTACTTTTGGCGTAGAATTAGTGTAGTGCATCATGGCGTAGCGTAAATACCTGCAGTATGTTGCATTACTTGCATAAGTTATGCTCAGACTTAAGTCGAATGCTAGTTATTTTACTTTATAAAGTTTTAAATAGGAATATTTTTCTTAAACAAACGCATCACATAACCCCCCGGAGCCGTGTGGAGCACTTTTATGATGGATAGATGCACTTTTATGGACTTCATAACAAAAACAGCCATTCCCTGCCATTATCAACCTTGGAAAAGCCAGGAGAACATTTTTTATATAACTGCGATTGTATTTGTCTGAAAGAAGAGAGCCATATCCATCAAGGATGACTTGAGAGTGATGTAATTTAATCATGGGTTAATTTTCAATTTTTGGGTGAACTATCCTTTTAACATTTGGAAGGTCCAAGTGAATAGAGAGTCACCTCTTTCTTGTCTTTGGTGATTTGTTTCCACATTTCCCCAGCTTTTTTTGAGATTTCTGTGACAGAGATGCCTGGGTTCTCTGATTTAATGCGGTCTCTGCTAGAGTTCAACCAGAGCATGTAGGCACTCATTGGCCTCTTGGGGGCGTTAATATCCTTTGCCTTTTTCTACACACAAGAACACACAAAGTAGCACTGAATTTGTAAGTACTTGTACTGCTTGTAAACTGCTTGTTCTTTCTTTTCTCACCTCTTTCTTGCGTGGTTTTCTTTCTTTTACAAATTTAGCTTTCTTGGCTGGTTTCTTCTTTCGGTCTTCATCACTGTCCCCGCCATCAGCGCTGCTTTCACTGGCAGAGGCCTTACTGTCATACCTGACACACACAAATACCTGTATGACTTTATCAGGTATCAGATTTTTTCATTTTAGGAAGAAAGTGTAAGAGTGTTAACACTAGAGTGTTATGTGTGTTTTTTATTATCAAATTTCATTGATAGTAAGGTACTTTTATAGGTGCTTTTTTTTTTTTACTAATTTGTTTGTTAATATTTATAGTTATGAGTGTGTTCAAGTATGAGCAAAAGTAATACTGATGTTTTACTTAGCAAGCACCACTAATTGAAGCTGTCGCAAACAGATAAATGCAAAGCCTCTTACTCCTCTGCTATATCATCATCTTCTTCTCCAGGATTAAAAGATTCATCTGGGAGGAGAAAAAAAGTAATTTCAAATGTTAATTTATCTCACACAACACATACTCTGTTCAGCCAAGCCAGTTGTAATTTATGACACCCAAATACAGTTGCAGGTAGGTGTGGCTAATATAAACAAATTCTTATCTCAATGCGAGTAATTTTATTTCATGAGAACAATATATATCGCAATATAGTTATTTTTCCTGGAAATAAGGTTGTTTTGATACTAAATTTTAAAGTTACTACTGAAATTTCACAATTTTCTTAAACAAATTCGATATCACAGCATAAAGCAATACTATCCTAACTAGCATAAGTCATCATAGTTATAGAAAACAAGTAAACAGTCATTAATAAAATAAGAATGATTGGCTCAGAGAGCTAACACTCACCACTCTCGCCCTCTGAGTCGTCACTGTCATTGCCCTCCTCACGGATCTTGCCCTCTTCTTTCATGCGCTCCAGGTACGCATCATGCTGGTCGTCGTCCGAGTCGCTGTACATGTTGTCATTACCTTTCATCCCCTGATAGAATACAAATAAAAATTATATCAATGCAATATCAACATCGTGTCATTGCAAAGTTAGTATTTGTAACAAAGCGGACACAGGAAACCCTCTCCAAGCATAGATTTCAAACCCATTCATGTTCCCATCCTCATCGACCTCTCTCTCACACACACACACACGCGCACACAGTACTTTCATATCAGCAATCAGTGTTAACTCACTCAAAAGCACTCCCTTGAGCATTGCTGTGTTCATAGCACACACAACTGTTTAGATTAGAAAAGGTTTTTTTTGTAAAGCGACCACAACATTAAATACAGAGTTCAGATGAAATACTGTTGCAGTCTGATAATGACATCGGAGTGATCTTAACACAGCGTTCACGGGTCAAATCATAAACCAGTGAGCCTGCCCACCGTTTGGTGGATGAGAAATCTCCTTTAAGCCTTCAAAGATATGAGAGAATGCTTTCGATACTCGGTTGTGATTGTGACACGCAAACAAACACCATGCAAGCAAGTTATTGGAGCACCGACACCAAACCGCGGGACAATACCAACCTTTTTCTACATGAACACAATACAGACATACAGCACAAACACAAAGAGTAGAATGAGTGTACGTCCACTGTGTGAAAGGGTCTATATGGACATGTCTATGCAGATGAAAATGGTGATAGGACAGAAAAAGGACTGTAGCTGTACCTCTTTAAAGCCTCTGTTCTTGATGCTTAACTTCTTAGCATTGACGAAGTCAAAGAGTTTCCCATATTCTTCCCTAAAGAAGAAGGTGAAGATAGATCGAACATATAAAAACAAAGAGAGGATGAAGGCTCTTTTAGTGAGTTAAGGCGATAACTACAACAATAACTATATTAGCGTCCACAACAATGGTGATAACATTGTTTTTTTCTAAGAGCACTGCACTTATGTCGTCTGCTGCTTTATAGGTGGAGTAAACAATTTCTGAGAAACTAAAAATTGTGTTTGTACATAGTCCTGGTTGTGTAAATAGGAGAAAGAACTGGATCGGACTGATCAGACTGAGCACCACAATATTCTCATAGCCAATCAGGAGTAGGGGGTGTATACGCTCATGATGGGGGAGGAGAGAGAGTGAGCAAGCAGGACATTTGTAGAAAGAATGTAGAGAACGAGATGCCGAGGTGTGTTTGTTTGGGTGTCAATTTCAAATATCAACAGTGTTTCTCAGAAATTGCTTTAAAGTTGGGTGGATTCTGATTGGCTGTCCATGTTTTTATCATTCATCAGCTGGAAATATGTCATTATCAATATATCCGTGGTGTGGACTTCCATATTCATATAAAATTAGAGCGAAAATTTTAACTTTATAGTTAAGTTAAGCGCAGTACATTTTTTGTGTGTATTGTTTTTACCAAAAAAAAAACGTACCAGAATGGTTGAAGAATGTGTTAAAGGGATAGTTCACTCAAAGAATGACATTTCTGTCATCATTTACCTAACCTATATGACATAAGTGTTTTTGACTTTCATTGCATGGACAAAAACAGAAAGTCAAACAGGTTTCGAACGAAACAAGGATGAATTGTTTTCAAGAAACTGTTGCTTCTGCCACATTAATGTGATGTGTTAGTGTATTGATTCAGTCATAATATGGACCCAACTGAAAATACTGTAATGTGCCTAAAGTAACTTTGTTCCCCTTAACATCTTATGTAGAAGGGGTCAGGTCACTAATAGAGAGAGGCCCTTTTACTTCAGTATGAGATAAAGCAGAAAGAATCACCACAAAGAGGTAGCATAGACTTTCTATGGCAGATGGGGGTTAAGTGCTCAAGGACATAATGACAGGAAGTGCCTTAAAGAGGATAATGGACACTGGTCTTTTCATTACTGGTATGGTCAAGTTCCCACAAAGCTATGTTCCCGACAAGTGGGCAACAATAACATTAGGCTTATGGGTACCTCTCGATGCTGCTGAAGGTGTACTGATTGCCCTGCTTGGTCTCAATCTCAAAATCGAAAGAGCGAGTGGTGGTGGTTCCACGGGCGAAGTTCACGCAGGCGATCTCTTCAAAGCGGAGGTGCACCGGAGGCTTGTGCACATAGATAAAACCTCTTTCCAAAGGATACAACAGCCCTGAAGTGGCCTTATATGAACATGTTATACACTGAGCTCCTGAGTGACTACAGAGAAGAGAAGGAAACATAATGATAGTGGAATTAAACAGACTTCATAAAATTTGTACTGGTATTATGTTATACTACATACAGTAATGTTCAAAATCTTGGGGTCAGTAAGATGTTATTTTTTTTTAAAAGAAATTCATACTTTTTTGCAGAAAATATGCATTAAAATTCAAATAGAAATCAGAAAATTGAAATTAAAAATTGTATTGATAAATTTACTGTTAAAAATAAGAAATAAATCACAAAGATTGGATTCAATGGCAATGTTTTGGACATTAAGGAAAGGCCTTTAGGTGTATATTTCATTATATTTATGCATTTTCTATACTCTTTAATGTTTAAAGATATAATATTAACAATGTGTAAAAGAAGCTACATATTGTTTTGTTAGATGTCAACATAAATTTAAATAATGTAAATAATACATTTATTTGTTCATTTTATTAATATTGTAATAAAATTATATGTTTTTAAAACAGAATATTACTTTATTTGACAGGCATTTACTGTAGTAAATTTTGGTATATTATTTATATGTTTTGTATATGTGTTTTACCCTTGGAAATTTCCAGGCACTGTGATCTTCCTGTTGACCAGGGCCTTCATGACTCTGCTTACCATCTCATAGAGAGAGCCAGACATGTTTTTATTAAGTTTTCCTTCAAAACGTCTCTCCACCTCATCCCTGCAAAACAGGGAAACAGAGAGAAATAATACTGCTGGATGGCAACACATGTGAATGAATCAGGAAATGACAGCAGAAAATCAATTCAATTGTTCAAGTGAACAATTCCTTTTACTCCATGTTGCTCCAAGGTTTAGTGTCCTGTAATTTGCCTAGGATCAAGCCTCTGCTAAATGAAATAGTATCATTGACCTTGTTGAAGTAAAACAGCTCCTCAGGAAGAGTTTTTTTGACATACCACCTCACAGAATATAGCTAAACATAACTGCACACAAAATTAATTTCTCTTTGGTATCTCCTTTTAGTCTTGGCAGAAAATGTAAAGAGTTTATTTATGACACCCATCACATCCTTCACCGGTCTTACTCATTCTCTGTCTCTCGCTCTCACTCACTCGTTCATGTTGAGAGTGAGGCTGATGTCCTCTTCTTTGGAGAACAGAAGAATGAGAAAATGGTAGCGGGTTTGACCCTGTTTAATGGGTGGGTCCAGACTGATCTGAAAGAGAAGGGAGGTTGCAGGTCTCATATCAGACAATCAGACACACAGCCAAACTAGATTAAAGTCCTCTAATACTAGCCCTAAAGATGGATCAGAGACTGTTTTACAGACTATGATGCATCACTTACCACAAAGAACATCTGCCGCTGGTCTTTATGAGGCAACAGGAAAAGGCGGAGCACTGTGGTGTATGGGATCTTGTAGTCAAACGTCTTACCATGCAGATGGAGGAATGTCGGATAAATACGGATATCGTATCTAGAGAGAGAGGAAAAAAGTCATGTTCTGCTACTTCACACTTTTTTTATTTTATTTTAAAGGCAAACCTGAAAAATTGTGAGGTAAATATCTTGGTGTGTAGGTGTATGTACCTGCCCCTAGGTGTGAGACACTGCAACTCTCTGAAGATACACACAGCATCTCCTGTGGCCTGGATGACATCTGCTTTGGACAAAACGTTCTGAGCAAATGCCTAAAACAGCAGAGAAGAGTATTGTGGCCTCAATTTGCATTTCAGTTTAAGTTGGCTTTAAGGATGTAAATGTTGTACTTTAGGGTAGAGGTTTTTAAACTGGGATTTGGGGAACCCCCGGGGGCCGCAAAGGAATGAAGAGAGAGAAAAACCCATGTCGAATTTAGAAATAAATGCATAATAATGATAAAAAGAGATGAAACTAAACAAATAATAAAATTATTCAAATAAATATTTAAATAAATACATTCTAAATTATAAATAACACATCTAGCAATACATTATTTATAAAGTATACTTATTCATCTAACAATAGTATGGATTTTCTCTATATTGTAATCATTATGATCACAACTTGTAATATTTGCTTAAACGAGTTCATTATTTCTGCCTAAATTATTACATAGTATTAGCTAACTGGTTGATTTATATTATCTTAGAACTGTATATTTTTGACATATGGACATTACTTTGACACAGTCATGTCTGAAAACAGATCACTCTAAATTGTAATGTACAAACGTGCATTTTTCTTTTAAGCTTCTTTGAAATGATATGCATTGTGAATTAAATTAAATTGTACCATAGTGAGTAGATTTTTTAAAACCATTTCAAACATAAAATAAAACTACATTTTCCCCAAATAATATTTTAAACATTTTTATAATATTAATTTTTACAGTATAATTTGGGTTTTTATACAAAAAAATGTATAGTTTTTGTAAAAATGCATAGTTTTTTCACAAAAAATGTTATAGTTCTTTTAAATTTTTTATATAAATGACATTTTTGAAATAAAATTTAAAATAATAATTCTTTTAAATAGGATTGGGGTACCTTGCATGAGGATGATCTTATTTGGGGGTCCGTCATGGCATCTAAAAGATTGAAACCCTTTGTTTAGGGGCATGTTATGATTGTTGCTTGGTAAACTACGCCATCTGCTGGTCAGTGTTAGGTAGGGGTGGACACGCACACACACACACACACACACACTCACGCAAACACACTTACCTCCACAGGGTCTGAACCTTCATCTCCTGTGCTGGGGGGGACGTAGAAGCGCACCTCCATGAGGGATACCTCTGTGTCATCATTCTGATGAAACTCCACCGTGACCTCATTCTTTCCTGTTGCACACTGGGATACACTGGAGAGTGGAATCTCAAATGCAGGACTGTCATTTACCTCGAATGAAAGCAACGGCCCTGAAAAGCCAAGGGGGCAAAGAGTTTAATACCTTGAAATGGCAGTGAAAAGGCATTTTCAAGCTAAGTGTATTAAAAATGCTATGCTGGAACATGAAATTGGTTAAACAAACTCAGTAAACTTATCGGCAGAGGCTGATGATTAAACAATGACAAATATCTACTTATATAATATATATAATACTAATCTATCTTTCTATTATAGACCATAGAAACTTCATTCTTAAAAATAAAGGTTCTTTATTGACATCTATGGTTCCATGAAGAACATTTTACATCCATGGAATGGTTTCATTGCACAAAAGGTTCTTTATACTTCTTTAGATTATTAAAATGTTTTTCTCACTTTTTTAAGAAAAACGCATTGCTGAAATATCCCCTATTTGGAACCTTTATTTTTAAGAGTGTTGAATTAAGTCAAGTCACTATACAAGATGCAACTGTACATATCTCAGCAATAGCGATGCTTCAGGATTGCACTGACCATTAAATTTAGCTGTTCCCCAATTCCAGCCCTTCACACACATATCTTTCTCCATCAGCTCCACTTTGTAGTTGGCTTTGAAGTACTCAGAGATCTTGTCAAGGTCCTGTACATGAAGAGATGGATGAAAATGTAAGGCATTGAATGAAAGGGTGGAGGGTGGGAGGTATTTTGATTGATCGAATTATGTATCTCTGACTCACAGTGTCTTTGAAGCCATCATATTTGTAGATGTGACCAGTGGTGGTGCACAGTTTGATGCCGTGACCCAGACAGACTCTCCTCCACTGGGCCTGAGTGAGCTCGGAGACCCCAATGCTGTCCACCTTCCCGGTCTTATTGTTTTTAAACACCACTGTCTGCTTACTGAAGCGCAGACGGCCATCATTCTAAAGAGAGAGGCAAGTCAGTCGTTTTTGTTCAGTGTTTTCTAGAATAACATCTCAGATTAGAAACCAAACTGCTGGAGCCTCTACTCACCCAGCTGCCCTTGACCTCCTGATAAATTTCATTGAATTCAAGAGTGTCACTCATGTCAGCCACTCCAGCTTAGACAGAGTGGACCTGTGACGTTCAAAAGCTGCGACAGCAGGGGTAAAATCATAAATATACACATCATCCCGTATTCATATAAGTTAGCTTATTTCTTTTTCACTGCCTGTGGCATTATGGATTCGCCAGTTAAGGAAAGCTCATAAATGACAACTTTTTTCTTGCAGGTTGGTTTGGATGTAAACAGTTAGCTTTGAGGTGTAAAATAAAACTTTGCGAAATTAAATATTTTGCAGCTGCACACTGTCAATTGTTTTCTAACTATAAACAAATAAATAGAGCTAGCAACACAACCATATTCGGCCATACCTAGCGGCTTGTGTTTTTTCTGTTTTGTTACGAACGACTTATTTTAAATTTACAGTAAATTCCAAGCATTAATAGTTTATTTCAAACAATTGTATTGCATAGCAAATGAAACGTGATATATATGAATCAGAATTACTGTAATTCGGCGAGAGGATCAAGGCCGACTCGAGTCCTGCGTGCGTAGATGTGCGGAGCGCCGCAGAGCTACGCGTTCGTCATCATGACGCCATCACGCTCTGTGCGTGGCCCCGCCTTTCCTATTGAATGTCAGTCTGTTTTGTAAACGATCGAACCACAAAGCGAAAGTTACAAGGATTTGACGGAGACAACTGTCAACATTCGCAAATATTTTATCATCTGACAACGTTCTAGCAGCATTCAGGTATGCCGTAAATTTAAAACATAAGAGAATGCACGTACTACATGCACTTTTGCAGAAGCTATAGTCGAGATGGAAGCATCCATCGATCGATTAATAAACATCAACATTAATGCAATTTTTAATCGAAAATTGGAATGCTATACAAAAATAGATTGTTTGCACTTTGTTATAATACATACATTCGTTTCTTGGTCGAATGGGCTAGACTAGTAACGTTATCTTACCAAAGATCTGCGTGATGCGGATATTGTGTAATTAACAAAATGTGAACCCCTTGTTGTTCACAAAGCAACATTATTCCTTTAACACATAGACTAATTTACTTATCGAATTATCTTGTTGAAATCAATTTAATTTCATGTCAATCATCTTGCTCAATAAGCACTGTGCTCCCTAAAATGAAGAATTCATTCTGAAACACTATTAAATAAAAGATGATCTAACATGAACTTGAGATAAAATTTGGGTTACTCTTTATGTCAATGTTTTACTGTTACAGTGTAATTATACATTTAATTACTGAGTAAATTTAAGTAACTATGTATTCACTATATGGTAATAGTAGGATTACGGTTTGGTTTAGGGTAAGTTGCATGTAATTTATAATTATTACAAATTACATGCAATTTTACAAGTTGATTTTTCATTAACTAACGTTAACAAAAATACTGTAACAAACGTTTCTCAACGTTTAATAATGGGACCTTACTGTGTAAAATGTTACCAACTATTTTTAATTTTAGATATGACACCTAAGCGTGGCCTCATCACCGACACCTTTAAGGTTGTAAAGAAGGCAAAGAGAGGGGGCAAGAGGAACAAGTCTCCTTCCCCGCCAAAAGCAGGTAGGACAGTTTGTTTCATTGTGTGTATGTGCATATTATTTACATGAAAGAAGAGATTTGCAATGTCATTATATTCCTAAATTATGCTAATTATTTAAAAGAGCATTAATAACATGTTATTACTGATCAGAGCCTGAGCCTCCACAATCGAGTGAAAAAGAAAAAGATCTACAAGAATTGAAAAAGTTTGATCTGGACTGGAGATTCGGACCATGTACAGGTACATCATCAGTTTAATTAACCAATATCTTTGTCCCAGTTACATTATTATGCTGTTTATTTCTGTATTTTTCATTTAGCTTCTGAAGCACACTTATATAGAACCCTGAAAACTGTCGGCTTTATCACTTTAAGGTCTTGAATTCTTTTGTTGCAAGCTTTGTCTGTATCTTGTTATTCACATTTTATAGTGTGTTTACTTAAAAAATAAAACTAGGTACTAGTCCTGAACCAATAGCCCTAAACCTAAACTTAACCCATGTAATACCTTATAGACAGAGGTGGCCTTTGCAATTCAGAGGCCTGTTTCTGGAGGCTCCCCATCATTCAAATGAATTGTTAATAACGTGTAACGAAATTCATTTAGAAAATTCAACATAACGAAAACATCACTGTGTTGCTCGGAGACACGCAATGGTTCTGTGGATTTTTGTTTGGAATTCTTGTTGGAAAAATACTGCAAAGACCGACAATGTGCTAGGCTAAGGCTAAGGCTAAGTCACCTAACATTAACTTTGAATGAAATCAATAGACTATGTTGGTGGCATTTTTGCCCTGTAACCCCGTGATTGCCGGGACGGGGCTCTTTTTTGAGTGCCAGCGGACGGAGGCCACTTTTTTCGTGGGTCCGTTTCAAGTGAACGTAGCAAAAGCTACTGCTTATAGGGTAAGATGATCCGCTGCCTTCATTTTTTCTCCTGGCCATAGATGGCACAAACTCTCATCTCATCGTTTTTGCTAAATGGGTATACTATTTTTAATATAATGTAACATACACTTAATATAAACGTTTGTGAGATATAGTATAGTGAGGTAAATTATTATTATTTTTTGTTGTTTCTAGAAAATAGTGATCTATGACATTATATTATGTTGAATAATGTGTGTATTTGTTAATGAGGGATTTGTAAACACATCAGTGTTTTTGGATTTGTGGAGTAAAAAAAATTGTATTTTAAAGTAAAAAGATAAAATGAGACCCTTGGGGTAAGATGAACCCCCCAGAATTGGCACAGAAGGCCCAGGATGGCATGTTGTTACTAGTGTTATTATTTTTAAATGTAATACTTATTGTTATTAACAGGGTCATTTAATATTTCCACGAATTAGACATTTCAGACATCTTCGCCTTCATTTAAACCTACTGAGTGAAATCATTCAGTTTGATTCCAAAGTGTTTCTTCAATGACGTATCTTTAATTAAAATATGGGCAATTAAATATGTAAATATTCTTATGCCTGTAAATAAGTCATAGGATAATTTTAACTTTCAGATTAATTTCTTTTACTGGGATTCAGCTTTGTCTGACATACATTATTCATTAATTTGAATTAAAAACTAATTGTCAAAATAAAATGTTAAATAGAATAGTTGATATATATATATATATATATATATATATCAATCAAATGTTTATATTTATTTTAACACATTGGCTGATGCATCATCTTATGGGGGGCATCTTACTTAGTACTTTCTTGGGTAAATAGACTGTAAGTACATTGAAAATGCATGTACTATAAAATAAAGTGTGTGTGACCCTATGTATGTGTGTGTGTGTGTTAGGAATCAGTCGACTGCAGAGATGGGAGAGGGCAGCACTGCATGGGCTGAATCCCCCGCATGAGATTAAAGACATTGTTCTAAAAGAGTACACTGACCCAGAGTACACACAGAGGTATTCTCTCTTCCTTTTACACATTCAGAAACCACACAAACCAAAGCATTTTTTGCTAACACTCACTTTCCCCTCCTCTGTTTCAGTCTCTGGCGTGACTATCCCCTCTGAAAAAAACAGAAAAGGGTGAAAAGAAGAAAAAACTTGTTTGATTATGTTGTACTACGTTTGCTTTGCTGTTCATCACACTACATTTTATTAAAAAATTTTCTATGCAAAAGCTATCATTGTTTAGTCACAGCCCTTTATAAATCAATCATGATTTAAGGTGCACCTGATACACCAGCTACACTTATCAGGTCCTCATATCCTCCATTTTTTCAATTTTATCCATCTTATTAGTATATTATTAGTAGAGACTCAAATGATTTATCATCTGACAACATTGAAAATGTCTGGAGTAGTTTAGCATTCAGTTATGCAGTGGTGTTCAAAGATATGTAAGGGGATGCATATACTGTACAATTTTAAAGGAGCTTACACTAGAGTTGGAAGCATAATTTATCAATCGTTTATATGGCCTTTTCTGGGGACTTTAATGCAATTTATTTTCAATTGAACCAGCCCGTTCTCATCCTTTAGCGTCACATAGAACGCTATATGACAAAACGGCGCTATACTACGGACATGGCACCATTTATCGTTAATATAACACTCGAACCCAAGGCGTCATAAATCCTTTAGCGTAATATGAGACTACCCTACCCTACCCCACACCTAAACCTACCCATCACAGCGCGTGTTATATTAACGATAACGGGTGCCATGTGCTTAGTATAGCGCCGTTTTGTCATATAGCGTTCTATATGACGCTAAAGCAGCCAATGCGTTGATTGAACACATGTAAGCTTCACAAATGCATTGTTTATACTTTTATTCTAATACATACATATAATATTCAGAGAGCATCTTTTGTGGCTAAGTAACAACTTTTTATAAAGTCCACATTGATTTAGCTACAATGGCACACATTTTAGTGAGCACTCAATAGTTTGCCCAGAAATAATTGAGATCAACAACTTTAAGCATTTCTAGCAGTTAAAAACCGGAAGTTGCAAACGATTTTTCTCCAGTGCTGTGACGTATTTCCAAGTGAAACGGAATATTGAACAGAGGGCAGGGTTTTACTCTAGCGCTCCTCCTCTCCATCTCTCGCTCATAGTAAACTAACGGTTTGAGGGGAGTGGTTAAGCGTTTACCCAAACTGTGAAGCCTACGTCATCAGAAGAAACCGTTCCAGACCGGAAGTAACTTTTCAGATTTTGATTAAAGATTACCAAGGTAAAACATTTTTTTAATATATTTTTACTTGCACGGATTAATTGTTCACCACAAGACTAGTAATATGCGCTAACAAAGTAAATAGGTTCAATTTTGATTTCACGGGGACTTTAAAAAGGGTTTTACTGTAAGGCATATGTATATATTTAAAATATATCCTTACAGGAATTACAGCAGCTTCTCTAGAGAATGGTATTAATTAGGGGCAGATAATTATGGCAACAATTGAAATAGGTCAGATCCCTTTCTTCCCCATCAGCCTTCAGTTTGACAGGAATACCCTTACAATAGCTTCAAGTCGATATGTATTATGAGTTCAAACAAATTTGACGGTTCGTCATATCGACCTCGTACACTTGTGGACCGAAAGGACCGACTAGTAGTGCGTCATGACCATGACATTACAATAAACCTCCCTTGAGTGACAGATGGTTGCGGGGGAGGGGCTGGATTATTGACCCGAACGACGTTGTTCGGTATCTTCAAGCTAGAGTTGTTTTCTCATTGGTTCCTAGTTGCGTCACTTAACATTTACCTAGTCTGATTGGCTAGTGTAATATTAAATTATGTGGCGTACACTGTCGCACGCAACGGTCACTGGCTAAACAGAAGGCCCAATGCGGGTGGAAGCCCCGCCCTCCTGCAGCTAGAACGAGAAGGCGGGGTTATCAGTCGAGGAACAAAGATGATTTGTCCAGTCCAGCCGTCAGGACGATGTTTTGGTCGCTCATTGGCTGCAGCGCTGCCCGTCGATGTCTCGGTCTGGAAGCACCTACGGTAATAATGTCGCTGAGTGACCTAGTATTAAATACGTTAAAACGACGGTTATAGCTAGGCGGTATCGCGGATTATAGCATCGGCTTTGCCATTTTAAATACTACCGGCATATTAAACAAGTACCGACAGCGTCGTAAAATCCACTTAAGAAGCCAATTATTCATCTCGGAGTGGATTTTCTTAAATTATTTTCCGGATTATGCTGAAATCAGAAGGAAAACGCATAGCAGAAATCCATCATTTGCCTTGAGCAGCGCTGCAGTGCCATCATTCTGCCTCTGTCATACTGGATTTCAACAGCAAATAGATCTACAATACCTCACCGCATTGGGTTATCATCACTGGGATATTCTCTTGTTGCGGTCAAGTATAACGGTTTAGTATATCGGAAGTTGTTGGTTTTGCAGAGGACTGAATTAAAGTTAACCTGTTGGTGAGTAACGTTAAGGTGTTGTGTCTGATAATACAATAGATTAAGGGAATATCGATCACTGTAACGGCTTCATCAGTCATTTGAGGAATCTGATGTGTGCGCGGATTTTGTTCAGTCAGCTAAAAGCCAAACTTGACAGCAAGATAAACGATTCACAGCTTTTAATGAGTCTCTGTTATTCACATTTGCATCGTCATATAACGTTAGCACTACTAGGGCAGCAAATGAACTACGCAGCTGAAACATTTAGTCTCTGGTGTTTCATACATAATAATGTGTGAATTGTTTTCTGAAACATTTTGTCATAGTGCTCTTAAATATATCTATTTTGAATTGTTTTCTTCAAAAGTCATCATAACAGCCGAACTTGCAGGTAACAGGTGCGCACTAGTTTCAATACAGTTAACGTACATGAAAATGGTTCGGGTGTGCCTGTTACAGTGTAATAATACAAATAAGTACTGAATAATATTAATTAACAACGTGTACTTACAGGGTTTGATTTAGGGTAAGTTACTTAATTATGCATAATTTACTGTTATTACTATAAGTACGTGTAACCCATGTTACCCCTGGTTCCTTTATTTTCAGACAACGATAAACAACACATGCAAACAGATTTTAGCTTACATTACTTTTACGTTAGGATACTGTTTTTGTGAATATTGAAAGCTCCCTCTATTTCTCGAAAATGAAAGGGAGCCATTATTTAACCATCATGTTGGCTCAACCTTGTAGAAGATGTTAGATAGTAAGACTCAGTCACCATTCACTTCGCGTATTTTGACCGAAAGGTGACCGAGACATCTATCTCACACTTTTGTTTTTCACACAAGAAAGTAAGTCATACTTGATGTGGTAACAACATACATGAGGTTGAGTAAATTATGGCAAAAATGTAATTTGATGGTGCTGGCCCTTTAAAAGCATCTTAAAGATATATTCTTCTCTTGCAGGGATGGACAATGCCCATACAAAGACGGTTGAGGAGGTACTGGGATACTTCGGTGTCAATGAGACAACAGGACTGAGCTCTGAGCAATTAAGGAAAAGCAGGGAAAGATGGGGCTCCAATGGTACTTGCAAAAATACAAGTGCAAGTGTTTGTGCAATATGAACAAGACGTACTATCATGATGACATTTAACCTCATACTTCTACCCATTTAACCTTATATCTGTTTTTTCTTCTGCCCATTTTTGTTTTATTTTGCTGTAACCTATGCCACAGAGTTACCTGCAGAAGAAGGTGAGCTCTTCCCTTGGGTTTGCGTAATTATTAGCAGATCTTTCATCATATTCTTTGTTGCATGGGGGATGCTGGTTGTGTAGTTAATTAGAGTTATTATTGGATTCCCTTGAGGAGTTTGGATGAGGTTTGCACTCTCTTTGTAGCTGAATAGATCTTGATTGAATGTTTCTTAGAGATGTTGTTTTTGTAAAGGGGTTCTATTGGTTACGTGTTACACATTTTCTGAGAAAATCACTTAAATGACAAGTTCTGTATTTTACACCCTGGCCTGTTTTAAGATAGTTTCTGATGAAATAGAATGGTTAAGATTGAAATTTGGACACATGCTGCTGGCCGGAGAATTCTTGGTTTATGTGGTAAAAAATCTCTCCAAAAGATGCTCTCCAACGGGTTTTATCATAGTTTTTGTCTGACTCCATTGACTTGACTTGGACAAAAACTATGATAAAACCTGTTGGAAAGCATCTTTTGCAGCGATTTTGTGTGAGCATATCAGTGAACACATGGCCAGCAGCATGTGTCCAAATTTCAATCTTAACCTTTCTATTTCTAGTGTAAAATACTGAACTCGTCCTTTAATGGAAAGGGATCTTGAACCTTTGTGATTGCCGTAAGTCTGTCTAATCTTTGTTTGTGCGTGTTTTTACAGGCAAGTCACTATGGGAACTTGTTCTGGAGCAGTTTGAAGATCTGCTTGTTCGGATTCTCCTTCTTGCGGCCTGTATTTCCTTTGTAAGTATACTCTTATACTGTAATCAAGAATAGTGCTGGCAAAGGACAATAGCACAAGCTTAATAAACAACTGAAAATGCTATAAATCTCTAGCTACAGCAAGTAATCAAAGAATATATATATATACTTACTGTAAATATTCATACCAATATGTATACATTGTCAATAGCAGCAGCAAAAGTGTACCTATTGTAACAATTCTTTTTTTATTATGTAAGAACGTTAAAGACACTTATATTATGTAAAGTGTGACCCATATTTGTGCTTTACCTGCATACACACATTGTCATGTATAAATCATCTTTAATTGTGTGTTAAACTAAATTTAAGCTAAAATTTAAAACCAACTCAAAGCTTAATTTAGAATAATTTGAATTATGTTAAAATGTATGTCTATGCATCTTTTGTGAATCTGGTGGAAATTTTGCATGGTAAGCTTTTCTACCCACACAAATGAGAAATTAAAAACATTTACATTATATTGTTACCAAAGCATTGACAAACGTTTGCTCTGACCATATTTTGCATCACATTCTCTCTCTTACAGACTCTGGCCTGGTTTGAGGAAGGTGAAGGAACCATCACAGCCTTCGTAGAGCCATTTGTCATCCTCCTCATTCTTATTGCCAATGCCATTGTAGGAGTGTGGCAGGTATTGCCTGTGAAATATGTTTTAAAAAACATGAATATAATGTAGCTTGAAATATTTTAACCTATGTATAAAGCAGTAATTTCGTTCTGTTGTACTAGAAATCATGTCTCATTGTGTGTGTGTATGTTTCTGTGCGTTGTAGGAGCGTAATGCAGAAAATGCCATCGAAGCCCTTAAACAGTATGAGCCGGAGATGGGAAAGGTGTACAGACAGGACAGGAAGAGTGTACAGAGAGTCAAAGCCAGGGACATTGTGCCTGGAGACATTGTGGAGGTGGCTGGTAAGAATGACTATTAGATTTTACATCTCTTTTTTTGTGCCACAATAAAATGCATTTAATGATTAGGTTTCTGTAGTTTGTACATCTTTATAATGATGTATTTAATTCATGTCCTAGTTGCATTTTATAATATGTGTGCAACTAATTAGATTCTCACAAGGCTGGAGTTGTCAAAAATAAAATGGTGGCAGTGTTTCCGAGAAAAAAAAAAAAAAAAATAGAGGTCCACTCTCAAAGGATATGTCTGGAGATAATTATAGGACGTTGCTGAATAGAGATGGCTGTTTTGATTGTATAAGCCAATCAAAACTGCCTAGAATAGTCTGCTGCAGACAGATGCAGACATGTAGTAAGGATGTTTCTCAAGAAAATAGCAGTCTGTTCCCACAGTTAAGCAAAGGATTGTCAAATACATTTTTGGCAAAGTTTGATTCTTTCCAAAATCCATGCAGAGTGATAATCTGAAGGAACGACTCCCGTGAGATTGCTGCCCAAGACTATGGGTTTCCCTCAACTTTATGAAAAATTACTCATCAGATTGTTGAACTTTTTTCATTAATCAAGGGTTCAAATTGTTATAGCATGTTATAGGTCCCTTGTGCATTAATAAAACAGTTTCTAATCGAAAGCACTGCCACCAATTCCATGTTTATAAGGTTTGTGTTGATCAAATACTGTTTACATTTTTTTTAAACGTGCTTGGGCTTTAAAAGCCACTTGTGCTGTTAGAGCAGTCCTACCATTATTGTTGGTGAGCTGTGACTGTTCCTTTTCCGTCAGTGGCGTTTTCACAGATCTATTTGCGAATGTTATCTTTGCAGACTGTTTAAATTGCGTTCAGTTTAACTGATGCACCTGCAGTCGGGATGTCTTTGGAACTCGGTTGCTTTGAAAACTCACATGATCAAAGTCCTACTTGTCTGACCCCATTTATAGCTGATGCTTGTTGCTAATTGGCAATCAACCTAATTTGGCTTTCCTTTGCAGCTACATTTGTAATTATGATTTGGTTACTTCAAAGTAAATCTATTATTCATTTAAATAAATGTACATGCACAGGGACGGTCAAAAGTCTGAGATCCCATTGAAAATCTGGGATTTCAAAACATCAATCCATCCATTCTCCAAAGCGCTTATCCAATGTAGGGTCGCAGGGATTTAAAACCGTTTAGGTCCTAGGAAGGTTGAGGTCCTTTTGTGTCTCGATCTGTATCTTGGCTGACATTGGTTTCTAAAGATACAGTTGTGGTCAGAATCAATGACACCCTTGGTAAATATGATCAGAAATGGCTGTAAAAAATAAATCTGCATCGTTTATCCTTTTGATATTTCATTCAAAAAATGTGCAAAAATCTAACCTTTGATTGAAGTATCTGAATTAAAGATAATTATTCACAATTATTGGCACCCCTAGAATTTTTTACAAGTAAAATATATCTGAAGTATATTCTCTTTAATATTTTAGCACGCCAGGGTGACCCTGAACATAAAATTGTCTAGCTATGACTTCTTGTTTCACAGGAGTTCAAATATGAGGAAACACAAAGGCAAAATTCCCTTAATCATCCATCACAATGAGTAAAACCAAAGAATATAGTTCTGATGTGCATAAAAAGATTTTTGAGCATCACAAAATAGAAAGTGGCTGTAAGCAAGTAGCTTAAGAGTTGAAAATCCCCATTTTGACCATCAGGGCAATAATCTAAAAGTTCCAATCAACTAAAGATGTAACGAATCTGCCAGGAAGAGGACGCATGTCTATATATTGTCTTAATGCACGGTGAGGAGGAAAGTTTGAGTGGCCAAAGACTCTCCAAGTATCCCAGACTTGCAGATTTTACTTAAGTCTTAGGGGCCAGAAAGCCTAAATAAATATATCTGATCTCTTGTCAGTTGTTCTCCAAACTCATCAGGCATTATAGGAGAAAACTCAGAGCTGTTATCTTGGCAAAAGGAGGTTGCAAAAAGTATTTATTTAAAGGGTGCCAGTAATTGTGGAGAAAAGCAAGCATTTATTTCATAATTTGATTTACCCGCGACTTTCAATTATTTTACTTCAATAAAAGGTTAGATTTTTGCGAATTTTTTTGAATGAAAGATAAAAAGGATAACCAATGCCTATTTATTTTTTACTGCCATTTTTGATCATATTTACCAGGGGTGTCATTAATTCTGACCACAACTGTAGATTGAAAAATATGAGGCTAATCAGCAGTATTGTAGTTCAAACCTCAAAGCCCCACTGTAGCAAAATTATATATTAAATTATAATACATTTCTTTCTGAATTCCCAGCATTTAGGCCTTGTGATTGACATATGGCAACATCACAACAAGAATATCAACTTTCCTAAATAGTAGACATTTATTAATGATGCAAAAATGGTGCCTTTTATACACGAATATATTCCAAATATATTTTTGATGCTGTTTTAAAAAAAGCTGTTACCTTATCTTACCTTATTAAGTATTATTGCAACATTTTCCAATCTGTGACACCAAAAAAAGGTAGGAAAAACGGAAATATTTAATTATAGTATTGTATAACATACCAAGGAAAGATGATTAAAGATGAAAAAGCGATATCTTAAGGTCTATCTGTTGCTAAATATAACTAAATATATTTTAATTCATCAACTTGTGTTTTTATAAATTTTCTAAGCATTAGTGTTGATTTCTCATTGGTTGCGTTTTTGTTGCGTCACATTATGCACATATGCACACTTCTTATTCACATTACATCCTTGACAAAAATGACATGATGACCTCTTTTTTCCTTTTTTGCCATTCCTTTTCTCCAGTTGGTGATAAAGTCCCAGCAGATATCCGACTGACCTCCATACGCTCTACTACTTTGAGAGTGGACCAGTCCATCCTGACAGGGGAGTCTGTATCCGTAATAAAACACACAGACCCAGTGCCTGACCCCCGTGCCGTCAACCAGGATAAGAAAAACATGCTCTTTTCTGTAAGATTTTCTGGAGTGATAATGTTGTGTCACCTGTGGCTGCTCCTTATGAATTTCAGGTTTTGTTTTTTGTCACTTGACATGATTAGGCATGAGATAAAACACCACAAGATGTGAAAGTGTATTGTTGTTTGTTTAGTGGATTATGTCCGGCAGTGGCGAGCCTGTGTGTTGAATAAAACATCACTCATATAGTTTGCTCCCACATGAGTCATCATATCACACAGACTTTGAGCTCTTAGATGGATAATGACCAGAGAGTACCAGCCTCAAAGACTCCACCCCCACAGATGCACACGCACACACTAAAGCATCCATTACTTTTTTCCTGCTGAGAAAGTAAAGTCTAATGCAGGGTTTCTCAACTCTGGCCCTCGAGGCCACTTCCCTGCAGAGTTAAGTCTTAAGGATTACTAGAAACCTACAGACAGGTGAGTTCGATAAAGGTTGGAGCTAGACACTGCTGGAAACTGACCTCAAGGGCCAGAGTTGAGAACTCCTGGTCTAATGGATGTCTGGCCATCTAAGGGCAGGAATATAAACCGTGACATGGAGCCTCTATCAAGTAAAGCAATAAATAAAATGGCTTTAAATATAACAAAATGACCTTTTTTTGCCTCAGCTGCCATTGGTGGGTGTGTTAAAGTACCAGCTATAAATTTTTCTTGCCCACTATGAAACTTTATTTTGTTTATTTGAAATATAGAGATTTGTTCCTACTACAACGAACTAACAATGATTCGTTTTGCCTTTGTGTCATTCATATATGGCATGAGAAATGCCATCTGCTACAAAAATTGCCTGCAAAATGTTCCCAGTGTATTGCCAGTTTATGATATTATATTTCCAACTGAAGTAAAAGTTGAGGTAAAAAGATAATTCTCTTTAGTAGACCATTTGTAATTGTTTGATGTATATGAAACTGTCATCTATAAATTGCCATTTAAATCATGTATAATGTCGCGACTCCTTTCTAGCTGGCTAATAACTATGTTTTATTTATTTGCCAAAGGCAATTTGGCACTTGAGGAGTGTTTATTTTGGGACCTGGTTAATTGTAGGTGATCTTAAATTCCATACTGGAAATAATGTAAATATAATCATTTAAATGTGTTCATGTAGGGGACGAATATTGCGGCAGGGCGAGCGATTGGTGTGGTGGTGGCTACAGGTGTACACACAGAGATTGGGAAGATCAGAGATGAGATGGCAGCCACCGATCCAGAGAGAACCCCTCTGCAGCAGAAACTAGACCAGTTTGGAGAGCAACTCTCTAAGGTAGGGCACTCTTTCTTCTTCTTTTTCTCTCTCTCTTTTTTAATCCATTTCTTTGGTGAGTAACTGCCTTGTCTGTTTTCTGTGCACATTATGGACATTTCTTGTGTGCATACATATACAATACCCTATTGCATTTGCAAAATGTGCAGTATACAGCTGAGCAATGTGCTTGACATGATTCTCCATTTCGAATCTGATGATGAAGGAAACTAGTAGGATTTTAAACATATTTTTTTCTTGATTTATTATTGAATTTAACTGCCAAGTTACATCTTAAAGGGATAGTTCACTTTGAAATTAATTTTTGATATGTTTTATCTTACCTCAAGGGCATCCAAGATGAAGGTGTCTTTGTTTCCACAGTATTTTCAATTTTGATATTTTTAGGTCAAACTGTTCTTGTCTGTCAGTCATATAATGGAGGTATATGGGGAGGTATATACATCAAAGAGCATCCACAGAGAAGTCCAAATTAAACATGATTTAATGACTCGTAAATGTAGGCACACATTGATGGCCTAAGACACGAAACGAGCGGTTTGTGTGAGAAAACGAACAGTATTTATATCGTTTTTACCTCTTGTAACCACAGCCACGTCCAAGTGATCTGAAGGCACGGGCGCTTCGGTCTGCGCAAGCACCGGAAAGCGCCGGAAGTGATCTCTTGCGTGGTTGGGAAAAAAAATCTACGTTGTCTGTTGATAAATCGAAATCGTCTTCCATTGCAATTTTCTGTATATCTAAATATGTTTAGATCTTCACAGTGAAGGGAAACACTTCTGAAATCTCTGTTTAAACAATTAGTGACGTACATGCGCAAGAGATCGCTTCCGGGGCTTTCTGGCGCTTGCGCAGACTGAAGCGTCCTCGCCCTCAGAGTACTTAGACGTGACTGTGATTACAAGAGGTAAAAACGATATAAATACTGTTAGTTTTCTCACACAAACCGCTTGTTTCGTGTCTTAGGCCATCAATTTGTACTTACATTTACGAGTCATTAAATCATGTTTAACTTGGACTTCTCTGTGCATGCTCTTTGAGGTGGACCCCATATACAAGAACAGTTTGACCTAAAAATATCAAAATTGGAATTAATGCAGAAACAAAGACACCTACATCTTGGATGCCCTTGAGGTAAGCTAAAACATATCAAAAATTAATTTCAAAGTGAAATATCCCTTTAACACAAAATGTGATTACAAGTACAAAATAATTATATTTATTTCTGAAATATGCCACATAGTATTCTTGTATTCTTGCATGTTGCATATGACTTTTTAAAAATAGTTTGGCAGGATTTCAAGTATTTGACATGGATTTTTTTTTATTTTTTTTAATTTGTAATTTGCATTGAACTGATCTCTTGCTATCTATACCTCACACCATTTGAACATACACCATTATTTGAATAATATATAACTGCACTTTATTGGCTGTGTACTTGTACTTTGCCCAATGTCAAACAGAATTAGGGTAATCTAATCTAACGTCTAGTATTCCACTACAAAAAGCCTCTGTGATAAATAAATGAACAATAATTTACATTTACAGGAGAATTAAAGCAGGTTAATTTCATTGACAGACCCTCTCAGCCGCTACGTAACAGTCAGCATTCACTCTGGTCAGCATTATCCAGTTTCATTATCATTCTTTCTTTCTGTCGCTCTCTGTCTAAAGGTGATCACAGTGATCTGTGTGGCAGTGTGGGGCATTAACATCGGTCACTTCAGTGACCCAGTGCACGGAGGCAGCTGGCTGCGTGGAGCTGTGTACTACTTTAAGATCGCCGTCGCTCTGGCTGTGGCCGCCATCCCTGAGGGTCTGCAAATCTTAACCTTTTTCTTTCCCTCTATTGAAATCTTCTTTGCTCAGGAACGCTTGTCATCAAGCTATATGTTGAGGTCCAGAAGTCTGAGAGCACATTAAAAATTTGGGATTCAAAATTTGAACATAAGATAATTTTTTTAGGATTTTTCTCATATTTACAGCACCTATCTTCCCAATCTGTCAGTAATGCCCTGGGCTAAGTTGATCATAACGATTCTTTCAAAAAAAAATTCTTTATAACTGTTTATTTCACACTGACACAATGAGTTGCTCTGCAGTAAACTTTGTAGTAACTGTTTCTGCGGGAGTGAGGGTGGGACCTTATATTTCGCGGCTTTACTTCACACTCATTGTACTGAACATAATCAGATCCCAAATCTGCACATGATGTCAACACCATATTAGGACTTTGGCAGCTTCAGTGAGAGTGAAGGGGCTTTGTCCATCTTTTTTCACAGTCTATGTTTAGTACACATAGTCCTTGGAGATCATTTGTCCGTTATCATAGATGTATAAGGTGTTTTCCACTGAGTATATCCTGTGAGTTTAATAAAATTAATCCTACATATTCCTTTCCTTCATGAGCTTTACCACATTATGTGACCAGTATAACAGACCATTCATCTACTTGTTTTCCAAATAATCCAGAAAACTAACCCATCTCTGATTAAAGTCTTGAAATTTTGCCAGCATAAATAATACAGTATTTAAATCTAAATAAAACTGATTGTTTAATGAAAAATTCAGAGAAGATTTATAGAAATATTGTTGAATATCTCATTGTATAATCGTAAATTTTACCCCCTCTATGATCCACTCCTCTATCATTTCTCATAACTTACTCGCTGACGTCTTTCGTTCTTTCCCAAAGGTCTTCCTGCTGTCATCACCACGTGCCTGGCACTTGGCACACGCCGCATGGCCCGCAAAAACGCTATAGTCCGTTCACTCCCATCTGTAGAGACACTTGGCTGCACCTCTGTCATCTGCTCTGACAAAACGGGCACTCTTACCACCAACCAGATGTCTGTCTGCAGGGTGAGAGAGACTTGCATCCACTGTGATTCTAACAAATGCATTGTGGGATTTTTTATTTTTAATGTTAGCTAGGAGATTAATACCATGGAATGATGTTTTAAAACCTTACTAATTGTGTGTGTGTGTGTGTGTTTGCATGCATGGCTGTGCATGTGTGTTTGTCTTCGTGCAGATGTCTATTGTGGACATGGTCGCAGGTGAGAGGTGTTTACTGAACGAGTTTACAATAACTGGATCTACTTACGCCCCTGAAGGAGAAGTGTGAGTTTATTTCACATCTAATTACACTCACGTACACACACTTCTCCCAAGAATCTCTTCTGAACTAACCTGCGGTTTGCTTATGATGTCTTTCACTAGACTCGCATCTCTTTCTCTCACTTTACCCTTTATTTTCTCCTGCATTCCTCCTCCAATTCCTTCTACTCTCTTCTCTCTGTTTCAGGTATAAGGACGGTGTGCCGATACGCTGTAGTCAGTATGAAGGGCTCGTGGAAATGGCCTCTATCTGTGCCCTGTGTAACGACTCTTCGCTGGATTACAATGAGGTACATATGCACATGTATTTACTCTTTCTATGTTATCATGAAGCTGTAGAGACTTCATTTTCTCTGTATTTCCTCCATCTCTCTGAAAAACACAGAGTAAAGGGGTGTTTGAGAAAGTGGGAGAAGCAACTGAGACGGCACTCTGTTGTCTGGTGGAGAAGATGAACGTGTTCGACACAGACCTGAAGGGCCTCACACCTGCTGAAAGAGCCACTGCCTGCTGTTCAGTGAGTTGCTCATATAGTAATACGTTGGCTGTGGTTATTATATATGTTATATATATCAGTGGTTTTAAAAAATTACAGTCACTAAAGGTAGCGAGTCTATTTCTCTCTCTCTCTCTCAGGTCATAAAGCAGTTAATGAGGAAAGAGCTGACTCTGGAGTTTTCTCGAGACAGGAAGTCCATGTCTGTTTTCTGCTCTCCAAACAAACTCACTCGCTCTGCTTCAGGTGCCAAGATGTTTGTCAAGGTCTGGCTTTCATCCTTCCTTTTAAAATGACACGTTGGCACAAAATTAGGGATGGGAATCTTTAGGAATGTAAACAATGTCATTTATATATATACAGTAAATTCAAACTAAAAGTTTGCGTGTGTACTGTGCATAATTATTTTGTATTAATTCACACATATGTACACACACATGTATTATGTAAACACAAACTTTTATTTTGGATGTGATTAATCGTTTATATATGTATATATATTAATGATATATAATCAATTATTTATATCTCTATGTATAATTATTATTATAAAGGTTGAAAACAGTTGTGCCATTTAATATTTTTGTGGAAACCATGATTTATGTTTTTTTTTTTCAGGATTGTTTGTTGAAAAGAACATATGAAGAGTTCAGATGCAAAAGCCTCTAAATGCCATTTGAAATTTTCTTCTAGAATGATGATTTTTATCAAGCTTGTATATTTAAGTTCAGTGATTTCACTTAAATGACAATGATAATTACCTGTTAATTGTCATTTAAGTGAAATTACTGAACTTAAATATACAAGTTTGATAAAAATCATCATTAAAGAAGAAAATTTCTAATGGCATTTAGAGGCTTTTGCATCTGAACTCTTCATATTCCCTTCCCATATTCCATTCTGAATATTAACTGCTTCTCGATTCTTGAAATTTATCCCCACTCCCCAAGCATCTACAAATTTTCATGCATTTTATCTCTTTGTCCTGACCTCAAAGGGGGCACCAGAGAGTGTACTGGAGCGTTGCCGCTGGATACGGGTTGGAGGTGGAGCACGGGTGCCACTGACCTCTGACCTCAGAGAGCAGCTCTTAAGCACAGTAAGAGAGTGGGGCTCGGGACGTGATACACTCCGCTGCCTCGCCATGGCAACCAGGGATTCACCCCCTGACCCTCGAACCCTGAACTTGGAGAACTCTGCTGGCTTCATAGACTATGAGGTGAGCAAAGTTTGTGGAGAACTGATTCAAAATCATGGGAATAAGTTTGTGAATTCCTAAATGAGGGCCTATTATGCAAAATTCCCTTTTGCATTGTTTTTGAACATATTTATGTGTCTGCAGTGTGTGTACACAGCTACCCTATTGTGAAAAAAATCCATTCACTCCATTTGTTATTGTCCCCATAAATCTGAGACACTGTCTCAAAATGAGCCGTTCAGGAATGTACCAGTTTAACAGATTTAGTGCTACACTTATTGTCTCTTATTTGTTCCCCACTAAATATTGTTTTTTTTCACTAAATGATCAGGTTTTATACAATTATTATGCACTCATGATTTTTCTAGAGTAACTTTTACTGCTGAATTATCTACTAATCTAGTTTATAATAGCATGTTTGTCATAGATTATGTTTTTTCTTTATAATGAAGTTGTCTGTATTTAGTGGATTGTGTTTAACACACAAAAGAGTGATTATCAGTTCAACACACAGAGAAATTCTACTTGATTTAAAAAAAACTGTGCTGATATCAGATCGCTATCGGTCAATACTCAGAAAAAAGACTGATAAACACATATAGATAATAAAATTCCATGATGATGAAGAACTGCCATGTTTCGTGAGCATGACCGCGATAGAGATGATAATCAAAACCAAACAGATGTTTTAGTTTTTGGCAGAGTATCCGATGCACAAGCTGTCAAACGAGGTGGGGAGCAGCAACTCATTTGCATTTAAAGATACATGGGCAAAAAACAGAATGTTTTTCCTTCTATTGAAAAATATTAATTTACAACATGGTTTAATAAATTATTTGTCGGGTATTATGAGCTGAAACTTTACAGACACATTCTGGGGACACTTGAGACTTATTTTACATCTTGTAAAAATAGGGCAAAATAGGTCCCCTTTAATTGACATAAAAGCTTTTAAAATGTATATTTTAGTGCTATAACTAACACGTCTTCCTTTTGGATCTCTCAGTCGGACCTGACATTCGTGGGGTGTGTGGGAATGTTAGATCCACCAAGGAAGGAAGTCCTGAGTGCAGTGCGTATGTGCAGACAGGCCGGCATACGGGTCATTATGATCACAGGTGGGTTAAACACATATGCTGAGGTGATTTTAAAGGGATAGTTCCCCCAAAAAGGAAAATTCTGTCATTATTTACTCACCCTCATGTTGTTACAAACTTTTTCCAACTTTGATTGATCTTCCAAAACACAAATTAAGGTATTTTTTTTTAAGAAACCTAAAGGATTTCTGTCCCTACATTGAAGGTCCAGGTAACCAAAACTCAGAAGATTCAGATTGTAAAATGAATCCATATGAATCGAGCAATTTAAGTCTTGTGAAGAGATACGATCACTTCATATGATGAACAGATATAAATTAGGCTTTTATTCAAACACATACACCAATAGAGCACATCACATATCCATGTGTAACATCATGCATGCATCATAAATAGTAAAAATAGTAAATAGTAAATAATGTGGTAGAACAAGAGCTGTTTGAGCTGTTTATCGTATGTGATGTAAATAAATGTGTTAATAAATATGTTTAGATGTAAATAAAAGCCTAAATTAAATCTGTTTTAATTAATATCTAAATGATCTGCTGCTATCTAAAGTGATAAGTATCTCTTCAAAGGACTTGGATTAAGCTGCTTGATTCATATGGAATCGTTTCATATGAATGTCTCAAAGTGCAAGCTCAGTGACAAATATAAGGCCAAATACAAGACTGTCTATTATGTAACTCTACCCAGCTCCAGTAAGAATGAACAAATATGCATATATAAAGAAAGTCAATTTGAGGTCTTCTTCCTGTGTTGATTTGTGTAGGCGACAATAAGGCCACCGCCCTGTCTATTTGTCGTCGAGTGGGCATCATCACTGAGCAGGAGGAAGAGGAGGCAGAAAGTGGGCCGTATGGCAGCGGCCTCACAGGACGTGAGTTTGATGAGCTGCCTACCCACCTGCAGCGAGAGGCCTGCCGCACTGCCCGCTGTTTCGCCCGCGTCGAGCCAACGCACAAGAGCCGCATTGTAGAATATTTGCAAAGCCTAAGCGATATCACAGCTATGGTAAGTTTTTCTAGCTATGTTTGTTTGACTGCAAAAGTGCCAAAAACTCAAATGAATGAGTCCCTCACACTTGATTTTTCTGTCCAGACTGGTGATGGTGTAAATGATGCCCCTGCTTTGAAGAAGGCTGAGATTGGCATTGCTATGGGCTCAGGCACGGCCGTGGCTAAATCTGCTTCAGAGATGATCTTGGCCGACGATAACTTTTCAACCATCGTGGCCGCAGTGGAGGAGGGTCGAGCCATTTACAACAACATGAAACAGTTCATCCGTTACCTTATTTCTTCTAACATCGGAGAGGTAGTCTGGTAAGTTCAGACAGAAATACAGACTCTTATATATCACACTTACTCGTAATGCCGTGATATACTCACGGCTGAGTTCTTTTTCCTTCTTCGCTTAGTAGTAAAAAGAAGTTTGAAATGGCTTTGTTATGCCAATGTTATGATGTTAGCGAACATCCTGGGGCTGCTCAAGCTCCTGAGAGTGGAGTTTATGCAACAAAATGCTTTAAAGCAAGCAGCTATATAATATTAAACATGAAAAAAACGGTGTCGATGTGTCTTTCAATTAGAATTACAACTTCATTTTCCACTATAAAGCCGAGTTTTTACTTGTGGACGTCTGATTCAATAAGACGGATCGAATAAGATAAATAAACCTGAGAAGATTTAACCCTTTAGGCGCCAGAGGTTTTTTCCTAAAATGTTCGCTTTTGACATCTTAATTTCAAAAGGCTATATCTTAAAAGTGAAAACAGATAGAGACTTTATGTAAAGTAGATAAATATCAAGGATGACCCAAAGTTTATGTAGGGATTACATTTTTCCATCTAATTTGCATATTATGATGTCATATAGTGGCAGCAATATAGAATTTTCATGAAAAGTCAGGTTTAAATGATAAAATACAGCACTTCTTTCCCCCAAAATGTCCATCACCTTCTGTATGCTATATTGCACAATACTGTATGCTCACATACGTATATAATAAGTAGTAAACAAACTGTGTAAATCACTACTAATAAATGGTATACATATGACACACAAACACAAGTAGACAAGACCGGTTTAGTTCAAAGATCACTCGCGACGGCAAGGCACAGATCATTAGTTAGATGATACGAGCGGCCAGATCTGCGACTCCACACCCTGCCTTCAAGTTGCTGTACTAGGAATACTTCGACCTCGTCCAACATACCCTGTGATAATAGGCAAAGTCTCCACCACAAGACTGTCACCGCGATCACGAAAAGGGTCTGATAAAATGGCTCACTCTCACACTAGCTCTGCTTTTGATCGCACTGATTCAATGCGTTCTAACTCGAACATTTTGTATAGAAACATGACTTTTTTTTGAGTCTGGGATAAAGTATGACATGTCTGCCATTCAGTGGAGGGGAGGTCGAACGAAATTTGACACCCAATTTGACAAAATCGGCCATTTTATTCAGTGCCACATCTTGTCGAGAAAACTCGACCAGGGTAAAACATCTAAGAAGGCAGAGCCTTAGAGCCACACCTACCTATTACATAATCGCCAAGGACCAATGGTGGTTTGAAGGAGTTTATCAGCCGGAGTGAATTATTCCAGAAAGTTTGCTTTTGCAAGTTGTTCTAAATCCTGAAATGAACTCCAAACAAACTTCACATGACCAACTTGAACCCATTGCGAAATCTGAGAGGGCAAATCGCCCTCATGTTAAATTCTTAATTGTGCAGATTCCTATTGAACTTCTTGTTTTCGCACACAAAAATTTGTTGAACAACTGAAAATGTGACCAGTGGCGTCCCTGCCGCTACTCAGAGTATGCATACCCTGACATTCAATATGAATTCAATTGCCATGTTAGTTCTTTCCGCAATTCAAAGAGAAAGTAATGATGTTTTGTGGCATTCTCTCTGATTCAATCAGTCTACCACTGTAGTCTGTCTGTCCGTGATAAAAAGCCGTTTGCGCTGCACCGTGTTTCGTAGATTAGCGTTTAGGCTGGGTGTTCACACAGAACCAACTGTAATAAGCCGAATGAACATGGAGCACTTTTTTGCTTTTAAATTTGTGAGATGCAGTGCAGCAAAATGTCTCTCAAGTTTGTGTTTTTAAAAGTTGAACTTCTTGGCACGCTATTTTAAAAACTCATTGAAAAAGCAGTGAAATGCAGCACGATGGTCAAAGACGTCCGTCCAGTGCATGTGAAATATAAAATAACAATTTGCAACAACACATTTTATGATAAGGTTATTAATATAGCCTGCTGTTCCGTACGTTAGGTAGGATTGTCAGTTGGCAGGTTTCATCAAACCACCATTGATTCAGTGAGTTGATAAGTAATAATATTGTTCGCTTCAGTGTAATTGAGAAGTTATGTCTAACATTTATACTTAATAACTTTGCACAGTTTACAGTGTTAAAGAGTTTTGATTAAGATGGTTAAATGTAAACAAACCTTGACTATAAAGGTTTTATTCTAAAGGAAAATGAATCCTGTGACCACACCTTAAACATTGTATCTTTCTCCCAGTATTTTCCTCACAGCTGCTTTGGGAATGCCTGAGGCTTTGATCCCAGTCCAGTTGCTGTGGGTCAATCTGGTGACGGATGGCTTCCCAGCTACTGCTCTTGGCTTCAACCCCCCTGACCTGGATATCATGTCACGTCCCCCACGCTCCCCTAAAGAACCACTCATTTCTGGTTGGCTCTTCTGCAGATACCTCATTATTGGCTGTGAGTCATTTACACAAATGTCACTTCCTTGTCATTACTGTATATAAATTAATGCCATTAAAATGAAGGATTGATCCAGTCTTTTGATTAGTCCAAGTTCAATTGCTATTTATTTCTAGATAATCAACATTCAAATAAAAACTAGTTTATATATTTCAATTTCATACAAGTCAGTTTTTATATAAACGTTTGAATTATTTATTAATCTTCTCCAATTTTTCTTGAAACATAAACATTAAATGACGCTAAACATTGAAGTCACGCCACATTAAAGAGCGTCAAAACTATATTTAATGTTGGAATTTCATGATAAAGCAGAATACGAAAGACTTATTGGATGGGAGGTAGATTTTAAGAATCGATGTCACTTCAACAATATGAAGATCGATTTAAAATCGTTTAATCAATATTGTCAACCTAGCTCTAGTAAACATTACTCGAGAGTCGAGAGAACTGTCAAGAGGCTAAATTACAACAATCTATGTATGAACTTTCACACACTCTCTTTTAGATGGTTACCATGAATTAAAGTTTAAGAACCAATGAATTGACTGAAAATGTTAATTGGTTAAGTTGCATTTCAATCTCTTTATCTCTCTCTGTTTCTCAGGTTATGTAGGGGCAGCAACAGTTGGAGCTGCTGCCTGGTGGTTCATGGCCGCTCATGATGGACCAAAGCTCAACTACTACCAACTGGTAATAAAAAATAAAATCCCCAAAACAAAATCACACACTGCAGTTTCTCTTTGAAGAGTACCTCTTTGAAAAGGAGTCCTGTAAACTTGATGTAAACTTCTCCTCTCTTTCATTTTCTTTTAATTTTTAAAAATTGTTCATCGGAGTGGTCCAAGACCTTGGGTACGGAAGAGGATTAGGGCCAAGCAATAAGAAAAAAATAAAACCATCTCATCAGATTAAAGTCATTATAATGCGAGATTAAACTCGTTAAATTTCGAGAAAAAATTTGAAATACAATCTTGGGAATAAACTCATTAAATATCGAGAATAAAGTCGTTGTGTTTCGAGAAAAAACTCTTTAAATTTCAAGAAAAAAGTCGAAATGCAATCTTGAGAATAAACTCATCAAATATAGATAATAAAGTCGTTCTGTTTCAAGAAAAAAACTTGTTAAATTTAGAGAAAAAGTCGAAATACAATCTTGAGAATAAACTCATTAAATATCGAGAATAAAGTCGTGTTTCGAGAAAAAACTCTTTAAATTTCAAGAAAAAAGTTGAAATGCAATCTTGAGAATAAACTCATCAAATATAGAGAATAAAGTCGTTGTGATTCAAGAAAAAACTTGTTAAAGGGTAACTAAACCCCTGGTCAGAGCCTGACTCCACCCACTGGCAATATTTGAAAAATGCTGGAAAAGTGGGCAGAGCCCAGCGGAGGGGGACGTGCACCTGAGACGCATCTCTTTGTATGGAACTTGCCTACGTCACCAACAACAACCGCTGTGTCACGTACCACCGCAAACATCCAATAGGAAAATTCAACTGCAGTAGCCACCGTTCAACCTGAAGAGGGCAGCACTAAGACGTTTTTTCACCATATATTGTAGAAATAGAACACTTTATAAACAAATGCCAAAAAAGTTACTCGATTAATGACTGGCATTAATAAAGATCCATTCTTACAGATGATTAACTAAAAAAAGTTGGTTTAGTGTTTAGTTACTCTTTAAATTTAGAGAAAAAAGTCGAAATACAATCTTGTGAATAAACTCATTAAATATCGAGAATAAAGTCGTTGTGTTTCGAAAAAAAAACCTCGTTAAATTTCAAGAAAAAAAGTCGTAATACAATCTTGAGAATAAACTCATTAAATATCGAGAATAAAGTCGTTTTGTTTAGAAATGCAATCTTTAGAATAAACTATTAAATATCAAGAATAAAGTCGCATTTTCAAATAAATATTCTTCAAACTTTTACATGTTTTTTGTTCATTTTTCCCTGCTGTCCACCTTACTATCTTGAATTATTATAAAATCTGACACTTCAGTATAAATACAACTAATTCTCTAAATACAAAATACTAAAACTAAATACAAAATAAAAACTAAATACAAAAAAAATCTCAAAATTTAAACTAAAAAATGCCAAAACTTTACCAAAAAGTGATTTTATAATGTATATTATATACTTGAATGCAAACTAAAGAAAGAAACAGAAGAAAATGACTATAGACCTTATTCAGAGCAGCGCCGTGACAGGTATGAAAGTGAGGCTGTGAGGGATAGACTTACCGTGTTTCCAATGGCATCCGTTGTAAAAAGCTGAATAAAGCGGCTAGATTACTTACAGTTTTCAACAGCTTACATTGTCGGGAGTTTTTTGTCAACTGACATTTCTTGGAAAGATATTTTTCCAGTGTTTCATGAGCAGAACAATCCGAAAACACATTAAATAACAGTACAGCCCATTGAAGAGATGCAAGTCTATCCCTCACAGCCTCGCTTTCATTCTCATTAAAAATCAAAGATGGCGCTGCCGTGAATAAGGCGTATAGGACCCAGGGGAACAGTTAATTCAGTAAAAACATGTTATATTATTGTTTCTCCACAAGAGGTCGGCAGAGACACCCAACGTGAGACTTTTTGAGCTGTTTTAACAAGTATTGATAAAATCTAGTAATTTAGAGGTAAATAATAAAATAACAAAATGCCTCCAAAACAATTGCATTAAAAATAGAAAAATTATAAACACACATATATATATATATATATATATATATATATATAGTGAATAAGTATAATTTTAGGGATTCGGGTCATTCTGAGCTGCGAGGGAAGGATTTGTTACAGGTACAGGAGAGGATAAGGATAAAATATCATGAAGTAAGCCAGTTCTGTAAATAAATCTTCTCTCTGTTGTTTTTTCTATAGTCTCACTATCTCCAGTGCAGTGAAGGTCATGCTGAGTTTGCAGGAGTGCAGTGCTCCGTGTTCGAGTCTCCATACCCCATGACTATGGCCCTGTCTGTGCTGGTCACTATAGAGATGTGCAATGCCCTCAACAGGTATGTGATTTTTAAGAAATGCTTTCATGACATAAATCCACTACTGGATGTTTTCATGGGGAGAATAGAACATTCATATCTTATCTTAAAACTATACCTACTATTATGCTAAAATATTCTTAATGCAAATATACCATTTAATTCGATTTTCTCTTTATTTCATTAAAATGATGTCATTTTAATGTGTTTAACATGTAAACGTGTTTGTTATTTTTATATGTGTTGTATATTTTTAAACTAAATGTCAGAAATATGATTTATACTTTGAAGTAATATTATACTATCTTTCTGAACAGTAATAATACTGAAAAGGGCAGACTGAAAATACCTACAGTATGTTAGTTTTTAAGACAGGGGAGCATGGACTGCTCTTATTGTCTTTGTGTGTATGTGTGTTTCAGTTTGTCCGAAAACCAGTCTCTACTCAAGATGCCACCGTGGTCAAACCCCTGGCTGGTGGGAGCCATCTGTCTCTCCATGGCCCTACACTTTCTCATTTTATATGTGGACCCTCTTCCTGTAAGTAAGATTTTGTGTGTCAGAGATTTTAAAAGATGATGACGAAATATCTCAGAAAAATGCCTGCCCTGGGGATAATTAAAGAGAAATGTGAGAGTTTAATAGGTTGGACTTGTGTATGCCTGTCTGTCAGTAAACCACAGTAAAAGTGGTTGCCTAAAGAATCTACGAAATGTTGGAAATGCTGCTTATTTCACTGATGATGAAAGGCTTCCCTGAGAAATTACGGCTATGATGAATGATAATACAATAAATCATAACCCCCCTCAGACTTATTTCAGTAATATTTGTGACTTACTCAATAGAATAATGCAATGTTAAGGAAATTATCTCATCTTTAAGAATGTGTAATTTTAAACTTCCGTACAAAATTTGGGCTCAGTTCGGTTTTTAAAAGAGGTCTATTTTTCTCACCAACACTGCGTTTATTTGATCATAAATACAACAGTATTTATACAAATACAGTAAAACACAAGTACAGTTAAACGATTATATATTGTGAACTCTTGTTACAATTCAAAAATATTTTAATATATTTAAAGATGTGATGGCAAAGCTGTATTTTCAGCATCATTACTCCAGTCGTCACTATCACATGATCCTTTAGAAATCAGTCTAAGATTCTGATTTGGTGCTCAAGTAAAAACAATTATTATCTTTTCTCGGGATTCTTTGAGAAATATAAATTTCAAAAGAACCGTATTTCTTTGAAATGGAAGTCTTTTGTAAAATTATGAATTTACCATCACTTTTAGTATTAAATTCTTTGAACAATGGTCTTCTTCTTCTTATGGTCTTACGGACCATAAACTTTTGAACAATGCATTTCCAAAAACCTGTATGACTTTCTTTCTTTGGTGGGACACAAAATGTGAAGACAAATCTTTTGAAGACAATCTTGGTCACGTTAAAGTGAATTAAAGGAGTAGTTCACTTTAAAAAAAAAAATTTTTGCTGATAATTTACTCACCCCCATGTCATCCAAGATGTCCATGTCATTCTTTCTTCAGTCAAAAAGAAATAAAAGTTTTTGATGAAAACATTCCAGGATTTTTCTCCATATAATGGACTTCAATGGGAACCAAATGGTTCAAGGTCCGAAAGACAAACTGCAAACTGTTCAAAGGGCTTTAAACGATTCCAGACGATGAAAAAGGGTCTTATCAAGTGAAACGATCGTTCATTTAATAAATAAATAACAAAGTTTAAGTTTTATAAGCTCAAATTGTCGCCTGTGTTGCACAAATTGTTCTGTGATGCGCGTTCGTGACTCTCCCGTTCGAACTCGTTCATCAAAATGAACAAATCTTTTTTCGTGTCGTTTGGTTCATTCAACTAATGAAATGAACGAGTTGACTCTGGAAAAGATTCGTTCATTCTGATGAACGAGTTCGAACAGGAGAGTCACACAGAACAGAGCAAGGCGACAATTTGAGCGTGTAAAACTTAAACTTTGTAAAAAAAAATTTAATGAGCAATCTTTTCGCTTGATAAGACCCTTATTCGTCGTCTGAAAGCATTTAAAGCCATTTGAACACTTTGCAGTATGCACTGAAACTTTTGGACCTTGAACCGTTTGGTTTCCATTGAAGTCCATTATATGGAGAAATGAAATGTTTTCATCAAAAACCTTAAACTTAATTTCTTTTCGACCGAAGAAAGAATGACGTGGACATCTTGAAAGACATGTGAGTGAGTAAATTATCAGCAAAAGTTTTTTAAAAGTGAACTACTCCTTTAAGACTTGTGCCATCAAGCTTCAAAATGGTAAAAGGCACCATGAAAGTATCTTAAATGCTGTATGTATCATACATTTAAGATGCTATTTATTAAAAATCTTGACATCTGCCCTATCACTCCTTGTGTTGATAATGAGAGCAGACATCATATTTGTGAAAAAAAATATATATATTTTGAGTTGAATCTTTTCAATGAATCTAATTCAATGCTTCAGCTCTCAAAAACCTCAATGATTTGTTCACAAATCAAACTGGGCTGCATTTCCCAAAAACATTGTAAGCCTAAGTTGATCATACAAACCATTGATGTCAATTGTTAGGCTCCACAGAAGATAGAAAGTCAGACGGTTTGGAATGTATATTAGTGTAAGGTTGTAAATGATGACAGAACTTTTTAGCCGAACTATTCCTGTAAGTTAAAGCCATGTCTGTGACTGTTTGTCTCTGTAGTTCATATTTCAGATCAGACCATTATCTTGGCCTCAGTGGGTGACTGTTCTGAAGATGTCTCTGCCTGTTATTTTGATGGATGAAGCCCTAAAGTTCTTGGCCAGAAACTACATTGAGCCTGGCAACGAGTTGCTGGATGAGGACGGTAATGTGGCCAGGGGGGTGATTGGCAAATTTCAGCAGGCATTTAGGGGTGTTTCCTGGTCATTTGTGCTCATCTCTGCCCCATTGCTGGTCTGGATCTTCAGCCTGGACTCAGACATAACCAATATCTTCTGGGAATAGAAGCAAGGAGTGTGGATGTGAGTCTGTGTGTGTGTGTGAGTCATAGACAGACAGAAAAGCAGATGATGTACAGAAGCAGTGTACGGATCTATTGAAGAATGAATTTTATGCTCAGAGTGCAAAACAGAGAAGTACGAAGGAACAGTTACGGAGCCACTAAAAGGACACGGTGAAGGGAAAAAACAGGAAGATGGGAAGAAATATGTCAATGCATTTGGCTTCAAAATTTTGATGTCAAGTTTGTGTTCCTTTAAGAATCTTTTCATTCGTTGCGTTTCCTCCCAAAACTTTTTAGAATCCTTTTTTTTTTTTCCTTTGTCCTTTTAGATGCTCTGTAAAAGCTAGAGCTGGACCAGGACAATCACAGATAAATGAATGCTGGGAAAAGCTAGGGACAGACAGAGGGAGAAAATTTTAATTCAGTCTTAAAAAATGGCAAATGATGTGCTTATGACCAACTTCAGCCTTCCCCTTGTGTCACTGGTTTTGCATTGTACTTTCAGTTTTTATTTTTGTTATTTATTTTTTTTAAATAAGTTAAAAATGCACATACTTATATATATTAATTTTAGCCTCAAATGTTAATACAATTTTGAGTTTTATTTTAATTAGTTGCTTTTTAAAGGTTATTTGTGTAATTTTTGTATTACTAGCGATACCAAACGGAAATGCCACGTTTGCTTAATCAGCCCAACCGGGCGAGACATAAAAACATTGGCTCAACCGCATGAATTTAGCAGGACTATCCATTTGACTGACCTATGAAAGACAGTGGAGACCTTATCTGGTGCTTCTATTGGGACACTTTCTCTTAAGAAATATAGTTAAAACAGCCCAAAAGCATTGCAATTGTCTATCAAAGGCTTAAGTTTTTAACCACATAATGCCACATGCTTTAAAATATGTTTGTTAGGCCTTAAAAACATCACCACTAAATATTTAGTTAAAAATTTCAGTCAAAGTCAAAGCAGGTTGAAAAAGTAAATATCCCAGAAAGGAAGGTATTTATGATTTTTTCATTTGTGCTTGGGGTAAAATACACATATTCTTATGTTCAGGTATTTTATGTTTATTTGTTTGGTACTCAAAAAAAAAAGTTTTATCAAGTCACAAAGTCAGTTAATATTTTCGCATGCCGTTCATTGTAATTTATTCAATTTTCCCCAGTCCAAATGATGTGACAGTCCAAAAAAACAACAACAACAACAACAACAATCCTTTTTATTATCTTACCCGGAACACTTCCTTGTCATCGCATTGCATTTTTGAAGATCTTTTATTTGAGTATCCCAGCTATACCATGAGTATTGAAAACTGGTCATACAAGTTCCATAGCATGTGCTCACATTGCATTCCCTTTTTTAGGGGGTTGGGGTTTTGGAACGCTCACACTCACGCTGAATCATTACTTTCAAAATTACGTTGGGGATTTTTAAAAATGTTTTCAATGTAACTGCTTTATTTTTATTGCTGTGCCTGTATGGCAGGGAATGTTGTTTTTTTCCTGCCTTTATCCTTTAATATGACTCTTGTGTCCTGAGTCTAACCAGCTACTATTTATTGGGGGCCATTTATTACTTATTAAGACCAAACATCTTTATCAGGTGTCCAGTTATCATACTTGGCTTATCAGATGGATGCTGAAAACATTTGGCATCTGTAATTAATCAGAGCCCAAAAAAGAAAGGCTTTTTTGAGTTGAGTATCAATTGTTAAGAACAGAGCGATTAAGTTCCATCCTAATGTGTCGAGTTTTGGGGGAAAGGAAAATGTTCATGTTCATAATCTGTTTATTTCATGTATTCATCCTTTTGGTCATTGTTTCCCTCATCCATCTGAGTCTTATTTAAATGATAGCTTTTTTTTTTTCATTCCACTAAACAAGCTTTATACAAGAATGAAAATCCTGTTCTTTCTATTTGTCATTTAGATTCTATTTATTTCCTATTTCTTGAAAAAGACGTTTTGAATTTTGTAGTATTTTGTTATTCATGCAGTTGATACCATAATTGTCATTTAATTGCTGTTCCATTAACAGGGAATTGGAAATCGCTTCATGAAATGGAAAAATAAACTCTTGATTTAAAATTCACTAGCTGTCTTTGTGTCTCTAGCATTTTGAAACATGTGACGGAACACTTCTGTAAATATTAAAATGTAAAACATTTTTTATTGACATACATTTATCACAATAAAAAAATACATATTTCCAATTTATACCAGAGGTCAGGTGCACAAACAATGTGTGAAAACATCATATAAAAGCATTAAATGATAAATAAAAATGTATAAATATTAAAGTCGTAGGCTATTTAAAGTATTTAAGGACACTTAGGTTCTATTATTTGTAAACACTCGCCAATGAGCTTCTTAAAATCTTGACATTTGTCCCACAAAAAGAGATTTTGAAGTTTCGAGGAGCACGAGGGATTTGATAAATTGCACGTTTTTTCTTCTTTTGAGCCTGTGAGCATCTGCAAATAGAAAGAAACGTTGAAACTCATCTTGTGTAATTTGCAAATGTAGTACATTCATCTTTAACACTTTTCATTACCTGTAAGTTATCAATTAGGCCATCGATTTCCATCCTGATTTTATCGCCAAACACTTTCTCGCAGTTACAGTAATCATTAAGTTCCTGTAAAACTTTGGTTGTAATATTTCGGTTTGACTGAGAAAAGAACAAATGCATATCTTGTCAGATACAGTACAGCTATAAGCACTAAAAGAAGCTGTTAAAAGTCAAATGTCCGCCTGTAACTTACCTTTCCACTGCCTTTTTCGGTAGAGCTGTCCGACTAAATGTACAAATGGAATTATCATTAGATTAAGAAATTAACTCATAATAGACTGATATTTTATGACACTTACACATAGATTTGTCAAAAACTGGTTTATCCTGTCAACCCCCTGCTTTGTATTGTTGCAGGTACTTTGACTCCCTGTGTGTGTAGTGGGTGCAAGGCTGCCAGACCTCACACACAGTATCATTAGGAAGGCATATATCATAGAATGCACTGTAAAACAAAACCAGAAAGCTCATACACTGACAGCAATGAAATCACAAGCAAACTCGTAATTCATTATCATATAAAGTCTTACTTGTATCTCCTAGGTGTCAAGCACAAAGTCTTTGCTGGCAGTGTTTTAGAGTTGGATGCCCTTGTCAGAGATCGACGTCTGTGCCACGGCTTCTTCAAATGTTCCTGATTCTCCATCTTATATATCTTGAGGTCCTCTTTCATCACAAGCTGGACTCAAACTTTCAGACTGAAGAGTCATCAAATTTCTCACCAGACTAGAAATATGTGAATTGTGTGTGGGTGTATTGATTGGACATGTCTCAACGCTATTATCAATTCGTTAGAATTTCCTAAACCCTCATCCTAACTGCTTGTCACTTCCTCCTGGGAAACTATCATACATTTTGTAATTAAGGATGGAATAATATTCCCAGAAACCACTTCTAGTTTGTCCACTGCTCAAACAGGTCAGTGGATGTCTAGTCTCGCGTAGCCAGACCTTCAGACTGACGGGGCAAGACTAGTGGATGTCTGACACCACAAATCTCTGGCATACAAACTTTTGGAAGATTGGTAAAATTGGGAAATTCTTGTTATAGATTATTCCATTAAAACTTCCGGAATTGTTTTTGTTGCAATAGAGCAGGAATTTGGGCTGATGTAATGAATACTACGTTTTTTGATTTCCAAATCTCAGGTAGGGGGGAAAATGCAACAGGACTTTCAGGTTCAGATCTTTCTTCATTTCCCACTGTTTCTGTATGGCAATGCACAGCACATTTTTATTGTACATTTGTCAACACAGTATTCAATTTACTATTCATCGACTTCGACTCGGCGCATATATATCTATGGACTCGGAGCAGTAATATCATCACTCCGGAGAGTGAGAGGGTTATGATTCAACTCATTTTTTAATATCAGTTTAATGTAATTTAAGTTGAAATGACTTAAATATCCAAGTTGATTGTACTTTTTAAGGTGCATAGCGCAAGTCTCTCAGTATTTGCAGAACTATGCCCCCTCTGGCGACAAGTGAAACTGCAACCAGAGGTGTGCACGCTCATAGACCACACGTACACTCACGCTTGCACGAGCTGTTCATAACCAAAGGAGCATCAGCCGCACAAATCTTTTGTTACAGTCATAATGTCGTCAGAGGTAATAAAGTTATAAATCTGCAACTCATTGTAAATATGAAAGGAAAGGCATTTGAGTGAATTACACACTTATGTGTGAGGGGAAAACGGGAGTAGCCTAGTAGAAAACTTCGTTTTTTGTTTTATGTGCCCTGAAGCGTTTGAGCCCTAGAGCAGACCGGAGATATCTCCATTTGTTGAAAGTCTTCTCGTTTTATTCTGATGCATGGCACAAGACAAAAGTTTTATTTTCTTTGTCTTACGTGGAGTTTGCTTTGGGGTTTGGAATGAATTACAAGGTCTTTGAATCCATCTTCTGCTTTTGCCGAAAGTTGATTAAAGTTTTGTTGCTCGAGTTGTCTTCTCTTCGCTGGTATGGAGAATGGTGGTGAATTCACAAACCTGTCAGACATTGCCAGGTGAGCGTGAACGCACATGACGTCACGCCCGCAGTCTCAAATTCCCTCTGATTTATTTTACTGTACAGGATTATAGAGGCAATCGCAGTTATCAGAAAAGGGATCCATGCAATTGTTTAAGCATGTATGGGTTAGAAAAACTTCATGGTATTTTTAACATGAAATGTTGTGCAATGCACCTTTAAGGCAGCAAACTTTGAGGGAATGCGCATGACATCACTGTCGGCCGGAGTGCCTGAGTTAGGCTACTACTTACAGCATGACTCACAGTGAGTGGCAAAAAGACTGAGCCGCTGTATATGTTTTCAGCGTGAATGCCGCGAAAAACAAACACAACACATATAAAGTGGGAAAGAGCTTTGTGATTGACTGTACAACTAGATTTGACAAAAAAAGCAAATGGATCACTGCAATTCACAGAAACAACTGGACTCCAGTCAGCGAAAGGTGGAAGCAGTTATCATTTTGTGTTAATATGCTGAATTTAGGTGTAAAACCATAAAGTAAAATAGGGTTGTTTTATAAACTATAAAGTTTTAGTGCTGGACGATATGATGATCGATATATATATATATATATATATATATATATATATATATAACACTGATATAAGTGATTTAGACCTACCTGTATTGTATTTATATAAAGCGTTCACAGGCAAATTTGCTTTATGATTAAGGCAAACATAAATGTCAGGCAACACGATTCCTGGCTGCATGTCAATATCCATGGATCACTGGATCTTTAGTAAGTTGTAAGGAACACTATATTGAGTCCAACGTTTAGTTTAAATTGATAAAATTGTTTGTTTTAGTCGCATTTTCGCAGTTTCAGAAACTTCAGCAGTGCGTTCGTTGTAAGAGGCCGGTCACATGGATGTGACTATTGTGAGTCAAAGTTATAGCGCCACCAACTGGCAGCAGGAAGTGTGTCATTTTTAAAATGCTTTGAAATAACCCTCTTATTTTTACCCGATTTGCTTCAAACTTTATGTGTATAATGTAAACACACGGCAGATATAGAGCTGTGAAAAGATTATTGATATCTTAGATACTGTTGCCGTGGCAACGCATCACACTTTAATATTCTTGTTTGATGCTTTTGAGACTCTTAGCATGCTTGAAATTGTATAAAATTCGAAAGACACATTATGTTTCTCAGCCAGTAGACATGTGCAAAGTGTCAGAAACGGGCGTGGTGAGGGCTCAGTAGCGCCAACTTTTGTCAAAAGTGGGGGGATATTTTATCTACAGTTACAAAAATCGATATGTATATTGTTCTCCTCGAGCCAGACAACTTTCTAATTTGCAATTATTAGCTCCAACCAACAGAAAGTCAGATATTTTGGTTTGAATATGGTGAGCCTCTCTCTGAGCCTACGTCTCTGTATGGCAAGCCCTTTTAACATTTAAAAGCTAAGTTTGACTATCCGGAATTAACATTGTAGATATCAACAACGTCTTTCTGACTAGTCGTAATTACATTTTGGATAATTTGTATTATTATTTAAGATATCTGTAACGTAATTGTGACTAGTCGAAACGACAGACAGAGTATGGAAAGCCGTTTGACATTTAATAATTTTAACCTACTAGTCTCTATTTTCATGCTACCATTGTAAAGAACGATACTTTTTAAACATAACCCTAAATCGCCATTAGGTGTCATCAGGCGACCCTCTTAAAGGGACACCAGACAAGAATGCTGTTTTTGTCAAACAGCGACCCCTAGAGTAACTGTGGAGTACTTATTTTTAACGTTACTGTCGTAAACACCACTCACGAAGGGCATGAGGTGTTACATAGTATACAATAGTACATTACATTGTGTTTAAATTGTCGTTTAATGAGATCTAATATATGTTGTTAGTGGTGAGATTTTTCACGTGATTAAATACATATCCCCATGAGCTTTAATGGTCAAGAGGAAGAACTTTTGCCATGTGTGTCACAGGTTCTGGGTTCTAATCCTTACTAATAGTATAGTTTATTTTCCTCATCAACACCGATTGTTTATTAGTGGCTGCATTTCAAGCGTGACATGTTTTTGTGCATTGGGTTTTGTGATTTCACCGTGATGAGTCTCTCAGTCCCCGCAACGGATTGAGCAATGAAACTGCAAGTGAGATTTTTCCGCTCACAGGCACCAGGGGGGGTCGAGACACACCCCATTCAACCCGAAAGAAGTCATATAACCATTTCGATAACTCCATTAATCATTGCTCATTGTAACGCCCGGCTAGTGCTCATTTAAACCCTGCTAGTGTCTTCTGCTGGTTAGATCAGCATTAAAGAACTATCAACTGCTAAACAACAAATAGGAGAAAATAAACACAGATTTTTCTCAATGTTATAAACACTAAAAACTAAAAAAAAAGTAACTCCAGTATAAAATTTACGTTTGCAATGGGCCTAAATTTTAAGTGACATCTTCCAAAGATTTCTTTAATTTTGGCGCAATTTTTCAATTTATAAAAGCATAGTGTTGATATGGCAACTATAGTTTGGTCATGCTGGCATGTGTGAAAATATTTAAAACGTGTATGATTTAGCCCCGCGTTGTGTCCCGCTAACCCCATCATTTTTTTAAGACTGAGAGCTGTTCCTCCATTGACAGCCTAAGCAACTACCACTTTCAAGTCCCATAAAGGAAGTAAAGACATAATAAAAGTATTCCATGTGACTCCAGTGGTTTAACCTAAATTTAATCAAGCAACATATAGTACAAAAAAACTTAATTTATCGCCTTCATGACATCACCACAACAAATACATCTTGTGTGTGTTGATACAAGAACAGATGTTATTGTGTGAACTCGCGTTGGAGATTACAGTAAAGAGATTTACTTTCTGTAAAAAATAAAACCACTTCAGGTGTCTTTATTAGGATTATTTTATGTTTAAGTTTTAAATAAACAGAGAACATGCGTCCATCCTGACAAGAGTAGTGGTCACAATCTCAACGTAGCTAATGTATTTGGGGGGATATATAAACTTCATAAACTGGTTTCCACAAAGAACCCATTTGAGGCGCATGCTTCTGAAATGTTATGACCATGTTAAGAGTAAAACCCCCACAATTGTTCACTTTTTAGACATGTAACTTTTGTGATTGGTAATTAATTGGTTATTATTTCTTAGTTCACAAGTAGTTCTCAATGAGGATATATTTCTTTAGTAACAATCAAATATCTACCAAGGAACTAAATTACCTATTACTTAATGCTTTGTTAATATTGCTTCCATATTAGTATTAACTTCGGTGTTAATGCAGTACTATTACTTCAAGTTCCTGCATAGCTACTTGTTAACTACGGACCATTATTTTAAAGTGTTACCCAAAATGTTGCACTGAATGTTGATACCAACAATGGATGGAAACAATATAAGAGGCAGAGGATGGTAAGAGGAGATGAACAAGGAGGAAGAGCAAGGTGTGGAGAATGTTGTTAAGGCTGACTCAGCTTTAGGGTTTTTCCCTTTTCCTGCAAACATGACATGTGATATGGAGAATCGGTAACACTTCATTTTACGACCCGCAAACAACTGTGTAAGTACACCGAAATTGGTGTACATTGTGTACTACTTCCGTCTAAGTACAAGGGAACAATATGTTAAGTTTTGGGTAATAAAGGGGTAACAACAGGTATACAACCTGCAAATACACTGCATACTGATATATATATATATATATATATGAAGAGTTCAGATGCAAAAGCCTCTAAATGCCATTTGAAATTTTCTTCTTTAATGATGATTTTTATCAAACTTGTATATTTAAGTTCAGTAATTTCACTTACATAACAATTAATAGGTAATTATCATTGCCATTTAAGTGAAATTACTGAACTTAAATATACAAGTTTGATAAAAATCATCATTAAAGAAGAAAATTTCAAATGGCATTTAGAGGCTTTTGCATCTGAACTCTTCATATATATATATATATATATACTTATATATTGCAATTTGATGTAAATTTAATTTTTATCATTATATATGTATAATGATAAAAATTAAATTTATTGGCTTTTCTTACTAGATTACGACAAAAGTCAAAATAATGTGTTTCTGCTATGATTTTAATTTAGACCGTACCATGTGGTAATTAGTACTCACCTTATCCCATTGAATTGCAATGACACTTAAATGTCAGGGCAAATATACTGTGTAATCAAAACGTTTTTTTTTTTTTTTTTTTTGTTGATAACAGTACCTTTCTCTGTAATTACAGTGCAAATAGTGTTGTTTCGTATTGCTACATATAAGTTACCCCCTTGTTCTGTGTAGTTACAGGGTAAGTGTAACTCCTGCGGGCTGTAAATTAAAGTGGTGCTTACCCCTTTTATTACCCCAAACTTACATATTGTTCCCTTATACCTACACGGAAGTACACTATAACTACAGAAACGTATACCGTAATTTCGGTGTACTTACACAGTTGTTTGCGGGGCGTAAAATAAAGTGTTACCAAAGCTTTTACTGTAACATTTTTGGTTTTTGCAGTTGGGTCGCTGTATTTTCACATTATGCAAGTGGTGAATATACAGACATTCGATAGGCAAATGTATACTATTCAATATTCAGTGCAATACTATTTGCAGTGGATATTGTATTACTACTCTAAGTTGTCATTAGCCTAATACTTTTTTACGTATTGCAAAATTTGTTACAATACACTTTTTTCTGTGACTGCATGCTTTGGATTCTTTGTTCTCCATTTTTTGATGTAGTGTTTAATGAGTGATCTGTGGTGTTTGTAATTTTGACTCGCTGTCTGTATGATCTGAGAGCATTGTTTGATTTTCAGCGCAAATGAAATGGTTTTGAGGCAATTGTTTGATTTTGCCAGAAGAGAGAGGTTCTTTGAATGTGGTTTGAAAATTTTGTTTTGAGTGATGTGATGGTTTCAAGAAATGTGATTTATAGCAATTCAGAAAAACTGTGAATAAAGTTTCGGCGGTCACGGCCACACGAGGGCGCCGCTGACACTGCGAATGATCAGGCTTCTTCACTAACAATCAGTCTTGTGTGCTCTCTCGGAAACATCCATAAATTGAGTTTTAGTTTGGAAAGGTTGGGAGGAGGGTCGATCCCGAGAGCCATTTATAGACATAAAGAGAAGGGAGAGAGAAAGAGCATAATAAACTTGACAGTTCCTTTTTACTTTGTACAAACGTGCAAGTAAACCTGGAGGGCACGAACAGAAAAACGCAAAATTATAGCACAACGTTTTGGAAAGGATACCAACACTGAGGAAAACCAGACATATGCCATTGCTATAAATAACGGTACATAGCACAGTGGTAAGTTTACTCTCTCCATGCTTCCAAGATGTTGGAAACTTGTTTTAAGAGTCAAGTTGATAATTTAATGCTCAGTTTTTGCAAAACATAAAAAGAGAGATTTGTAGGCGAATAGCATAGAGTAGAAAGGACAGTTTCTTTTCTCGTTATCAGTTGATTTTCTAAGGTGTGTGTGTGTATACTTTGGTGGCGTACGAAAACTTTGCATAAGAAACTAAATTGACTGCTTTAATTAGCTCATTGATTTTTTTTATCTTTAATTGTGCATTTTTACGAGATTCTTTTTATGTAGAATATCAAATTACACAATCCAATTCAATAATGAACAATAAACTAGGCTGCAGTTTATTAATTATGACATTTTACAATTGATATAGGCAATCTCAAGTGCGCGCGGTGTTCTTTCCTTTAGGAAACTGAAGTGCGCACGCGGCAATTCTTGCAGTGAGCACGCGGTAGAAACTGCAGCCAGTGTGAAGGAAACAGCTGTTTGCGTGTGTGTGTGTGTGTGTGTGTGTGTGGAAGATACGTCATGGAGACAAAATGTCCCCACAAGAATGGCAATACCAGAAATCTTTGATCTTGTGGGGATGTTGGTCCCCATGAGGAAAAGTAGTTATAAAGTTATCACATACATTAGACACTAAAGGAAACTATAGGAAATTACTATAGGAAGTTACTATAGAAAACAACATGTTTTTTTTTGTTTTTTTTTTAAAGTGAAGTTTTAAAAAAGTTTTAAATTTTTTTTAAATTTTTTTTTAAATACAGTACAGTAAAATACACTGTAAAATACAGAACGTTTTCTGTGATGGTTGTTTAGAGGAGAATATCCAAATTGCCAGCAAACAAATTTAGGTTCTGGGAACGTTCGTTTTTGGTTCCCTGAAGGTTCCATAGAACTTTCCCTTAAGGTTAGGGAACGTTCCCAAAACATTCTCCTTACGTTATAAAAATGGAACCTAAAAATAACCTACATGGAACGTTCCTATAACGTTCTTGTTTGTCCCCCCCCCCCCCCCCCCATGGGACCTTCCGGGAACATAGGGGTACGTTCTGTGTTTGCTGGGTTATACAGTATAAAAACATGGAAAGTCTATGGAAAGTCACCATATAACATGGAAACCCAAAGTGTGTGTGTGTGTGTGTGAAAGAGAGAGAGAGAGAGAGAGAGAGAGAGAGAGAGAGAGAGAGAGAGAGAGAGAGAGAGAGAGAGAGAGAGAGAGAGAGAGAGAGAGAGAGTTGAGCGATTTGGAAGGCAGCTTTTGACCTTTTGAGACTCTCAGTTCATCTTGCTTTCTTGAATGGAAGCATTTCTTCATAAATTGCCCCAGAAAAAAGTAATGTTTTGCTACGTTACTGTTTTTCAGTAAGCTATGAAAACATTTTTTCTTAACGTTCTTTGAAAGTTCAAAAAGTAAATCGTTTTTTCTTGATTATGCAAGCGTTAAGGGAACATTCCATTTTATCAATATGCAAACATCATGGAAACATAAAACATTACTTTCAACGAACATTCTATTAACATTACAGGGTTTATAACTTTGAGAGAACCTTGACAGAACGTCAAGTTCTGAGAACGATCCCTGGGGACGGGGTTGCACAAGTTAAACTTATTGTTAATTAGGAAAATACTTTTGTGCGGAGCCCTTAAAGGGACATTGTGATGGAAAAAATATGAGATGGGAGAAAAAAAAATGCATTCAGTCGCAAATAATTTAAAAGTTTCAAGCATTTTGTATGGAAATACAGTGTTTCTCATATTATTTAGATATAGTATTGCATTTATAACAACATTGTGTTCATTGTGAACATTTTATGTATCTATAGTAATCCCAGAGCCAGCATGGAAAATCTGAGAATCCCTTTTATAGTGTGCACTGGGGAAATAAAATATTTGTATTCAAGATCAAGACTATAAATTACAACAAGAATACAGACAAGTTGTGCTTCTCATCAACAGTAAGCGAATTACTTTGGTTCAGCTGAATGTGTTCATTCAGTAAAGGCTTTGTCAGACTGATTCAACCCTGTATCTCTGTAGTTTGTTCCAAATTCAGCAACTCACACTAATGGTTTGAATCAGACTAAACAGGTCACACTTTATGCAAAGCGGAGCAGGAATCACTTGGTCTTGCAACTTATTTGTGGTTTCGTGTCAAAAATATATTGTTACGGCATCAATTAACTTGTTAGAATTTACTTGACTCATAATTTCTTTTTGCTAAAGCAATTGAAAATGCAACTTTTTGTCTGTAGGTGTGCTGATATCAGTAAAATGTGCATGCTTAAGTCATTTTAAAAGGCATAAACTCTTAACAGGGAACAAATTTAACAGGCCAGATTTATGGGCAGGCCGATGTTAGGCATTTTCCGAACTATCGGTATCGGCAGTTATAATGGCCGATAAATGAATATTTCAAAAATAAAATAAAAACGGACGAAACACGCTTCAACCATGTCATAAGTGTTGGAGTTGTATAGTTTGTCCACCAGAGGGCACTCTACACCGTCCCTGTTGGCAACACTTGTGTATAACGCGCCACACATCCTGCAACCTGCTGATCCAGCTCATCATAGACTAGCTAACTACAAAGCTACGTAGCTAATGCCACTATCATCCGTCTGTTCTGTTGTGACAATAAAAGAAACAAGTTTCTTTTTAAAATGTATTGTCATATTATTTTAGTTAAAACTCATAAATAACTACAAATAACTAATGTTAGGGAAATCTGTTAATGTTTTTTTGCGCGTTTCTGAAATAAAAAAAAATGAATAAATAAAATATATCGGCTGATATATCGTATTTTTAAAACCAACAGTTGCATCGGTATCGGCCTTCAAAATCCTTTATCAGTGCAATAACCAAATGGAACTCAACGGAGGATATATTTTAGTACGCTGAATAAACATTTGCACGAAAACACTTCATAATTTAATAAACTGACTATCTTCTATTCTTCAATAAATATATTTTTGTTGTCGTTTACATTCAGACTTGGAGATTATCACAAAGAATAGTTTTAAAAATCTGACATCCCTGTTAAATACTCCTCATGCTAATGGTAATGGTCTGGTTTGGATATAATGGATGCATGTTCAGTGTTACAGCAATTATTATTTTATGTGTTGGTGAAATCAGATAAGATGCTTATGGTGTGCCATGTAGTTCTGTGACTATTTCTGGTGTCAACAGGTCAAGGCGTGTGTTCACATGTGCTCGATGGATAATAAAAATACTTCAGCCTCTTTTATTCATGTGATGAGGACAAGTATAAAAAGCTGTGTTCAGATTCTGAACATAAATGGATATAAATCACTTTGTAAACTCGCAGATTGCAATGATTTGGGAGATAGACACTTGAACTTCGTCCTAAATCGCCAAGTCTCCCATTTCATTTTGCAAGATAGACTTGTGCTGCTCAAGAATGTGCTGAACAAAGAGGACAAGTACTGACATAACTTGTAAGTTTTGTTTCTCTTCTAATTTCTGTTGTTCACATGCAAGTAATGAACGAACTGGTCTTGTGACCAGTTTTCTCATTCAATGCTGGTCTTTGGTGTGAAAGGGTGTATATTCATACTTGCTTAAATTTACATTTCTGGTCTTCAGTTCACATTCTGGCATGAATGAGTCTATGCAGGCTGTTTATTTTAAGGAATGTTTTGTGTGTGTTTTTTTGTGTAATTGGGTGTAATTCACACTGGTACACTCAACTATCTTTTTTTCGTGTCGTTTAAATACATTTGTTCTCATCTTTTACAGTATGTATGGTCTAATTCATTTTGGCATGCCGACTAAATGCAAAAAATGAAAAGGATTAAAATGGATTTGAACTGTTGTTGGCCTTTTACTAAACATTTGCATATTGATTTTCTGGAATACAATAAGAAAAAAGGATTAAGTAGTAAATAAACTGATGTTAGATTAAACTATCTCTATAGTGTCTGATTGGATCTTCCTCCTCTTACAGAACAGGAAATTAAACTTATTCATGAACTTAGTCCCAAAGCAGATGGAAATTAAGGAAACTTCCATTTTACTAATTTAAAGGGATAGTTCACTTTGAATATGTTGAATATGTTGTATTTGAATATGAAAATTTTGATATGTTTTAGCTTTCAAGGGCATCCAAGATGTAGGTGTCTTTGTTTCCATTTTCAATTTTGACATTTTTTGGTCGAACCGTTGTTGTCTGTCAGTCCTATAATGCAGGTATATGGGGTCCACCTCAAAGAGTATGCACCGAGAAGTCAAAATTAAACATGATTTAATGACTCATGAATGTAAGTACACATTGATGGCCTAAGACACGAAACGAGCGGTTTGTGTGAGAAAACGAACAGTATTTATATAGTTTTTACGTCTTGTTAACAGCTATGTCGAACTGATCTGAATCAAATGTCCAACTGAACCGAACTGAAACGTGAACGTTACGCCGGATGTGATCTCTCGCGCGTCTACGTCACGCATTGTTTACACGGAGATTTCGGAAGTTTTACCTTTCACTAAACATATTTAGATATATACGGGAAATCGCAATTGGAAGACGATTTCGATATATCTAAATATGACCAACTTACTTAAATGCACTTTTTGACAACAAATTTTGATTTTGATGGCTGCAACACTCCAGAAATGTTGGGACAGAGGCAAGTGAAAAGATTACAGAATATACAAGTTAAACTGTTTTGAAATAGTCCACAATTAGCGGGTGAATTGGTAATAGGTGAAGGTATCATGATTGGCTATAAAAGATGATTGGCTTCTCTGTCTTTGCGAGCGATGTTCATGGCTCATCACTTTGTTCCAAATCAAAGATCACAATGTAAGATTGCAAAGAATTGATGTCTTTCACCTTCTACCATATATAATATTGTGAAAAGATTCAGGGTATCTCAGTATAGCAGGGCAAGGCAGTAAACCTCTGTTGAATGTGCATGACTTTCGAAGCCTCAGATGGCACTGCAACCGTCATGCCACTGTGTTAAATACAGTCACATGTGCTCAGGAGTACTCTGGAAAACCATTGTCACTTAACATTCTGACACTGGATCAAGAAATGCCGTTTGAATCTCTGTTACACACGGAGAAAGCTATACATCAGTTCTTTGCCTCAACCTAGCTAATGTATTTGGGGGGATATATAAACTTCATAAACTTGTTTCCACAAAGAACCCATTTGAGGCACATGCTTCTGAAATGTTATGATCATGTTAAGAGTATAAAAGGTACTAGAGGTGACCGATCTTTTCAGGCAGTTGCCCCTAGGTTGTGGAATGACCTTCCACCGTCTATGCGCTCCTCTGATTCTGTTGATGTCTTCAAATGCAGACATAAGACACATTTATTTGTTCAGGCTTTCAATTAGCTATACCTGTGGGTTGATATGATCATGTACTGTCTATGCTTTTATTGTGTGTATTTTATGATATTAATTGTTTTTGTTGTAAAGCACTTTGTGGCCCTATACCTGTGAAAGGTGCTATATAAATAAACTTTTACTTACTTACTTACTTACTTAGTAACAATCAAATACCTACCAAGGAACTACCTTTGTACCAAATTACCTATTACTTACTGCTTAGTTAATATTGCTTCCATATTAGTTAATAGTATTAAGTTCGGTGTTAATGCAGTACTACCTATTACTTCCTGCATAGCTACTTGTTAACTATGGACCATTATTTTAAAGTGTTACCCAAATACTATGGGTGACTTGCATGTGTGTGTGAAGGTACAACTGATGTTGAGGCATATATTAGGATTGTACAGAGACATAAACTGCCTTCAGGGTGACATCTATCCTGGGAAGCAAGACAATGCCAGGCCTCATTCTGCACATGCTAAAATGTCAAGTGAATGTACTCGGCTGCCTGCCTGCAGTCCAGATCTGTTTCGTATTGAACATCGATGGCCCATCATAAAAAGCAGAAACAATGAGGGACACTGACTGTTGAGCAGCTGACTCGTATTAGGCAGGTTTGGGTGAGAATTCCATGCAGCAATCAGTTTTCTCTGTTACCAAATGATTTAAAAGTCTAATTAAAAAGAAAGGTAACATGACAGTGGTAAACATGCCTCTGTCCTGACATTTTTGTGTGTGTGTGTGAGCTGTTGCAGCTATCAAAATCAAAAATTGTTTATACAGTGTAAAGGCAAAAGTTGCTGCCTTAAATTTTTAAGTACAATCAACTTTTGTCATTTCGACTTAAATTACATTAAACACTTACATTAACGGGATACTCCACTTTTTTTGGAAATAGGCTCATTTTACCACTCCCCCAGAGTTAAACAGTTGAGTTTTACCATTTTCAAATCCATTCAGCCGATTTTATGATATAGAAGAATGTCAGTAACCAGAAACTTAATTGTATTTTGTAAATACACTGTAAAAAATGATATGATCAATAAGTTATGACATCAAATGTTTTTTTTTTACATTGCTTTAACTCATCAATATAAGTTATACAAGATTCAATTCGTTTTTAAAGGGATACTCCACTTTTTTGGGAAATAGGCTCATTTTACCACTCCCTCAGAGTTAAAAAGTTGGGTTTTACTGTTTTCGAATGTATTCAGCCATTTTTCTTTTTTGATATGTTTAGAAGAATATCAATAACCAGGCAGTTTCTGGTCTCATTGACTTCCATAGTTTTTCCATATGAGCCTATTTCCCAAAAAAGTGGAGTATCCCTTTAAAAACGAATTGAATCTTGTATAACTTATATTGATGAGTTAAAGCAATGTAAAAAAAAAAAACATTTGTTGTCATAACTTATTGATCATATCATTTTTTACAGTGTATTTCCAAAATACAATTAAGCTGCCCAGTGAAAACATTGGAAATCTTTTCTTTGTTTTATCAGTTAAATACAAGTTGAAGAGAATGAAAGTAAGTGTTCAAATGTCGAACACTTAAGGATAGTCCTGTTCTCAATGTACAGTTTTGAATTGCTGGATTAAAATCATGTGAACTTGTGAAATCATGTGGTTCGTTTCATTCTCCAGTGCAATGGCTCCGTCACTCGCGCAGGCCTACAGGAGGCGCTGGTGGATGGCTGTCACGTCAATCATAGAAAACCTGCTCTTCTCTGCCGTATTGTTGGGTTGGGGTTCCCTTCTTATCATGCTGAAGAACGAGGGCTTCTACTCACACCTGTGTTCAGGTACATGGTCAGAATATCCACACTGACCGCCTCTATGCGTTTCTTTTTTCTTCGGCTGAACACAGAGGAAGATATTTTGAAGAACGATTGGAACTCTGGCGCCATTGACTTCCATAGTATTTTTTTTTCTACTATGGAAGTCAATGGTGCCAAAAAACTGGTTCCATTCGTTCTTCAAAATACCTTCCTTTGTGTTCAGCAAAAGAAAGAAACTCATACAGGTTTGCAACAACTTGAGGGTGAGTAAATTATGACAGAATTTTTGGGTGGAGTGTCCCTTTAAAGTATTTAACTGTCTATTTCTTCCTCTGTTACTATTAGAAAATGTCACAGAAAGTCACACTAACGCGAGTTTGACGGAGCATCCGGTTTGGCTGAGCTGTATTGAACAGGAGGAGATTCTGAATCTGGGCTTTACGATTGGCTCGTTCATCATCAGCGCAGCCACTCTGCCACTAGGTGTCCTGATGGACAAATTTGGGCCTCGTCCAATCAGATTGTTTGGCAGGTGAGAGACATACAGGTATCAGTATAAAACTTGAGAAGTTCCTCAAAACTAATGCGGAATGTTGGCTTGACTTTAAAGGGGTGGTAAAGTATGATTTCACTTTTCTAACTTTAGTTAGTGTGTAATGTTACTGTTTGGACATAAACAACATTATCAAAGTTACAAAGCTCAAAGTTGAAAGCAAAGGAAGATATTTGCTTTTAAAGAAATCGTTTTTTAAGGACTACAACAAACAGCTGGTAAGGACTACACAAGCTTCCTCCCGCGTTAGTGACATCACCAACCCTAAAATGTGCTGAGAAGAGCAAAATGTTGAGAAGAGCAAAAGTTGTTGTATAAGAGTACGTTTGTGAGTCAACTCAAACTTTAGCATCCATCTTTTCACATACAATAGAAAGTCACACCGTGTGCATCTCACAACAGTTCCTATAAGAGTGATTTATAGATTATCATGACAGAATATGCTAATTTAAGATAGTTAACTCCACAACAGCAACATAGATTCATCAACTAACCATTCAGAGACGTCCTGTTGCAATCTACATGTTGTCACTTCTTCTTGAGTCTCTCCAATCTTTGACTGACTCTGTTTTAACATTGAAGGCAGAACTGTTTCTCTCATTTTAGTGTGTCTGCTTGAGATAATTGCAGCTGAGGCTGCTAACACAGAGGGTCTCTTGAAACCCCGCTCTCTGCAGCAGCTCATTTGCATTTAAAGGGCCAGACACAAAAAGGTGCGTTTTTGCAAACCCTAAAAAGTGACTTTAACATGCTATATAAAAATATCTGTGGGGTATTTTGTGCTAAAACTTCACATACACACACACACACACACTGGGGACATCAGAGATTTATTTTACATCTTGTGAAAATGGCATTTTACCACCCCTTTAAGTTTGAAGGGGTTTTTCTGCAGCGCATCGGCTGCATGTGAAAGAAATTATATATCCATCACTATCCATCACTCTTGCCCTGTAACCCACATCATGGTCACTTCCTCCAATTCTCTGTTTTTATGACTCTTGTAGTTCATGTTTTGCACTCTCCATGGCTTTGATTGCAGTCACATCTTATAATCCAAAAGGTCAGTGTAGTAATGCTTATTTATGCTTATTTTATTGAAAAAAAAAAAAGTATAATGCACATAAAATATATACCACCGAAATAATAAATGATATATAGATTTATATATATTTATTGCTAAATCATTTGACAGGTCTATAATTAGTGATTCTGGATGTTTGTACATTTTGTACATGTATTATAAGTAATAAAAGCATTGTTTCTGTTTTCCCTCAGTGTTATCAGCTCTCATATTTCTTGCTGTCTCCATGAATGGGTTTGGAGGAATCTGTCTAACCTTCACGTCACTAACAGTAAGGCACATTCACATAGATACAAAAAACACACAATAGGCTGACTAAATAGATACAAAATAGACTGACTAACAGCTATCAATTCAATTCTTATACTGATAACTACAGTATCATAATGATAGCTATGCAAAGTTGCCATTCGAGCTGTTCTATATTCTGAAGCGAGTTTGAATGTGTTTGGGTACATTATTACATCATGAACAGTGTTTCTTAGTCGGTGCACGGTGATCATGTTGACACTGGACTCTGTTGGTGTTTAAATGTGTATATGTTTCTTTATACACAACCGGTCAAAAGTTTAGAATAACTTTTTAATTTTTTTGTTCTTGAAAGAAGTCTTTTTAAATGAAAAATACAATAAATTACAGCAATATTGTGAAATACTGTATTATTACAATTTAAAATAATGTTTTCTATATTAATATATTAATGTATTCAGCAAATGTGAATTTTCAGCATCATTACTCCTGTCTTCAGTATCACATGATCCTTCAGATCTAATATTCTGATCTGGTCTAGAAACATTTCTAACTGTTTCTACATGTTAAACATGTTGAAATTATTTTTGGGGCGTACTATTTTTGTGTAAGCTCTGAACATTTTTTTTTCAGGAGTCTGATGAATAGACCATTAAAAAGAACAGCATTTATTTGAAATATAATTTGTCTAGAGTCTTTACTGTAACTTTGTACAGATGTATTTAATGCATCCTTGCTGAATAAAAGTATTAATTTCTTTTTAAAAAAGCAGCTGTTAACAACTGTTTAGTAACTGTTTCACCATTGGTAATAATAAGAAATGTGTTCGGCAAATCAGCATATTTGAATGATTTCTGAAGGATCATGTGACACTGAAGACTAGAGTAAGGAATAAATTACATTTTAAAATATTTTTAGATATAAAAAGTATCTTACAATATTGCTCTTTTATTGTATTAATGATCAAATAGTCAAAAAATAAATGCCGACCATAAGAGACTTGTGTAAGCTCTGAAATTGTAAGTGTTTGGCTGATCACTTGAGTGCTGCACATGTTTTCCATCCCCTCACCATTTCAGCATGCTGATCAGCCAATCACAGCACAGATCCGACTTCACGCCCTCAACTCCGCCAAGCCCACCTTCTCTCGACACAGCACACATTAACAACCACTGTCCTTGCTTTCTCTCACGCTCTTCTGTCCCCCTTGCTTTTACCTTACCATAAATAACTGCAAAACAAATCTTCCGTAACCTACCATATATAAATGGACCATACATTTAAGTATGAGAATGAATCTAGATTTTATTTTGTAATTCAATTCATGCATGTGGGCATTTGTTCCCATTTTACTTCCATGATACAATGTAGTTCTGAGTACAACAGCCTATTCAACAAGCAAAAATGTATTACGGGAATTGATACAGGGAATCTGGGTTTCATTTGAGGGTGAAAAAAAATGAGTGTCTTGGTAGCTTTGTTAAACTGGTAAATGTGCCAGATTATTTGCCAATTAGATCCGTTTATAGACATGCAAACATTGCCACAATGTTCCCTTCTAGCTTATCAAGCTCACTGAACTCTTCTACCCACCTCTCTCTGTCCTGTATCCTCTCTCTCTGTAATCTTTGTGAATTTACTGCTGGCATATGCTGGCAATATGAGAGAGAGTCATATTATCCTATTCAAACTAAGACAAACACAAACAAGTGGCATGGCAAGAGGCTGTCAATGAGAAACAGTTCATTACCAGCTTTAAAAATAACCCTACTATTTTAGCTTATAAATAGTCAGTAGAAATGAAATACTTTAAGGAAACTGACATGTCCTTCTTTCCTGGTAGTCCATCTGCAACCATTTAAACTGCATTTTGCCACTTTGTTTATATTATACATTCAAATTTTACGACCTCATAGTAATTGAACATTATTCAGGTCTTTATCTAAGTTCAATTCAGGACGTGTGTGTGTGTGTGTGTTTATCTGATTGGAGTGTTAGAGCATTGTTGGCACAGCAGCACAGGAATAATACTTAGGTCGGCATTTTATTATGGCTGTTGCTACCCGTGCTTCAAAATACCCACAAATGTATTATGACACAGAGTGAATCAAATAAATCAGGGAACATTTGATTTAAATTTAGAAAGAAAGATGGACAGAATGTTGGATAAATAACCAATGACTGCAACACGTTTGGAAACATTCATGCCATATCTTGTAATTGTGTACACATTCACAGTATTTACACATTAAAGAATTATTATAATAATAAATACATAAATAAAATAATACACTAAAATTAAATATAATTGTGTTTTATAATATAATATTAATAATTGTCATTTATAACTATTAAATAAATAAAATAATTTTAAACATTTATTTATTTGTTGGTTTATTTCTTTATTTAATGTACCACACATAATTACAAATCATATATAATAACTATATATTTAAATAATAATAAATAAATCGCATAGCATATAAATTATTTATACTGTTATCTACAAATCATCATCAAACTTTTACTTCTACTTGTATAAGGAGTAAACTCCCTCATAAACAGTGGAAATCTTGAGAGTCTTCACATGTTGTGTAGATAAATGCTATTTCAAATTTCTAGCTCACAATGCTCTCTAGTGGCAACAGACACACACTACAGTTTGAATACATATTAGTACCTCAATTTATGATTCTCTCTTCTTGATTGATTTTCTCAGTTGCCGAATATGTTTGGAAATGTGCGCTCTACTATTCTCTCTCTCATGATCGGCTCCTATGCCTCCTCTGCTGTCACCTTCCCAGGAGTCAAGGTAATGTCACTTGAACAACAGCAATACAAAGTATTTAGACATTATGCTCAAACACTTTTCTCCTTCAACACAGCATTTGAACCAACATGTCCTCTTGTCTTTTAGCTGATCTATGATGTGGGCGTATCGTTTTCTGTGATCTTCTGGATGTGGGCAGGGTTCGCCTGCTTCGTCTTCCTCAACTGCTTCCTTAATTGGCCGGGAGAATCTTTTCCTGCTCCTGAGGACATCAGATTCAAGTCAGTACTTGTCGAATACACACACTATATGCGAGCCCGTTCTCATCCCAAGGCGTCATATACTGACGCGTATACATCCAATGCACATTGCACCCTTTAGCGTCAATATGAGACGCAGATATATATAAAGGGCAGAAGGCGCCTCCTAGTGGTCTAACCCTACCCCACCTAAACCTACCCATAACCGAAGCGTGTTATATTCACGGTAAAGGGTGGCATGTGCGTTGGATGTCTACGCATTGTCAAAACTATATGACGCCCTAGGATGCGAATGCGTTGTATATGCCTAATGCCCAAAATATTCAGACATCTAAACATCGCACCTATGTTTAATTGGTTACACTTTATTTTACAGTACTTATGTGTATTTACAGTGTAGCTACCCAATAAAGAACTTGTAATGTAAGGTAAATACATGGGTTTGGTTAGTTTTAGGGGAAGGCTCAGGGTTAGTACCTAGTTATTACCCAGTTATTGTAATTGCTATAAGTACGTAGTATGTACATGGGGAACAGTACTGTAAATAAAGTGCTACTGTTTAATTTCATTTCAAAATTAGTCTTTATATTACCATTCAAAGTTTGGAGTCAGTTAGATTTTTTTGAATAAATTGATACTTTTATTCACCAAGGATGTTGAAAATTGATAAATAGTGGCAGTGAAGACTTTTATTATGTTACAAAAGGTTTCTATTTCATATAAATGCTGTTCTTTTACACTTTCTATTCATCAAAGAATCCTGTAAAAGACAAAATCTGTGTATTCGAATGCGAACAGAAGAATATATACAATATCTAGGGTCAAACCAAAATTTAGTCAGACAACATTTCTCAAATTATCACAGTTTATTTGCTGTAGTTTTGAAAATGGTACTAAAATATGACAAGACCTCAGGAGTTATAAAATCAGTTGATATTTCACTGGGTTTGGCCATCGTTCTGTTAGACTGTCTCACAAATGAATTAGGTCAAATCAGTTGTCAGCTGTTAATTTGAAGTACACAATTCGATTATACCAATTAAGGTCAACCAATTACCAAGCAATGCTTAATTTTGTTCAACCTGTGGTGTAAACAGTCAGGTCAAAGTGTCTGAATAATTTTTGGTCCCAAATTTCCACTGTATGACGAATTTTTGGATATAATATGTCATGGTTTACTTTATTTTGCTATCCTCACTTACATAAATGAACTATCGTGTCCTGCACCCACTAGTATTAAAATATCACAAATGATATCTGGTTTCAGAATCATTTTGATTTGACTGTATATATTAGCTACAAATAATTGCGTCTATTATTGTAAAAAATCGTTTTATTTCATAGTACAATGGTGAAGTTGAGTGGTAAGGTAGTGGACGATGAGATGACTGACACTGATGTGAGTCTTAAAGAGCGAGAGGTGACTAAAAAACAACCTTCTACTGATGAAGTCCCCAGCGATGGAACAGTAGCAGAGAACCAGGGTAAGTCTCACAAAAACACTGTCCACAAAAAGGACAAAGAATTATGAAATTAATAATAAAATAATCCTGTTTGCGGGACAGAAGGATCCCCTCCCTTTCGTCGCTCTGTGTGCTCACCGATTTTCCTGTGGAGTCTCATCACGATGGCGATGACCCAGCTCCGTATCATATTTTTCATGGGTGCCATGAATAAGATGTTGGAGTTCCTGGTTACCCATGGTGACCCTAACCGTGAGCATCAGCCTAATATTTCATTTGTTTTAATGAAATGTGAAATTAAAAGATATGCTCTTTTAAATGTGTTTATGTAACTTTGCTTTTGAAAGTTTTGCAGAAGCATGTGTTAGTGGGTGGGTGTTTGTAAGTGGGTAGTATACATAGTTTTATATTTCGCTATTTTCCACCGCCTGTTTGTGTCTGTTTTAGCCTCAGAGGAGTTGGAGAAGGAGGCAGAGGACAAAGGTAAGAAAAATCCTGTTATTTTCACCTAAACAAGATATCTTTCTTTTGGTTTTGGAACAAATAAAGAATTACTTACGACACATTTAATGTTTGAAGATATTGCACTAGTTGCCAGGTCAAAGTCAAGTGAGACATTTCACCCAAAAAAAGTTTGTTGACCTTGATACCAGTTGATAAAAGTTTAAAAATGGCTCAGAAAACATCAATTATTATACATTGATGACTAATGCGATCTGTCAGTAAAAGTATCAGCGAGAATATTATCAGTATTTTATGGAGGCCTTATTCCGAAATTCAAAGAGCTGTGTGTGTGTTCATGTTTTTCTATCCTGGTTGGGATTATGAGTGTTTTTGAAAATGTAAAAATGCTGAAAGTTTTGTGTGATAGGTAGGTTTAGGGGTAGGGTTAGTGTAAGGGGATAGACTTCAGTTTATACGGAAACGATTCTGAAGAGAAAACGCAAAAGTGGCGTTGCGTTATCACTTTTTATTCTGCGTTTAGACGAGCATTATGGGTTGGAAATCCGTGTGCATATGGTGACGAAAAAGTGTGTGAAATTTAATGTAGTATGTACTCCAGGCAACAACCCAAGTCCACACGCCTGAGTACAGCCTTCACTGTCTAGCAGACTTTGCGTTTTTTTCCACTCTGGAGGGTGGTTTCACTTTTTATAAGCGCCAAAAACGCCATCGCCATGTAAACGAAAGGCACATCCGATAAAATGTTATGCTTTTGCGAGCATTCTCGTGTAAACAGGGCCTATGTCTTCAGAGAGTCCCCCAAGACCTGTGTGTTTTTGTGTGTGTTTGGTTTTGTGTGTTAGTTTGTGTGTGTTTGTTTTTTAGTGTATGTGTGACAAAATGTCTCCACAAAGGTGGCAATATCCAAAATCGTTGTACTTGTGGGAATTTTTTTTGGTATAAAATTTTGGTATAAACTATTATGTTCCATGTTTCCATGTTTTGTGGGAAAGTCCCCACAAAACATGGAAACCCAATTTATTGGGTTATTGTGTGTGTGTGTGTGTGTGTGTGTGTGTGTGTGTGTGTGTGTGTGTGTGTGTGTGTGTGTGTGTGTGTGTGTGTGTGTGTGTGTGTGTGTTATAGTAAGTCTCTACTCGTCCATCTTTGGCACTCTTCAGCTGCTCTGCCTGATTTCCTGTCCTCTGATTGGCTATATCATGGACTGGCGAATGAAGGAGTGTGAGGACGTGGTGACAGCTGAGGGAGAAAAAAGGTGAAGGTGGAGAAAGAGAAGGAGTGAAATGTTGAATTATTTGTATGTGTCAGTGATATGGTTACATTTTCCCTTTCATTGTTTTCTTCAGTCCATCTGGGCCTCCAAAGAGGGACAGAAAGATCCAAAAACTCACTAACGCCATCAGAGCTTTCATCTTTACTAATATACTGCTAGTCATCTTTGGCATCATCTCCCTCATAGACAATCTGCCCATACAGGTTAGACACAAATTTGTTACAAATGTGCATATTTGTTAAGAAATATTAATATTTATATAATTTAATTACATTAAATATATATAATTATATAACCTGGAGAATTTTATTTAATTATATATTTTATACATTTTATAATATAACTATATATAACTTTGCACATCATTTTTAATGTAATATATATATATATATATATATATATATATATATAAAATTAATTTATATATAAACTTTACACTCATATGTTTATATTTTATTTTGTATATCAGATTTTCAATGTGGTATAATTTGGTTTAACATATTGATACCTATTGCATTGTATCAGTGAATATAATATCAATATTGGCAACATTATTATGAGAGATGCTTGTGATGCTTGTGTTATGAGAGAATTAATTTAATTTATATAACCAGCAAAATGTTAAGGACAAATTTTATATACTTTATATAATACATCTAATCATATATATCTTTGAAGTAAATACAATTTTGAATTTTAGTGAATAAAATTTTCCGGGTTTAAATTACAATTCAACTTTATTTTGGACCCGTTTTCAGTGTAGTCTATGATATTTATGCTCATGTATGCTTATGCTGCAAAACAAATATGTTCACCAGCTCCTCAAAGCAGCAGCAGAAATGTGATGACTGTTCATATTATGTGTTACAGGTGGTGTCTTTTATTCTTCACACTTTCGTTCGAGGTTTCATTCACTCCTGCTGTGGTGGCCTCTATGCTGCTGTGTGAGTTTTACTTATCAAAATCCACATGATTGTTGAGCCATTTAAAGGTAAAACTACCTGAACACAGCAAACAACATTATGCTCATATGAAGATTAGGCTAATAATTCCTGCTAAAAAGGAGAAATGAGGGAAAAGAGTCATTTGAATCAGTGTTAATTTTGTATCACTAATATACTATCAGGGAATTTATTAATATTTTGAATTAGATTAGATTTTTATATTTTCTGTTTATATATATATATATGAAGAGTTCAGAATGCAAAAGCCTCTAAATGCCATTCGAAATTTTCTTCTAGAATGATCATTTTTATCAAGCTTGTATATTTAAGTTCAGTAATTTCACTTAAATTGCAATGAGGACTACCTATTAATTGTCATTTAAGTGAAATTACTGAACTTGAATATATAAGCTTGATAAAAATGACCATTTTAGAAGAAAATTTCAAATGGCATTTAGAGGCTTTTGCATCTGAACTCTTCATATATATATACAGTATATATATATATATATATATATATATATAATAACTTTACTTGAATGGGTGTGCATAAGACTGACATGACACCTTCATAACCATGACATGACATATGTCTTGAATATGAAGTATTGTTTATACATGTTTATGACTGTCAAGTGTCTTTCGTTCAACAATGACATTTTGAATGCAAATATGACATCGTGACCTCAACTACAGTGGTACTAATTGAATTTGTCATTAAAAAGTTATAATGGCTTCATGACAGCCAATGTCAAAACCAACCACCTGACAGTTTAATGTAACGTTAACCAATAACGCTAGGTGGTTTCTTAAGTTTGATCATTAATCTGCTATGTCATGTTTATGACATGTTGTGTTGTCTCAGTAATGTCAAGTTGTCATGACAAAGACACTGACGGGTTATGATGTATTGGTTTATGTCACGGTGTCATAACAAAGACATCTCAAACAATTGCATTAAAAATGCCATAACTGAGCGAATGACACGTAATGACAGTTGTCATAAACATGCATACTTCATATTCATAACATGTCATGATTATGAAGGTGTCATGTTAGTCTTAAGAACACCCCTTCAAGTAATGTGTTACCATATATATACGGTATATATATAGTTTTTGTTAAGACTTAGGTTGTATTTTATAAAACACTGTAAAAAAAAGCCTGAGTAAGTTGGATATGTATTATATTTGCTATTTGTTTTATCTTCAAGCTGTTTATATGTGTATATAGCTACCCAACCAATCACTTTGGCACTCTGACGGGCATGCAGTCCATGGTTAGTGCTGTGTTTGCACTCCTGCAACAACCCCTCTTCATGTGGATGGTGGGACCATTGAAGGGCGATCCCTACTGGGTGAGACAGTGTGTGACAAATGTACATTTATATATATACACCAATGTACCAAACATGACACTTTTTGAATCAACAGATCAACTTGGGCCTGCTTCTATTCTCTTTGGTTGGATTCTTGCTGCCAGCATACCTCTTCCACCATCGGAGACAACTTATAAAGAAGAAGGCAGCGCGCGATAGTCTATCACTGGCGCAGGAGAGCGTCAGCCTCAACCAAACAACTGAGTCTTCAAAATACCAAACCAACGGGAACGTCTGATCTGGAAAACATTTATTAGAGAGATGTTTGTGAATTATAGATCTAAATTATAACAGTTAATCAAATGAAATCAAATGAAAGTGCAACAGTTAAACAGTTAAAGTTTTTTATAAAAGTTAAAAATCAAATGAAAGTGCAATTTAAAGTCCCTATGAAATCAAAATTGACCATACTTACTTTGTTTGCCTAAATTGATCGTTTTGTGGTGAACAATTCATACATGCAAGTCAATCCACACAAAAAAAAATTTTGGCTTCGTAATCTTTAATCAAAGTTTGAAAATGCCCCTCCCCTCTGCATTGGAAGACCTTGCCCGATGACGTAGGCTTTACGGTCTCCTTAACATCCATAACCACGCCCCTCCAACTGACAGCTGCTGTGTGTTTGCGAGCGCCGAGCGAGCATTGATTGACAGCGTGTGTAAACTTGCGTCATCCTCCGTTTCAGAATGAAACACCCATTTTTCTAGATCCAATCAGGTGCTAGTTGGAAAAAAAAGCCACACCCACTATTTTGCCTCATTTAGTATTCCGTTTCTCTCGGAAATACGTCACAACACTGGAAAAAAGTTGTTTGCAACTTACGGTTCACGGGGACTTTAAAGTATCAGCCAAGGCTTTGACTGTGTGACTGGGCAGGATGTATTTTCAAGGCTTTTATTATTACCTGCTCTATGTTGTTGACTTGTGAATCAAATTGACACACAAAATGAAAGGAAGCCACAGTTAGCATTTTGTTAGTTTGTTAAACTTAAAAGTCTAACCATCACAACCACATTTACAGTATTTTCGTGGTTGCATCATACGCGTCTAAAATATGTTGTTTTTGGCTTTTTTCTACATCATTACATTGACACATTGAAATGTCCAGGAAAATGGTTGTAAAACAACGAGGGGTTAAATGTCGACAGTATGGAATCAAAATCTACTTTTTAATATTTCTTCGCAGTGTTATTGTCCATAATTTATCAGTGCATGTCATACCAAAGACAATCATTTATTGTTTAATAATCTTTCGGAAAAACTTGATCCCACTTCAGAAGGAAACGTGACCTCCATGTCTCATTCAAGAAGCCTGTCAGAGCTTTTAAAATTGACTGTTAAGTCGTATTCTACCATGATATGATCATCAGTATGTATGTGCGGGTCACAGACATATTCAAATTCAATAGCATGAATAGTCACTATCTTTAAATAATGTGTCATTTAATGGAATTTTGCTGTATGGGTAAAACTAATGTCCCATTGTGACTCAGGACAGGTAAACGAGGCAGGGTTTCATGTAACGCTCACTTTACCATGTGACATGGATCATTTTAAACCATAGGTCTGGAGTTGTAGGTTCTCTCATCCCACTCTCACTAAACTTGATGGACACTCAGCTTTATGTGACAACTGGTAAATACAAATAGTGTTTTTATTGCAGATGCCGGTATTGCACTATATTTTTTTCTGTTTCAAAAGCACTGTTCTGTATGTTACAGAGCTGTGATCATGTGCTCAAAGGTTTCAATGATTCTAGTGAATTTTTTTTTCAACATAATGGTGCTTGCATTGTGCTCGTGACTGTAAATATGCCTGAACGGGGGGGAAAAATCAAATAAATACAAAGATTTTGTCACAAAAATCACCCTATTCTCGGCTGATTGTGTTTTATTTGTAAAAAAGGTTTTAAAAAAAATTGAATGAAAAATGTTCCATTAATCATCAATCTCATAAATAGATACAGAGGCACTTATACACTTACAAATGCAACAGATATGATGGTTTACCACCAGGTAAATTATGTAACAATATACTCTGACACATATTCACACAAATCTGACTCTCACTGTAACTGGCCCAACTTAAGGCCCAATTTTCCTGCTTGTGAATCACTTTAACTCCTTTATAGTTCCTGTTTTTTCTGCCATTAAGGAAGTTCTTATCTTAAACTGCTGCTGCTGGGTTGAGTTCCAGTCATGCCTGGGTGGTCAGGGCTATGGCGATTCTGAAAACAGGCAAATAATACAATAATTAATAGAAATTATATATATATATATATATATATATATATATATATATATATATATTTTTTTTTGTATTTATTGGAAGATGTACTGTTGACCATAATTTAATTATTAATGAAACAAATCAAAAACAAACAGTACAGTTCAGAAGTTGATGCTCAGTATATAAAGACTCATTAAAGGGATAGTTCATTTTGAAACAAATTTTTGATATGTTTTATCTTACCTCAAGGGCATCCAAGATGTAGGTGTCTTTGTTTCCACAGTATTTTCAAAAAGTATTTTCAAGTTAAACATGATTTAATGACTCGTAAATGTAAGTACACATTGATGGCCAAGGACACGAAACGAGCAGTTTGTGTGAGAAAACGAACAGTATTTCTATCGTTTTTACCTATTGTAACCACAGCCACGTCCAAGTGATCTGAAGGCACGGGCGCTTCGGTCTGCGCAAGCGCCGGAAGTGATCTCTTGCGCGGTTGCGAAAAAAAAATCTACATTGTCTGTTGGTATATCGAAATCATCTTCCATTTCAATTTCCTGTATATCTAAATATGTTTAGATCTTCACAGTGAAGGGTAACACTTCTGAAATCTCTGTGTAAACAATGAGTGACGTACACACGCAAGAGATCACTTCCGGGACTTTCCGGCGCTTGCACAGACAGAAGCGCCCTCGCCCTCAGAGTTGGACGTGACTGTGGTTACAAACGATATAAATACTGTTCGTTTTCTCACACAAACCGCTCGTTTCGTGTCTTAGGCCATCAATGTGTACTTACATTCACGAGTCATTAAATCATGTTTAATTTGGACTTCTTTGCATACTCTTTGAGGTGGACCCCGTATACCTCCATTATATGACTGACAGACAAGAATGGTTTGACCTAAAAATATCAAAATTGTATCAAAATATCAAAATACTGTGGAAACAAAGACACCTACATCTTGGATTCCCTTGAGGTAAGCTAAAATCTATCAAAAATTAATTTCAAAGTGAACTATCCCTTTAAATTGTTCAAAAGTGACAGTAAAGACATTTATGTTATTTCAATTAAATGCCATTCTTGTGAACTTTCCTAAACAAAATGCATCATGCTTTCCACAAAAAAAGAAGAAAAACCTGTTTTCAATGTTGATAATAATAATAATAATAATAATAATGTTTCTTGAGCAGCAAATTTGCATTTTAGAATGATCTCTGAAGGATCATGTGACACTGAAGACTGGAGGAATGATTCAGCTTTAACAGCTTTAAGCATTCTAAAGTATTTTCAAGAATAGAAAACAGTAATTTTAAATTGTAGTAATATTTCACAATAGTATGGTTTTTACTGTATTTTATCAAATAAACGTAGCCTTGAAGACTTTTTTGAATGTAGAAAACTATAAAATAAGTTAATTTGTAACATGTATTTTCATGCAAAGTGTATAACAACCCCAATTAACCTTCTTTTTCTTTTTATCTTTCTTCTTTTTCTTTCTGTCTGGATCATCGTCCTTCTTTTTCTTCTTCTTTTTATGATCTGAATCTGATGGAGTTTCTGTGGTAAAGAAGTACGATTAACAGTCGATATGTAAGAAATCACTTTCATCTCTTTGTGTGTTTTGTGCGTGACAGTTACCAGGTGGTAAAGGATCCTGAGGCCGATGATGTTTATGTTTGTGTTTGTTCTTCTTCTTCGGCGGTTGAATGTGCATCAGTCTGTATTGCTCTGGCAACTTTGGCAGGAGAAAGAGCCACATAAAACATGCATGTAAAAACAGCAATATATGATTGACCCACATAACCATTCACAACCAACACTGATTAAGAAAGATATGGACAATCCTCAGAGTAACAAGTCCTTCTTTTGTCTTTCTCATACACACACACACTTACAGGGCCAGTGTGTAGCCTGAAGCCGGTGAGCATGACCCCAGTGAGAGGACTGAAAGAGTTGTTGCACACTGGCGTCTTCTCAATGAGAGAGCGCAGAGAGCTGTTGTCCTGAATGCCTGGACTGTCAATCATACCTGGAGTCCAGAAGGATAGAAAAACCGCCAATGTAGTTTAAACACAGGCACTTAACCCAGGCCTGGTGTTGGTATAAGTGAAGTCAAGTGTATATTACTGTGTTCCTTTTCCCCTACTGGAATATTTTTCGAGAATTATTCTAGAATCGTGAAAGTATGATAAAAATATATACACGCACCAGGAAGCTCTGGAAGAAAATTGCTGAGTTTCTCCTTCACCTTCTTTCCACAGAACTTGTTATAAGCGTGCTCCAGGTTGTAGTGTGTGATGAGATTAGTGTGTCCCGTCAGCTCATTCTCCACTGTCGAGAAGAAATAACAAGTTCACAGAACACTGACAAATCATTTTCTAGGGTTGTAAGGGTTCTTACTCTTTTTAACCAATGAATTTACATTACTTTTTCAGTCGTTTAAGATTTACTGGATAAGGAAAAGGATTTAATTTTTTTTTTACCTTACCATTTCTACCCGATAAAATATCTTAGAGCTTGTAGAGAAATGATACTGTATATTCATTATAAAAATTGCATTTTAGGTTATATTAATGTACATGACTTTTGCAGGTCCTGAAATCACACCTTTAAAATAAGGCTTCCTCATAATATCAAGTTTTTTCAAGACTGAGATTTCTGATTCTTCATAGAAAATACAAACAGTTGTTTAAAGCTTAAATATAATACGAAATATATTGATTACTTGTTTTAGATTATTTTAACCCTCGACTTTTACTCAATAAAAAAAGGTTTCCTTCATCTCAGAATAAGATTTTGTGACTTTTCATACATTATCTATCTATACACACACACACACACACACAAAAAAATGGGCTTGATTTGGTTGTTCTGAAGGTATGTAAAAAAAAAAAAAAAAGTTTACACTTCTGGTCTTCGGGGTCAATATGACCCCACATTGAAATGAATGGGAAATGTGAAAAAAAAAACTACATATATTTTCTTCATGTGTTAAAAAAAAAAAATCAGGCATAAATCTGAAAATTTTAACACAGAAATCAAGGCCTAGTACTAGAGAATAAATGCAATGAATCATAAAAAAATTATATTTCATATGCAAGGTAATGGTGTAGTTGAGGAATTGTGTGGTATATGGATACAAAAGTACTTTATATCTCCAAAATAAAGCATTCATTAATAGATGAGAAGTAAAAAAAAATATATTATTTGTATGATTAAAAATGTATATTTTTTGTACAGTTACTCAATCAATTGTTGGGGTTGTATAGACACCGAAGCCCAGAAGTGTAAACATGACACGAAGACCATTTGAAGGTTAAAGCTTGCTGTCTTATTTTAAATCATCTTGACTTGAGGCCCATTTGGTTTGCAGGCTATAAGTAAATTATCTCAGAAGATGCTAAATATTGTTACCAGGCTAGTTTATAATAAAGGTCTTACAAGACATTGCATATATTGCGCATGTGTATTGAAGTTATTTATAACGGTAAAGGTATTATTAGCACCACGGCATCGTCAGTATGGTATAATAATTAACGTACGTTACCATGGTACAGTAAGTACAGTATTAACGTGCCAATGTTGTGTGGAATTGGTACCAACCAAAGTATTATTATTATCATCATACTATACAATCACTATACAACGGCATTGACACTGACTGACACAGTGGTTTATTACACATTTACTACGAAATCAATACAAAACCGAAAATTAAACACACAAAAGAGGCGCTCACTGGGCAGTTCTCGCAGCAGGTAGAAGGGCTCGTTCATCGCGGAGGGTTTTCTGATCGGACCCCCTTCATCCCCCATCTGATGCGGGAAACAGATCGGGCCCATGTTTTGGGGTACCTGAGGTTTCCCAGATCCAAAACCCAGCGCAGACGGTCCATATGGACCCTGGGAATCAGGCTGACCGTACAGCGAGGAGAAGATTTCTGTCATGTTGACAAAACCACCCTAGGATGTTGTGATGATTGTGTGGGCGTTTGTATGGGGTTTACTACGAGTGAACGTCACTCCCTGCTCCTTACGTTCTGTTGACAATTGCTTCCGGTTGTTCTTTGTATCTCCCTTGGGGAAATTACCGTAATTTATCAAGTAAGTTACATACATGATGGTATTGAGTCCAGTTCCTACGTCTGACTAAATAAACTCTCATAATGCGTCCTAAATGCATTATATAGTTTAATACTGCACTTTAATTGTAAAAATAATCGTAAACGAGGAGATAAACAAGTCATGTTTGTGTCAGTGACGCATATTAAAATCGTCGCATGCCGTTTATATATTACGGTAAATCCAACACTTCCGCTTGTCCTTCCCTTTATGTGACATCATGACCAATAAGCGACGTCGTTTCAGTAAAGTAACCAATCAACAGGGCTGCTTTAAAGAGGAGGGACGATTTTTTCCCTTCGTCCGCAGTGACCTCTGTCCCTTTAAATCGTTTAATTCATTTGCCGACGAATATTGTCTCGCATTGATAGCGGTATTGATGCGGACTCTGTCGTCTCGGATCTCCGCAACAATCGTTTTCTGAACAAAAAGAGAAGAAAGAAGAAAAATGGCATTGTTAACACCTCTGTTAGCATTTCTGTATCATTTGCCACAGGTTTACAAATGGCTTCTAAAACCATACTACATAGCCTCGTTATTTATGTCTAGCGCATTCCTGCTTATCCGCAAAACGCCTGGTGTCTGTGAACATCTTTCGACGCAGCGCGAGGATGGCAATTCATGCGATTTTGATTGGGTATGTATAAAGAAGACCTTTGGGGTTTCATGCTGAATGATAACGCATATAACCTGCTTCGTAACAAGGGGACTGGGCAGTGGCCATCAGATGATGGTCTATAGAATTTGGGGGTGGGGGTTGCTATTTAGCTGGGACGGGAACAAGCCTAAATCATGGTAAAAGAGTCTGGAATGCCATGCATATGGAAATGATGCATGTGGAAAAAAAAAAAAAAAAAACTTGGCAACCTCTTCCACGTGTGGTTCATGTGTATCACTGAATGATCACACTGTTGTGTTGTTTCTTCGACTTTATGTGTATATTTATTATTATATTATACTTAATATAAGGGAACCTGGAAACAGAATGTTTTAATGTTTAGATTGGAAGTTGAACCATATATATATATATGAGCACCATTCTAAGATCATGAAGTGTCAGATTTCTTGGTTCTGTTAACTCTCACAGGATGCTCTTTGAAATTTTCTATCATTCGACATTACTCTCATGTTATTTATTATAAATATGCTAATAGTATAATTTCTAATTATGTATTTTAGGACCCACTTATATTAAGTGTCTGCTATATATGTACATTTAAAAACATTTCAGCCATTTTTCTGTTCATTTTGGTTTTCAGAGAGAGGTGGAGATACTGATGTTCCTGAGCGCTATAGTCATGATGAAAAACAGAAGAGCAAGTAAGTGTTTCTCCCCCTTAACACGCTTTTTGTATAAGAAAGTATTTCCTACACAGCTTTGTTTATTGACAGTCAAATTTCAGAAAATAATCTCTAACCATATGGAATTTGATGTCAATAGCCTGAGGTTGAATGTTAAGGTTTTGTTTATACACTAAACGCTCTGACATCTGTGTTCTCAGTGACGGTTGTCCTTGTGTTTGTTGTTAAATCAAATGTCTTTTGTCATTCAATGTTTCTGTTATTCTCTCCCCCTCCTCCCTTTCACCATTCATTTTTGTATGACGAATATAATAACGTGTTTTCGTTTAATCTTTGCTCCCCAGTTACCGTTGAGCAGCATGTGGGCAACATCATCCTCTTTAGTAAAGTAGCCAATGTGATCCTGTTCTTCAGACTGGACATACGTTTGGGGCTTCTCTACTTGACCTTGTGTATTGGTCAGTATTTTTATTTATTTCACTGTCAATCAGTGGAAACGATCCAATGTTTAAAGACTAAACCAAATATTAGATAAATTTAGTATGGCTGCCAAACATTTCTATGCATACTGATGTTCTTTTATCACTGATGCAGTTTTCCTGATGATCTGCAAACCTCCTCTGTACATGGGCCCTGAATACATCAAGTATTTCAATGATAAAACCATTGATGTGAGTATGATTTCACGTCATACTATGAATTCAGTCACTCTTCGTGGGCTTCTGGTTCTCAAAACAAAATTGCACAGAATGGGAAAAAGAACAAAATATTCAAAGCCGGGGGACTATTTAAGTTATAAGATATTTCTGAGATTTCTGCTGTAGTTATGACAAAGCAGCTTATTTTCAAGGTGTATTAACAGAAACTGGGGTTATTGACATATTAACTCTTTCCCTGCCATTGGCGGAATATTCCGCTTTCTACGTTTTCACCGTTACACTGTATCTTCTGAAAGAGACCTGAATCTCCAGATCAAAACGCAGCAGAAACAACAAGCGATCTCATATGTAATTAGATGCATATGAAAAATAATGCTATCAGCATATCAATCAAAACTGACGAATATGACTCTGAATGAAATATTGACCCAGGATGAGCTACAGGACTTTGTAAGCATTAGGGGTGATGATGGACTCGATCTACTCCATTTATGTTTTGATCAGCGTTCTGAATCCGAGGCCAGATGTAGTCTTTGACAAAAACGTGATTTTTCTCAGCTTTTAGCTCAAAATGTAAGGAAACACCCACGTTCAAGTGTTGATAAAAAAGAATGCTTGAAGCTAGAATAAGATTTATTTACTTATTCTTTATGTATTTTATTGTTTCTTCATCTTTAGTTTCTGCTACCCAATGCTTCGGTCATAGCGTCTCTCACAAGTGTGCACTACGACTTCTCGTTGCATACTATTTGCCCACTTTAAACATCAAGGGGGACCAACTCCAGTGTCTTATTAGTAAGAGGAATTCAAAGCCCATAAATGTTAATTTGTCCATTGCAGTTGGATAAATTTTGGAAAGTTTTTACCCAATGTTAATGGTTTCAACCACATTCATAGTTGAACTTTAACTTCAGCAGCCTGAGGGATATAGTGTGCAAATACATGTTGGAAACTGAGTGAGTATAGATGTTCATTCACCTTTCTTTTGTGTTTAGGAGGAGTTGGAGAAGGACCACCGAGTGACCTGGATCGTGGAGTTTTTTGCTAACTGGTCACCAGAATGTCAGTCTTTCGCCTCCGTCTACGCTGATCTGTCCTTGAAGTAAGAACATTGATCTTAATACACTGCCATTCAAAAGTTGTCTGTACTTTTTTTATTGATTTTTTTTTTTTTTAAAGAAATTATTACATTTTATTGAGGATCAAGGATGCATTAAATAGATCAAAAGGGACAGTAAAGGGCGGCATTTATAATGTAACAAAAGATTTAAATTTCAAATAAATGCTGTTCTTTTGAAATTCCTATTCATCAAAGAATCCTGCATCTTTTTTTCCATGATTTCCACAAAAAAATATTAAGTGGCACATTTTCAACACAATAATAATAAATGTTTCTTGAGCAGCAAGTCGGCATATTAGACTGATTCCTGAAGGATCATGTGACAACTGAAGAATGGCTGAAAATTCAGCTTTGACAACACAGGAATAACACTGTTTTGCTGTATTTTTGATCTAATAAGTTCAGCCTTTGTGAGAAGAAAACTTTCAAAAATATTTATAAAAAACTACCCCATACTTTTGAACCGTAGTGTACGTGCTGCTGCTCATCAGTTACTGTGAATTCAAATATTGTGAATGGAGACGATTAACCTCTCTCTCACTCAGGTACAACTGTGCCGGGCTGAAATTTGGCAAAGTGGACATTGGTCGTTACAGTGAAGTTTCCAAGAAGTAAGATGCCCTGTTGTGTCTCACTGTTTCTCATCATACTCTGATAGACAGACTGTGACAATATCCTGTGTTTGTTCCCCCCCATCAGGTATAGGGTCAGCACCTCTCCTCTGTCAAAGCAACTGCCCTCTCTTGTGCTCTTCCAGGGGGGAAAGGAAGTGATGAGGCGCCCTCAGGTGGACAAGAAGGGACGTGCAGTGTCTTGGACATTTACAGAGGTGAGGCTTAAAGCTACACTGTGTGATTTTTACCCCCATCTAGTGGTGAAAAGGTATATGACCACCTAGTGAATATTAGTTTCCTCTCAATTCCGATTTCTTTTTAACTCCTACGGTGGCCAATGTAGTCCAAGATTAACATGGCTTCCAGTTCGACCTCGTCCATGAGTGTATTCTCAATGGCATATTATACACTCACGAGAATACTTTATTACTTGAACGAAGTAAATATATTAATGAGCACATATATTTTTGAAAGAACTAAGTGTTTTTTAGCTAAGAATAAACTAAAAGAGTAACACAGTGTAGCTTTAAAGTCAGCATGAAACAGAAGCTGCAATAGTCTTTCCTGTGACTTATATCTGCACTCTAAAAAATGCTGGGTTGTTTTAACCCAACTTTGGGTCAAATATGGACTAACCCAGCCGTTGGGTTAAATTTTTACATTACATTTTTAACCCAACATTTCGGGTTTGTCCATATTTGACCCAAAATTGGGTTAAAACAACCCAGCATTTTTTAGAGTGTGAGTGAAACAGCTTCTCGAACAAGACCAAATTTAGACTGGGACTTGATTTTGCCAATCAGGACCAATTTTGATTTCATGTTGAATTAATCAACTGAAAAAACTGTTAGACACATCCTTGAAACAAGCCTGTATGTTTTCTATACAACACAGAGATATGTTTTTTATTTTTTTCTTCTAGGAAAACATCATCCGAGAGTTTAACCTCAACGAGTTGTATCAGAAGTTTAAGAAGCTCGGTAAGACCAAAGGAGAGAAATCCGAGAGGCTAAATGAATCTGTATTTTCCCCTGTGCCCGAAGAGGAGGAACCGGAGACCGAGACCATCACTGCGATGGACACAGAGAGCAAGAAGGACAAATAGAAAGTGCCCATTTGCTGAAGAGCACTGTCAATCACTATGGGACTGGACCAGATTGTGCTAATGTTCAGTATGCAGAAAGAGAGAGAGAGAGTTTGTATGTAGTTATAAGCAGAATGAATGATTATTTCGTTTTGTATAACGTATTAATTAATTGCAAAATCAGTCCAATAATATAGTAAATCCTAATTCCTAATACATTAATTAAACTTCATCGATATACTGGATACAGTATACAGGTGTCCAAACAAGGTCATTCGGGACATTGATATTGAGAGTTGAACATAATTAAACATCGGACTTCTACCTCTAGTGATCATTAGAAAGGGGTTATTCTGTGTTGCATATGCATCACAAATTGGGGAACAAACTTTATCAGTTCTTTTTCTTTTACTGTATTGGTAATCCTTCCATACCTTTGACACTCGTAGGATTCTTATTTTTAATTTTTTACTTTTCTGAGACGTAGCTTGTTTGTATGGTACTGACTACTTGACTGCATTCAGTGATCTAAAAAGGGAGGGTCTATTATACAAACAGTTCATATCATTTTACAAATTAAAAACTTAGAGTGAGATCTGCAAAATGTGGTTGCCTTTGACATTGAGACCCAGTTACACATTTATTTTCAGATTGAATACTGCTGTTAATGTCTTAAGTTATTTAAGTTTATATTAAAAATTTCTTTGTGCAGAGTTATTGAATCTTTTAACATTTTTATTATAACTTTAAACACCGAAGAAAGCTGCAGGCAGACTTCATGTTTTAACCTTTTCCAATCATTACTGTTGGAAACTTATTTTCAGTGTATGTAGAATTTTGCCATCAATTTCCTTACAAAGAGGAGGAATATTGTTTTAGTGCACTGTTGAATAAACAATTGTTGATTTTCACTAATCTTTAATGAATTGATGATTGAAAGATGACCAAGTGCTTTGAGTGGTTGTGGATGGAAAGTTTTGTTTTTTTGCCATTCCAATAAAACACTTTGTTCATCGCGCCCTGTTCGGTGTAGCTTGTACATTTAATCCAGTCCCTTCAACTTCAGAGTCAACAGAACAACCAGGGAGTATTTGGACCCAAAAGCTGAACCAAGCACATCTAAATTACCTACTAAAGCACTCAATTTGAGATGAAATTGAAGGCATCCTCCTCCATGGTGACTCCAATGTGCAATGGCTACCAAAAATATACATTAAAGTTGCATCTGCAAAAAAATAATGCTAGACATTCTTTCAGAACTAATTTCTTAAAGTAACCACAGGAGTCATTTGTCACATTAATAGGATATTTCCCAACCTGAAAGTGTATAAATACCTTTTGTACTAATTTTGAACAGTTTATGTATCTTTGAGGCCTCTGTATACATTTACTACAGTATAATATATTTTCCTGTCAGTGGAGATCATTGCACAAATACTAAAACACTAAAACTTACAGTATTTTTAGCTAAACTCAAATGTAAACTCTTTTTCTGATGTCTACATTGACAACAGGCTTTCAAAGATTTGAGACTGGACAGAAAAAAAACATTCATGGACATAAATGGTTTATACATTTCCAAAGTTTATGCATTACAAAAATAAGCAATGCACAAAAGGCACAACTGATTTATAAAGAGTTTATTACCAATACTCTCTCTCTCTCTCGCTCTCTCACACACACACACACACACATTCACAACCATGCTCACTCACACTGAACTGTACAGTACACGTTCTTTTCTTTCTCTCCCCCAGTCCATCTTTTGATCCAAAATATTCCTAGAAGTGTATTCATTGGCTTTTGTATCACCCAGCAAATAACTTCTGTCCCCTGATTGGTCAGCTCTGATCTAAATGTTGATCAATACACCCGACAAGACAGACGATGATTGAAATGAGTCTTGCAAAATGTCACAATCTTTTTGAATGTACTAGGTAAGAATTAAATAATAAAAAATAAAAGGCTTTCACTGATTCATATTGACAGCTAACTTCCTCTGACTGGCTCAACTGCCGTCCAATCACTGATATGTCACCAAGGGCACTGATATGGTTACCCAGTGTTCAGTGGCACCGTGAGAAGAAAGCTTTAAATCCTACATGGCTGGCTAATTAAGGCCACCAGTGAGATTTGCCTCTCATGTATTAATAAAACAACAATAATAATAATAATAAATCATACCTAAGAGGCAAACAATCAATGTTTACAGGATACAATTTGAAATATGTCCCACAGGTCCAATGCCAAAAGCATTTTTATGCTACGAGCAACCCTTTGACTGATCTAGAGTGCCACCAGCTCTTCTTCCCTCTATACGATTTAAGTTCATAGAGAACAAATATCAGCCTTTGTAAAAAAAACAACAAAAAAATTTGATCTTATCAATAACTATTTATAAAGTCATATAAAATTAAATAAAAACATTTCTTCCTTGAATTTCCAAGGCAATTACTCTGAAAACACTAATTTGAAAAGGCTGCTGTCATTTAAATAATGCATTAGTCCGTTTCTTTTCTACCGTTTTGCTTCCCTGGTGCTGATTGGATACATTATCGCATGCCAATCACAGTGGTCTGAAATGGCTACTGAATGCCACAGGTCCCCTTTCGTAAAAAATCAAATTCCACTCTGTGAAAAAAAAAAACTAAACCGGTGACCATATTTTCTCTATACAGAACAATTTACACATTTATGTCGGCTAAAAATCTTTTTTTAAAGGCAAATCCGGTCCTTTGCCGTCACATCAGTTATGTGTTACAGCTCCTTACTGATGAAGAGTCTTGAAGTTCTATTATGTCATGGCTTGAAAGGCCCCCCATGATCCTCCTCCTCCTCCTACATGTCATATCCAACCAAAACCTGCTGGTCAGCATTGATTTCTATTTTGGAAAAAAAAAAAAAAAAATCCATATCTTTCCCTTGGGCACCAATGAGTCTGCCACACGTGATTTTCTCCGCTATGTTGGTGAAGAAAAAGAGTCCAACACCAGCTCTCTCACACCGATATCTCATAAGTGGTCCCTCCGACGCCCGTCACCTTCTTCACCCCACCTCCAGGCTTGTGAGCGGGGCTCTGAGAAGAGCCAGCACTGGAATATGCCTGACCTGGGCGAGTCGACACGCTGGCAGGATGAGAGGGGGACGAGGGGCTGAACGGTGGCTTCGGCTGCCCGTTCGTCCGGCTATATGACTTCATCTGAATCTCGTCCCTAAACCAAAGAAACAGAGAAAAACTTGGAAATTAGAGAAGTGTTTGCATTAGTATGTACATTTGTATAGTAAATACACTACTGTTCATAAGTTTGGGATCATAAAGTTTTTACATTTTTTTAAACAAATGAAAAGTTTTATTCAGCAAGGATGCATTAAAGGGGTGGTTGGTTGCGATTTCACTTTTTTTCCATTTTAAATAGTGTGTAATGTTGCTGTTGGTGCATGAATATTATCTGCAAAGTTACACTGAAAGTTAAGAAGAGATATCGTCTTTTTAAAATTAGGAAGTTTAATGCCTACAAAAATGACTCGAATGGGACTACAACGGGTTTTATACGTAACTAACCCATATATTTGCATCAACCCTCCCTCCGAAATATGCAAAAAAAGGGCATGGCCATATTTCTGCGGCTCGTCGAAAGTGTGTTATGTTCACCCAGCTGTCAGGTCTTCTGTGTTCAGGCTTCCCACGGACGTTGTAGTTCGTCAACAATGGATACAATTTATGTTGTGATCATACATACGTATTCCAGAATCTCCATGTTTTAGTTTGATCAAATGCCAGTGCTGGCTTTATAGCCACTTAGTTAGCTATGCTATTTTGTGTCTACGACAAATGCGTACAAACATTTTGGACCTGAATTTGTATATAGAGCCAGACCGATATTATCGGCCGATATTAGGCATTTTCCAAACTATCGGTATCGGCAGTTATAATGGTCGATAAATTATTATTTCAAAAATAAAATAAAAAAACCCAGTTTTGCTGCTGTCAAATAAGCCGAGAGTGAAGCGGAATTAGCTAGTAATAGTTTCGTTATGTTGTTACAGAGTAGTCCTTTTAACTTTTGACAATGTGACTGAAGTATTTCTTTAATAGCGCGTGACAGTTATAGCAATGAGACGCATCATCTCTCCTTGGCCTGTTATATTGAAAATGTATGTTTTACAATTTGTTGCGCATTTCTGAAATAATAATTAAAAAAATATCGGGCGATATATCGGAATATCGGATTTTAAAACCAATAAATATTTGTATCGGTATCGGACTTCAAAATCCTATATCGGTCGAGTTCTATTTGAATATGTACTAATGTTGTAAATTTATTTTTCATGTATATATACTTAATGAAATAATTTTTCGATTTGATCAAGAACATAAACCAGTGCCAGCGCTGTTTGTGTATATAGTATCCAGTTATTTGGATGCTATTTTGTCTAAGACAAACGTGTATAAAGTAAAACAAAAAAAAAATATAGGCTTTGTAATTGCAGCAAACTTCAGCTGCTGTTATCAGTGTACAGTATGGTTTTAACACAGTTGCCACATGTAGGGTTACACCTAAATAAAACGATACACTGAGTAAACTAAGTTTTGTGAATAGATAAACGGCTGTTCATCATATCAATAAAACAACTTTAAAAAACATTTATTCAGTTATATTAAATGTTTAATCAGGAGAAAACCGTAATACCATTCAGAAAACCATTCTCCTTTTTCCAAAGCGCTAGGGCGGTTGCGCTCCTGTTGGTTCTTGTCACGTGACCTACTGTACTGTGCGCTTATGGTGTGCTTGCGGCATTCTGAAAAGTTGAGATGTTTTTATCTCGATGTGGCACGGACGCGACTGTGTCGCTTCCATTATGAGCGCGCATACCGCGAGCCTACATTTGAAATAACGAACTTGAGCGCGCAAAAGACACGATATGTGAACAGGCCTTTAAATTGCGAAAAAAAATGACGAATTTGACGATTTAAAAAAAAACTTAATTCATCAAAGAATCCCAAAATGGATCACAGTTCCACAAAAAACATTAATAATCATAATAAATGTTCAAATAAAGAATCTTGATGTTAAATGTGTTGTTTAAGAGTGATCATAAGTCATCATAAGAGTGTCATTTGCAAGTTTCACTGCCACACAAAAAAACGAAAAAGAAAAAAAAGATTAAAGCGCTACAATACAAAATTACAATCAACAGTAAATCACAACACACAATAAAGAACTGCAATGGTAAATCAACAAAGAAATGCATCACAGGATATTTCAAATTCCCGTGGCTATGACAAACAAATTATAGTTAAAAGCCTCCCAGAATAGGTCTCAGTTCAGAAAACAGCGGTAAAAATAGTTTAGCTGAAGTGGCAAATCCAGCCACGCCTGCCAGTGAATTTCAATTTCTCTGCCGCACAATTTGGAAAGGAAATCATTATCTCAAGCACCGAAGCACTGCAGGTTTATTATAACCATCAGCTGTGCCTATCAGGATGCCACTGAAATGTCTGTAAATGATGAGGGCTCACTGTCCGTGCCTTGGTTTGTTTCCAAATAACAAGTGGAGACCAAGTCAATTATGTTGCCTTTAAATTGCTGACTATTAACTAAGCAAAGCATGCTTTCCAGACCTCTATAATGAGCAGAGTGATGAAGCACTCTGTCTGGCTCTGGTCATTTTGCCAGTGAAGAAATTGGGTTTGATTATTCTAGTGTAGACAATATCCAGTTTTATCTTCATAAGCAGCAGCATAATGTCAGGACACTTCTAGTTTTCTATCCGCTCTTTCCATACAGACGTGCTTTATTTTTTTCTTGGCTCACATCTTGCCAAGGCACTGAACTTAAGGTATATGAGACAACAGAGGCATTACTGTATTTTAAACATGCATACATTAGTCTGAACCGTCACTCATTCATGACGTTAGTCACATTCTGTCAGTCCAAATCCATTTATGCGTGTATCCGATTGGAATCTGATCTAAATTATTGACTGTCCACACTGGCTACGCTTACATGCTTAACCAAATAATCGGCCCAGTCGGACTGAAAAGCCTTCACATAGACACCTTTACTGATCCAATTTTGGTGTAGACCTTTTATAGTCTGATCTAAAGGACATGTAAACACTTCATCAGAAAACCGAAATTAGAAATTTACTGCGCATGACATATGGAGCGAGCTGTTGTCGTTTTCAATGAAGTGTCATAAATGATTGTCGTGTCATTCTACTAATTCTCCCACCACTTATTGTCTGTGAAGTGCTGCAGGACAGTGTTGTCCCATCAGCCCTCACTTCGCACTCTCATTCACAGATGCTTGTTTTCGGCTTGGGAAGAGGCGTTTTTACTGCTTGATAAATATAATCCCACGGCACAACGGTTCATTTGTACGTTGTCTCTTAATCAGGACCCGAAACAGATAAATATTAAATCAGCCCTTTAAAACAAAGAAAAACAGCAATGCAGGAGAATAGAATAGTATGTGCAAACAGAGAAAAACTGTAGTGAGCGCACGTCAAAAAGTCAATTCCAATTTGAAGCTTGTGACATATAAACGCGCATATTAATCACTTTATTTAGCGTTCATGTAAACACTACGTTCAGATTCATCAATCGTAATGAATAAATTCCGATTGAACCAAAAGGTGTCTATGTAAATGTAGATATAGTGTATCGCGACTGTTCGGATCTGATTTGTGTGTCCCGTGGTGCTCTTTCGTTTTCCGGAATATCTGCATTAGTTTCTATGGCAATGACTTTGCGTTTATTAGGTATAAGGTAAAAACCACAACAGCAGCAACATGGAGGTGTTTGCAATACAGATGTTGTCTTATTTACAACGGGACAACGTATAGCCGCCGCACTGGGCTACCTTGCTTCAGCAGGAACTTTCAACAGGTTTCCTATAACAACGTCTAACACATTTATGGTTTATGTGGCGTGAGAAAGTCACAAACCCCGCAAAATCAGACCGGTCAAACTAAAATGGATTTCCAGAAATGTAATTTGAATAGGATTTCAGACAATATATATATATATATATATATAGCTTGAAATATATGTAGCTCGAAACCAGTGTTGGGTAAGTTACTCTAAAAAAGTAATTAATTACTACTAGCTACTAATTACCTCTTCAACAGTGTAATTAGATTACTGTACTAATTACTCTCTCTAAAAAGTATTTAATTACTAATTACTTTCAAAATCCCATATCCATCTCAACCAGCTGAATAATACAAGGATAGACATGAATTTCTTTAATTCTTTCAAATAAATACTATAAAATAACATGAATTACCCTAACACTGACCAAGATGGAGAAGGTTACATTATAAAAACATACTTTTTAACATCAGACAATACATTTTTGATGTTAAACCCACTATTATTTTATGTCTGATTTCATGACATTTCACACTTTTTTCATACATATTTTACAAGATGGCTAATTCATATTTGTACGAATTTCGGCACCTCATAAAATGCATACGAATCGCTGTGAGATCGGATTGATCTTTACACAGTATTTACCTCAATTACATCACAAGTAACTGTAATTAAATGATAGAAAAATTAAGAGTAATCCCTTTACATTTTCAAGGGAAAAGTAATTAAATTACAGTAACTAATTACTTAGTAATTAGTTACACCCAACACTGCTCGAAACTGATCTGTAAATTAAAAATAAATCACATTTTATGTGACATTTTGCTAAATACAATCGAATTCCAATCGGATATGAACAAAAAATATTTGGACTGAAAGTCTGAACGAGGCTATAATGTCCTGAATGGAATTTAGAATGGAAAGAATTTTATGCTTAAATTTTGATTAACAAACATTCAACACAAAGAAACCAAGTAGCAGAAAGTATAAAATTACTGAAGGAGTTTAGACTAGTGGGAAAAAAGATGTAGGAAGAAAGAAGTGAAAGAGATACACTCACAGGAGTCTGGGAGGAGGAGGAGGAAGAGTAGGAGGAAGGAGGCAGTGCTGCGCAGAGCGTCGTAAGGTTGTGGGGGAGTTACTCACTTTGGCGCCTGTATGCCCCCTCCCCCGACCGAGGCCGAGGCTTTGCGGACCAGGCGGTACTGCATCTCTGCAGCGGCAGCGCTAGAGTAAGACAGGGACTTCCCCAGTGGCGGGGGGTGTGGCGAGAGTGGAGGGTGGGTGGTGGGCGGCAGGGGCGTGTCAGTGGAGCGTGTGCGGTATGGATACGAGGGCTGAGACGGGCCCGAGTCAGAGAGCAGTGGGGGTCGAGAAAAGCGAGGAGGCCGGTGGTGATGGTGGTGATGGTGGTGGTGGTGGTGATGGTGGTGCGGTTGCGAGTCGTGCAGCAGGCGTTCTCGCTCGCGTTCAGGCGGAGCGGGAGGGGAAGAAGTGGAGCCACGTAGATAGACGGCATGCTGTGGGGAGGCGAGGAGGACGGCGCTGGAGGCAGACGGCTGGTGGAGTTCAGCCTCCCGTTGCTGGGCGATCTGTGCTGACAGGAAGGGCGAACTGTATCCGAGTACTGGCGCGCGCGGTCGCCCTGGCGTCATCTCTGGTGCCGCGGATTCAAATTCTGGGCTTTCGGAAGGTGTGAGCAGACTATCGTACGAAAGACTGCCGTTCCGATGAGCCGGTGGTGGCGTCTGATTGGCTAAGCTTTTGTAGCTGGTGGAGGTGGTAGCCTCAGATGGTGGGGCATTGTGGGAAGAGCGAACACTGGAGGACCGTGAGGCCCCTCCGGCGAGCACCGTAGGATCAGAGAAGGAGGGGTACGAGCGCCCTCCTAGAGAGTATCCTGGGATCCCTGAGGATGGAGGTCCTCCAGGGCCCCCACCTGTTCGCTCGGCCCCGCTTCGCTCCGCTCCGCCCACCTCACACCCATCCAGACTGGGCTCAGAGCGATAGCCTGACTGCTGACTGGACTGGAGGAGAGAGGAAGAGGACTCTTTAAGACTGTCCCCACGACTCATCTACAGAGAGAGCGAGAGAGAGAGACAGGAAGCAGAAGAGTTTATAAAGTTACAAAAGAAATCTGAAAGCCAAATTCAAATGGGAGATAAAGGACAAACTCCATTATAGGATCACGTGGGCCACTGGGGACAGATGATTTGGTAAAGTGTATTCTATAGCTATAATAAAGAGCCAGCATTACAGAAAAGCGAGGCTAAGCTTGGAAAGCAGGGAACACTGAAGAATTGGCAACGAACTTGGAAGCACTAAGGGCAGAGCACTGTACACGTCATTTTTGCCTTTTGTCTCAACAAGGCACACCACATGAGCAACCATAAAAAGTCAAAAGACCACAACATCTACTGGGAGGTGAATAAGCCCTAAGGCCTCATGTATAAAAGATACAAGCAAATTTGACATTTACCCTGTTGTTGTTTTTTATTTTAGACCTGAGTGACTGGATATTTTGTATCTATTTAACTCGCAGGTATATTATTTCACTAGGGTTCTGTACCGAAACTCGGTGCCAATAGGGAACCGGTTCTGACGTAAACGGTAGTAACCAGACTGAATTAGAATGAACATTTCGGTGCCTGATTTGAATGCCTGAGTCTGTGGCATGAGGCGCACACACGCAGTCTCTCGCTGTCTCCCTCTCCGACGTACGCGCACTATACGGAAGCTTGTCGGCAGCGCGAGATATTTAGCAGCGAACGCAGCCTCTCGTTCCCTATTCAGAGAACGTGGGTTACACAGAGACGTTCTCTTTCATATGTTTACTCAAAGCTGCGTATAAGACGCAGTGGGAACGAAATATCAAACTGGCTAAGAGCTTAACTAGTAAATGACAAGATAACTTAGCCTACATGACTAGTTAAAGCAGACAAAACATGGAAACCTGTAGCCATGTCGATATTATATTACCCTGGTAGTAATCTCTATTAATCTCCAGGATAATTACATTGTTTAATATAATATTATTTTATTTGATATTATGTAAATATGAACTTTTATTTTTTATTTTAAATTTTATGTTGGTTAGGGTTGGGAACCGAGAACCGGTTCTTTTCCAGAACCGGTTGTGTTTTTGAAAAAATACCGGAACCGTGCAAAATTCCTAAGTTTCGGTTCCGAAAACGGTTCTGATGCCGATGCGATATCATCATGTGGGCGAAGTGCTGGGAGTAGAAGACGCCGTCTTATTCCTAAATGACAAAAACTTCACCACTGAAGTTGCGATTTGCTCTCACACGCGCTGCATTTGTCACACACAGACACAGGCACGCTGCGCGCGCCGACCGCCGAGTCACTCTCTAGCCTACATTCAAATCTGTTTGCGCTGAGATAGAGAGAGCAGTTGTCGATATGAAACTGCTTTACAATCACACAGTCTCAATATTTATTTGTTTCACATATTCAAATGATTTCCGTTACAGAATTAGCTAGTGAGATTATAGTTTGAGTAAACATTGACGGTAGTGGTCAAAACAGATGCAGTCCGTATATTTTTTGTGTTCAGAATTTACAAAATATATACAATGAGCGAGTGCATCATAATGTTTTTTTTTCAAACCGTGTTTTTGTCTTATCTTGAATCACTACGTAAAGCCTGTAATAAGCGTTAATACTCGGACTTCTTTAGACTGGCCGGCGGATCGCAGCTGCTGCGGAGTAGCCCAATGCCTGCGTGACTCGTCATGGACATAAACAGAGAGAAGTAGCTCCGGCAACAATGTTCTTCCGCAAGACGCATGCAGTTCTGTTTATTAACTGCTAGAGCGCCGATTTATCCAGTAATGAAATAAGTAAAGTCTTTATGAATCAATCATTCAAACCGTTTAAAAAAATAATCTGTTCTACACACATATGTGTGTTAAAGCATATACTATTCCTTCTGAGAGGGTATTCTTCACTGTTGGAGATACAATAAAGGAGAGGTCTAAATTATTATAGAGAATGCATTATTTTTTAATTTCCTTTATATATAATTTTTTTTTGTTGTTGCAAAGATTGCTTAATAATATTTTGAGTTTGTTTACATTACCAGTCTGTTAAACTAATTTGTCATGTACTATAAGAAATAAACACAAAAAGGATTGTGGATTTTTCTCTTACTAATATTTTTAATTGAATGGGAACCGGAACCGGAACCGGAATCGTTTGGCGGAACCGGAATCGGAACCGGAACCGGAAAATTTCTCACGATTCCCAACCCTAATGTTGGTTTATTTATTATTACCATATGTTACTTGTATTTATATTCTAAGTTAATATTGTGTCCAGTTTGGCCCTGTAAATAAAGGGGTATTATTATTTTTTTTGACAAAGTGTGTGCGGTTTCGTTTCAAGAACCGTTTAGGCATCGGAACCGTTTAAAAAATACAGAGTAGGTACTGGTATCAGATAAAACCCAACCGATACCCAACCCTATATTTCACAGAACATAATATAGTTCTGCACATGAATTTCAAGTTTGTTTTACTACTAAATGCTCAACCAAAATGGAACCATTTAAACGAGTAGTTAAACTTTAAAAAACTTTTGCTGATAATTTACTCACCCCGATGTCATCCAAGATATCCATGTCTTTCTTTCTTCAGTCAAAAAGAAATTCAAAGGGCTTTAAACGATTTCAGACAATGAATAAGGGTCTTATCAAGCGAAACGATCGATCATTTAATAATAAAAAAAAGTTTACGTTTTATAAGCTCAAATGGTCGCCTTGCTCTGTTCTGTGATTCGCGTTCGTGACTCTCCTGTTCGAACTCGTTGATCAAAATGAACAAAATTTTCAACTCGTTCATTTCGTTCATTGACTGAACCAAATGACACGAAAATAGATTCCTTCATTTTGATGAACGAGTTCGAACAGGAGAGTCACGAACGCGCATTGCAGAACAGAGCAAGGTGACCATTTGAGCTTATAAAACTTATGTTATTTTTTTTAAATGAGCGATCGTTTCGCTTGATAAGACCCTTATTCGTCGTCTGAAATTCTTTAAAGCCCTTTGAACGGTTTGCAGTTTGCAATGAAACTGTCTTTTGGACCTTGAACCATTCGGTTACCACTGAAGTCCATTATTTGGAGGAAAACCCTGGAATGTTTTCATCAAAAACCTTAATTTCTTTTCGACTGAAGTAAGAATGACTAAGAAATACTATTTTATAAATCTAAACTATGTGCACACAAACTTTTAGAATGGAATGAAAGCTCACAGTAAATGTTTATTCATGAGGCCTCTGGTCTTTCAGAATCAATTAAATTCACATTACGTAGTGTGTTTCTTATCTAATCTATCTTAATCCAGCACCACAGTGCCAAAATTGACACACCCTCAGAGCTAAAACTAGCAAAACGTTTTGCACAGCCACTCTGTGAGGACAGATGGGTTGCTTGTGTTGGGTTTATTAACACTACTTGAGTTTAATCACACAAATGGGACAGATTACATTTATTATTTTGTTTCAGAAAGGCAATATTTGACTGTGCCAAATGTTATGTATATGCTGTGGGCTTTTGAGAAAGTAGTATCTTTAGTATCTTTATATAATATAACCCTAGAGACATGAAATCCCTACAATGATGATAAACTAAATAGTTGGAGAATCAAAATACAATTACAATTAAATAGAAAATTAGCAAGATTAACAAGCTGCATTTATAAAATTAATTGATGTGTACAAAAAGACAAGTATTAGAGAAAGGAGAGGAACATTAACAATAACACACACACACACACACACGGACACACACAAACAATGAAGTACAGTGTAAACTTACTGATACTGTTCAACTGAAAGCCACTGAGTCAACCAAATTGAAGGGGAAAAAACAATATAATGGATTGAATAAAATGTTAGAGGAAAAAGAAAGGTTTAAAATATGCGGTAAAATGAAAATAATAACGGTCATGCAAAAGAATGTGAATGACGTTGCATCAACAAATTAAATGCAGTGAATCACCACCACCACCACAGACTGTGAATGATTAAATTTGGATAAACAATACATACATCCACACGGAAAAGTTACCTGGTTGGCATATGCATGTGTAAGAGCTGTGTGGTTCTTTCCCGGACTGCTGTAGGTGGGTCTGTACTTGAACATGGTGGGGGTGGGCGGAGCTTTATTCAACAGACTGCTCTCTGCAAACAAAAAAGTAAAAAAAAAGTCCATGAGAAATCAGATTCAGAGTTTTAAACACATTTTAGGACACATTAAGCAGATTAAACCAGCAGGCAATTGCATTCTTATAAACCATTCCAAAAATTAATTCTTTATTCCTAAATGGCTAAATATGATCACAATTCAGCATGAAAATACAATTATGACATCATTGCTGTTACATTTTGAAACCTTGAATGAACACTATTGACTGCTAGTCAAATAGTCATTTTGAAAATTGTAATCAGAGGTTAAAAGAATTAGCTAAAAGAGTTTAATAAATAAGGCAGAAAAGATAAATGTTAATGATAATGAATCAGAATCATGCTGGTTGGCTCTAACCCTCAGGGTGTCCGCCAGGTCCTCGTGACAGGCCAGGGTATCTGAGCTCTGGTTTAGGTGGAGGCGGAGGCTCTGCGTCAGCAGATTGACTTTCCATCATCTCCAAACTGCTCTTAGACTGAAATATTGCAAGAGAAGGGATAAAGCACCAGTGGCAGTGGTTAATTAAATAAAAGAAACAGACACAACAGCAGACAACACACTAAATGTAGAAACAAGGACTCAGATACAGCATCCAAACATTGGAATTAAGGAAAGAGTTGTGCTTCTAATGGTTGAGGTTATATCTAAATCTAATAGAAGACAAATGGAAATGTAGCCAATGTAGTCTTCAATGCTTTTCATCATGCTGAAGAAAAAGGTTCAAGTCAAGATTAGGGGGAGTATTAGAATACAAAGTCTTCTATGAACGACGTCACTTTTTAGTTTGAGGCCATTGATTTGGCACTAGGGTAAGATTGATACAGAATTCTTGGGACAATATCACCAACTTGACTAGATTTAAAAAATATATATATTAGCAGTAGTGATGGTCGCGTAATATTCAGTGAATCCCAAACATTTATGCTTCAAAGTTGCATTGCCTGAACTGCCAAACTGAGCACTGTACTGGTCAGGTAACGAAATTTGATAAATTATATATTGTAAATATTTTGGTACTAAGGTACTTGCTTTGTATTGGTATACCATGCAATCCTACTTGGTATAGTTCAATACAGTATGTTGCTGGGTGTAGAAACATGAACACACTTTAGTCTCTGGACCATTTGTCGTGCCAACTCTCTATGAGTTACTAGTTGCAGCAGAGACATCTCCAAAAGATTCAGCAACCTTATCAGAGATATAAAACCAGGACTTCTGAAAAGTGATTGCACATCTCTTTTAATTGGTTACTTCCGTTTCTGCACAGTAGATCAAATTTATCAAGCAGCTCTCTCTGCCACACTGTACCTTCGTTCTCCCACTTGCTATCAGAGCTTACAACTCAGCAAGCTACAAGTTGAGCCTCTCATTTTAGAAATCATTAATGCAGAAATCCATCTACTGCCAAAAATCGAACACATTTTCCTCATAACTGCAGGTTACAATGTTAAAAAATGTCAGAACCCTGTAATAAAGTGCTCCGAACAGATAGAAAGTTCCTGTAGTTCTTCAAGAACATAAATCAAAAGACATTTCAGAACACAACCTTTCATTAAATGAACAAGAAATTATTTTTGACGGTTTAAAAGCCGGTCTACATATCAGCCATATTATTGCAAGCCTGTCTGTGTCAGCTGTCCTCAATCACAAGGTAAATGGCACAAACAGATATTTTTTAGCTTCATCTGCCAGAGAGCGGGAATTGGAGCCAGTTGCTTGCAAAATAGTCTAGTGCACTCTCTGACCTAGGGATTTGAGCAGCGACAGGAACATCTGCATCTAAAAAGGCAGTGGTAATGCTCATGGCCAAATATTCCTGAGTCATTTAGAACAATATGTGATTCTGTTTGACCAATTTGATAGAAAGAACAAATCTGTGGTTCTGTGGGAGGAAAACGTTTAACGTGTAATTAAACGTGTTGCGGTCATATTCTGGGCTCATCTGCTTTTCTGTAGGCTGTATAGTATGCTTTATTAATAAGGTGTGTACAGAATTTGATCTTTAAACATAACTGTCTTAGGACATTAAGCCGTTAAAACGCTTTTCACGTTAAGCATTTTAGAATGTATTTTATCCAATTTAAAAAGACTCAAATGGACACAGGCAGAGTGAAAGACTGGATTTTGTTTCTCGATCAGGTATGGGTACAAGTGACAAAAAATTTCAGCCGGTTCTAATTTGGATGCTGTAAACATGTTTAGCTAAAAAAGACTGCCGCTCCAGTTTATTGTTGTTTCTGCAGTAAAAAAGACAAAGTTGACAATTCTGGCTATACTTTCGTCATTTTAATTTTATTTATTGATCACCCAGGGTTATCCAGTTTAACTATTTGTGGCTTGTGTTTTGAATATATGTTCCCCTGCACTTTTGCACACATTTGTTCTGTATCTTGTGACTTGATTCTGACTTATTTCGTTTTGCACTTTTATTTATTAGAAAGGTAGGCTATATTCTGGACAAAATTAATTCTGTAATTTAGTTGTTTATTTTTTCAGTGCATCAATGTGGCGCTTTACTCGCACAGGCAATTAAGCCGATTTAATTGATTTGCATGTGAAATGCAAATCCTGTCTGCAGTGTGGCCTTTCTGCAGTTATTTATGTTATTTCTTAGTTTTATTGATCCGAAATGTTTTTATACATTTTCTTCTATATCTTTGTGTGATGTCATGTACATCGCAGCTTTAAAATGTTAAAGACACACACTACAAAGACTCATTTATATGCAAAAACCATATCAAAAGGGAATTTTGAGAATCCGATGACCCCTTTAAGGTTGGAGAGAAGCAGACAGAGAAGAAAAAGAAGTAAACTGGGATTATTTCCTTACCCGGTGTAGGTCTCCATGGATTCCGTTGTCGAGCACCTTGGCTGCCAGTTGAGCCTCTGTAAGTTGCGGTCGGAGGAAAGGAGGCTGAACAGACACTGTCTGAGCCTTCTTCTTTCTACCCAGATATCTGAATACAACACTGAGTTAGAACCTCAATCAGAAAATACAACACAGCTCAAAGTTAAGAATGTAGTTGAAGACATACCTGGGTGCCTGTGAGCTGCACAGAACATGCGAGACGTTCCTGAAGCAGCCATTTGTGAAGGGGTTCACACCTCCCCTGAACTTCCCCGTCACCTACAAACAAGGAGTTGACCATTAAACAATAACCTTAAAAGGTTACTTTATCAGTTAAAATTTGGCACTAGAGAAAAATAGTGAGACAATAAGATACAAAAGTGTGCACGTGTGGTCCACACAAAGAGGAGGAGAGGTGGGCAGAAAGAAAGCAGCAAAATGATTTGGGAAGAGGATTATGATGAGATTACAATCTAAAGGAGGGCTGGGAGAAGGTCATATTTTGTAGGATTATAAAACTGCTTAATATGGATTTTAATCCCAGTTCACCACCACCAACATGATTATTGACAGGAAAACAAAAACAAACAAGGCAGCATAAGATTATGATTGCACATGTCACAACCTGCTCATTGGTGGTCCTGCCTCTTGCCACCAGAACGACATGGAAACCAGTGAGGCCTGCTACTGGAATGAAGAAAAGTCCGGCGACACACATGACAGCCATACTGATAAAAAGTCAAGGAAGTAAAAGCACAATACAAATTGTATCAAGTAAAGCTTTCAATCTAAAGACACTGCACAGAGTGAGATTACTATGCTGAATTCTTCCTCAAATGTTTGCCGTGAGCACATAAAAAAGGCACATAATTAGGGCTGCAACTAACGATTATTTTCGATAATCGATTAATCGGACGACTATTTTTTCCGATTAATCGAACGATTATTTTTCTGATTAATCGGATAAAAAATTCTGTTTGCTTTTTGGTTTATTATAACTAAATAAAACCCTAAATCAGGGTTGTGGCGAGCAGGACAAGGCAGAGTCAAACCACTGGCCTCGCGGCGTTCTCCCACATGCCTCGGCCTCGTCCTGCTCGCCACAAGGGTCTTTATGTGTAAAAGTGTCCTTTAAAAAGTGCAAAAGCCACAAATTGAGTTTTAATAATATCAATATTTGCATTGTTTTTAATGCAAAATGCTGATGACAAGTTGACAACCACGATTAATGTAAAAATTATATATATATATATATATATATCCAACATATTATGTTTTAACATAATTTTTGTTGAAACAAATTTATACATTAACAAATTTACACATTCAGATGTGAAGATATAAACTAAAAACATCTCAAATTTATAATTCATTTAATTTTTATTTAAAATTAATTTAATTATAAGGATAAATTGATCAAATAAATACAGAAAGACTGAAAACATGCGTTTGAACATAGAGCCACAGTAAATCGCGTTTGAAAAACAATTCAAACTTAAGACAAATGCTATAAAAAGAGAATGAAATAGAGGTAATTTATGCATCAATCTAACACGCTTGATTAAAAGGACAGGAAAAATTATGCATTAGTGCAAAAGCATTCACTGAAAACCACTAAGTACAGTGACTAAAAAACAATATTTTACTGCTGCTGTTATTAACTGCCTTTATATTTAGTGCTTCACATTATAAACATTGTTTTAATTTAACCTATTTCTGCGGTGGCGCTATTTTAATCCATCACTTATGTTGCGAGAGTGAACTGATTGCCCAACCTGATGCTCGAAACAAAATACAGACATCCCAAGTCTCCTGGAAGTTCCAGAAGTCTCCCGCATATTGATAGCGGCTCCTTGATGCCCGCAAATTGGTTAAAACTCACAGAATCAAGAGCGAGCTTGCGAGACAGACGATAATGTGCTCCAAACCGTCCGTGTAGCGCGCATGTGAAGGGCAGAGTGGCGAGGGATAGAGACCTTGCGTGTGTGTGCCTGTGTGCCTCATGAAGCGCATGTTAAACAGAGAGCATCATGATTGGCCTGTTTCAACCAATCACCAGTAAACAATATCTGTGACGAAATCAGACCAACTCATCGATAATGACATTTTTTTCATAATCGATTTGATCAATTAGTTGTTGCAGCCCTAAAATAAAAATAAAAAATATTTACGTGGATTTAAAAGGATACGTGACAGCCGAATGCACTCTATCCAGCTGCTGGGTGTGGTAGAGAATGAAGAGCAGGCCGAAGCCAAACACGCCCATTATGTGAGCCGTCAAAGAGATGAGAAACAGGAAAAAGTAACGGTAGTTCCTCCGGCCGATACAGTTGTTAACCCATGGACAGTGATGATCAAAATCCTGTAGGGGGAGAGATAGATAGTGAGAGAGAGAGAAGCTTAAGGGTGTCCAAAGCACACACACTTCTCTACTTAATTAACACAAATCGATAGGTTTATTCAGCAAAGCATTAGTCAGAGCAAGAGTGGACAGACTGATTAATGACTAATAATGATTGCCCTATAAAGAAAAGAAAAAAGAAAAAAACAAGACCATAAAAATAAATGCAAAGATGTCACATTTTTATGTAAATGGAATTGCTATGTATTGTAATGTTTTGTTTATTTAAGGCTCACATTGAGGTCACAGCTTAACACAGTCACTAGAATAAGGTGTGTGTACCTCTACACAGTTGTCACACACGGAGCAGTGTGAGCAACGTGGGGGTCTGTAGAAACGGCATGTGGAGCACCACTTCATCCGTACTTGAATGCCTCGAATCTCCACAGTCTTATAGAGAGGAGCCCGGAAATCATCCTCTTTATCTTCATCCTCCTCAGCTACAACACACAGACAGACACACACAGTGTTTTACATTCCTTCCACAATGGATAAAATTAAAGCAGGAAGTGAATATAATATAAATGTAAAGTCAACATGTAATCAAATCACCCTGTTTACTTTGACACTACTGTTTTCCTTACCCGTTGTGTATTGTGGACTGTGTATGTTACTTCAAACAAATATATTTTTAATACAATGTAATGAAATGGAACAACTTTTTTTTTTTCAGAGAGACATCACATAGGCCACAGAGGCAGAGGAAATAACCAAAAGCCAAATTAGCTTTAGGTTTACTTTTTTACATTGTTGAATAAAAGGCCCTGTTTACACTTGTATTAAGATACATTTTGGTCAATGGGATCAAAAGCGGACGAAAGAGACACATACCAGCAGGCGGAGAGTAGGCGGTGTTTTACAGCTTCTAGAATGCATTCGACCACATGAGCATATACACTATGAAAGCAATCCGTTCGAATGTGCTTTCGACTACTGGAAGTGATCGAAAATGGACAAGCTCAAAACTTTTAACCCTAAAACCATATTGTGGACAAATGTGGGCAAAATAGTTTTGATTTATTTTAAAAAAAAAATACTTCCCTTGATCTGAGCAGTACAAGACTTGGCTACGTTTCCTAAGTTTGCCTCCTGAACACACACAATTGTTTTTGACTCAATTCTACAATGTTAAGTGGGTGAAAAAAACCTCCTTAATCTTGTATTTGGGTCAAAAATGGGCACTCATAGAAATGAATGGGAAAAACTGTAATTTAGAGCATTCTAAAATAAGCCAAAATAAGACACCAGGTGACAGCAAAGTCACTTCATCTTTAGGTTTTAGCTCTAAGAACTTAATGGAATTTTAATGTAGTTAAAAAAAAAGAAAAAAGAAAATAAGCACAATTTACGTATGAAAATATGGTACTTTTTTAAGTAAATAAATTCAAAAATACCCCCAAAATTAAAAAAAAACACCATAAATGCCATAAATGGATAGACAAAACTTTATCGAAGACAGTGATATAACATTTATAATAAATAAAAATTAGGATCACACCTGAGTCCTCTGTGCCCACATTTGTCCACACTTACAGGATTAAGGGCTATAAAGTGAATATGGTTTGAGGGCTACACCCCGTTTACTTCTATATTTAGCATCATCCAATCTGAATACTAGGTGTAAACAGGGCCTACGAATATTAGGATAGTAAAATGCACTTGGTATGTTTTCACATGAACTTTATGATAGTTTTATTATAGTATCTTTATATTTTATAACAGTATTCATCAATATTTCAAAATTAGCCTTTAGTTTTAAATTGTCATTTTTATTAGTTTTGTGCATATTTAGAATTAGAATTTATTTTCATTTCAGTTTCAGTAATTTTACTATTTCATCTTCAAATAATTTTATTTCAGTTAGTTTCCAAGACAACATAATTTTTCATCTAATGTTTATATTTCATTTCAAGTTACTATACTTTTAGCTACTAACACTGCTTTAAGGTTGTTTTAGCGGAAGCTTAGTACACCAAGGTCAGTTTATTAAAAACAGAATTAAAAAGTGCAGATTTTATAAGGGCAAAAAATACTCCAATTTAGTTAAATTCCTGTATTATCTGCTCTCAAACAGTCTGGTTTGTTTTTCCAATAAGGCAGCCACTAAGCTCAGATCCTACTACAGCTGTAATACTTAAGCACATAGACACATCATACTGTTTCAGTACCTCTGGGGAAGATGCCAGGATCCATAAAGGTGGCCATACAGAAGTTGGCCAGAACAAACAGAAACATAATGCCATTGTATATCGGCACAGCAACAGAAAACTGCTCGGAAAGCCAAGGGCACCTGAAAGAAAGAAAGGTATTAATCGGACATAGGATGAGACAAATCATACACATCATGTTTGCTTCTATGAAGGCACATACGGATCAACTACGATCCCTATACTTGACACTGCACGTCCTGCAATGCGACTTTCCTAGATGTGCACATCGCATTATTGATGCTTAAACTATATATCGTACAGGCCTATTGTCAACCTCATAATTCTGCTCATTCTCAGGCTATAGAGAATCGTTACAGTGACAGGATTTCGCGAGTAGCCTATAAACAGTGTTTCATGTGCTGCTGTAAATGACAGAATTAGACATTAACTGTGCTCCTTTAGCTCTTTATTAATAACATTTTTATTGACATTAAAGTGAAATTACTAAACTGAAATATAGGAACCTGATACAAATGCTAATTTAAAAAGAAAAAATATCAGACACACTTAGGTTTTTGCATTTGACGTCTTCATATTGTACATTTTCTCTTAATTTAAGGACTGTTTTAGAAGCATATTTTACTACTATACAAACTACAGTATATAGTCAAATGCAGATAACAACACAATTTCACAAAGTTACGATGACCAGAAAACCTGCAATGTAGGAAGATAAAAAAAATGGAGAATGGAGAAATGAAAGAAAAAATTGAGGAAGGTAGTACTTCATGACCAGTGTTGGGAGTAACACATTACAAAAGTAATACATTACAGTAACATATTACTTTTTGCTGTAACGCAGTAGTGTAAGGCATTACTAATCAATTTTCAGTAATATTTTACTCGTTACATGTTCAGTGAGGCTTGTATTACAGGCAACAGACTATGTGAAAGTTTTAAAGCAGTCTTTTAGTGCCAGTTCAGAGCGGTCGCATCTGTTTTTTCCTCATAAATGCGAACACGAAAACTAAAATAAAATGAATATTTTAAGTTCTATGGAGACTGGAGAGCCAACCCCTCCTCATCCGATTTGCGCAGTGTAATTAACAGAATTACAAAAAATATATTTTGCCTCCTATTTTTTTGTCACGCATGAATGTGTGTCTTTTCCCTAATATTAAAAATAAAACAGACTGATATTTGTCTACTGTCTGGTGTCCTTTAAGGAAGTAGCCTATATACGTTTCAATACATTTTCTGAGAATTTTTATTTCAAGTTTTGACTGCAAATGTCATGTCCATAATGCTGGACCCAATTTTAAATAATTTATCCTCAACTAGTTTTGTGGTGTAGGTCTACGTATTTTATAATGATAACTTGAAATAATACTAATAGCCTAATTTTAAGATAAGGTAGCATTGGATCTGGACGGTAAGGAGAATAACGCTGGGAGTTGGAAGAGGTGTGTCGCGATTCTGTAGGTTCGTGGATCTGAGTCGTGTGGCGAATCGCGATTTCGGTTTCATATTGCATATCGTTACAGCCCCAAAGTAAAGTTCTACTTAGTTATTTTGGTGAAAGTAACTCAAAAGTAATACATGACTAATGTAACGCATTACAATTCTGAGACAGTAATATTGTAAGGTAATGAATTACTTTTAAATAACAGTAACAAGTAATACCTAATGTATTACAGTTTGGAAGTAACTTGCACAACACTGTTCATGACAGATGTTGGCCTATTTTCATTGCTTAATCTGAGGGGTTGGTGAGAAAAGAGGGATAAGAAGGGGCAAATGACAAGAATGAACAGACGTGACACAGCATCTGACTCAAGCCCCCCATATTTACTCTTGTGTGCCAACTGGAAGGACTGTATTTTGGCATGATGACCGTTTTGTTATATTCACAGGTCACGACTTACAAAATCCAGAGCACAAGAAGTCAACAGGAAGTTAATGTGATTTCTCAACAGCTCTAACTGACTTAAATGATGATACTTTATAAACCTTACCAGTTTGTGCGCACAAGCAATTCTGCGCAACATTAAGGAGCTTATCATGTGAGATTTACATAAACATCAAACTCATGTCTATTACAGCTTCCCAAGGTCAATCTATTAACTCCTTGCAGAAAGACTTATGCAAGGGTTTTGCTGTAAATAAAAACTACATAGGTCTGATGCATGCCTGCTCTGCTATTTTCTTGTAACTTTGTACACTAAATTGTAAGTCACATTGGTAGGAAGTTATGTGACTCCTAAAACCAGAAATGCTGTATTAGATTTGTTAACTATGTGCTTTCCAAATGTATCAATCATGAGTAGAAAAAATATTTGATGTTGCCTCATCTAAGACATGACCTAGGGTGTTAACTTAAGACTCCAAAAATTTAGATTAAATATAGATAGATTATTAAGCAAAAAAGCCGTTAAACACAGTACAGCAGCCAAGGTAAAATGTGATATTCTAAGCAGTGTGAAAAATCCTTCTGACATTCAAGACAGCCCGCTGTATTAAACATTAACATATTCTGAACTGAGGATATTATTAGATGTGCATTCTTTAAAAGCAGGCCGTCAACAATAATAATAAAAAAAGAAAGAAATGAGCCACATCTGAGAATGAAATAGTCTCAGTATTAAAATAACTGGAGTAATGCTAAAAAGTGACAGCAGTGACATTCACTATACTGCTACAACACTTGCAACATTGTCATCATCAGACAACAAGAATTTGCAATTTTCTCATGTAATTTTATGGAACTTCTGTTCCGAGTAGATTTAGATGTACAGAAAGAAACTAACCATATAGTGTAATGTTGCTGTTGGTTAGCAGTGATAAAAGATATCCAAGAAACCAATAGCTACATGGTATTTAGTATTTCATGTTATCAAAAGAAACATAACTTTTCAACATCAAAATATCTTTATACAACATTTTTTATCTTTATACAACATTTTTCAAAAAGCAGAACTGTTGTGCTTCTTCGAGCATGCAAATTTGGTTCAGTCCGTAGATTTGAATTTGAATTAATACAATACTGCATGGCTTTGTGATACTACTTGGTTTCATGATAAATCAGCTGGTGGTACTTTAAGATGCGTTTATGGTATTGTGTCAACCTTAGCACAAAAAAAAAAGTGAACTAGAAAAGATTACTTCCACTACACTACTTTTCCATTTTTTTTAATGTGCTGTGTTAGCATCTTTTACGGCTCAAAGAACACCAACATTCGTTCAAACTAATGTTACCTCATTTAAGTTTTGATTCGGGTCACAGACATACTCCTAGAGTAACGCATATGCAAACTAACAATACCAAACATTTACAAAAATTTATTTCATTTATTAACATTATTTCACTCTCAAATGGTTGTATGACGCCTGAAATGAATAATGTAAAAACATTTGACTATTTCTACCTCAATACCACGGTTACACTTGGCATTACTACATTAAATCAATGGTGAAAGTTGGTGATTTGAGGACTGGAAAAGCTATAAATTCAATAATGAGAAAGTTTTTCCTGGTTTCCACATTAGCGCTACTTGATCTGATATGGTTTGACATTTCTGCTCTGAATTTGAATGCTTCTCACAAGACTTACAGAGATGTTATTAATTCGGCAGCTAATTTAAATGCTTTCTCATTGGATCTCCCAGCGTTGTGTAGTAACCTTATCAGGTGATCAAAGATAGTCCAACCTATTACAAACCTATTTGTGAGCTCGAGCTGCGCTGTCTATTATTGCTCCGAACTGATAAACGGTCCATGCTGCACAGCTCAGAAGAGAGAACGGTTTCGTTCTGCTTTTGTTTTCTTTGCCGATTGAGGTTTCTCATATGCAACAGAAACAGCAGCTCCTATCAGTTGTGCAAAATTTAGTTGCACCGACTGGAAAAAAGGTCACAAAATGCAAGCATTTGGTCACGGTCAGCAGTCCAGGGAATGATAGAATATCGTTAACTGCTCCAGTGAAGATCAGTCAAGTTAAAAAGAAATTGGGAATTATGAGCGGGTTCTAGAAAAACACATGGCATTGTTCAATCCATTGTGCAGCAACACACTGTTATTCATCAGGTCCTGTTGACTCATCCATCATAAATGATTGCAACAATAAATGTTAGTGAATGTGTGTGTGTACTCACGTGAAGCAGAAGAAGAGTGTGGTTGATCCAACCAAGAAGGCCGTTGCCGCTGAGACTGGCACGTAGCGACTAGGCCGCAGAGGCCTGGATGGAACGGTGGGCTGGGGTGGGGATGTGGGTCCAGACACGCCCCCACTCATGCTGCCGCTCGGCATCACCCAGGGGGCAGGATGGCAGCACGCCCCGGAAAATTATCCGTTTGGGAGTGTGTTTGTGTTGTTGAGACAGCAAAAATGCAAAGAAAGACTAAGGGAGAAGTCGTTGTCCTTTTAGCAATATAAAAAAGGCCACAAGATGAGCATTGTTTTAACAGTACCATAAAAAAAAGAAATCCTTAAAAGAGAGAATTTGGAAAAAGTTAAAAAATAAATATTTCAAAAAGAAATTTTGGGTTTCAGCAAATTCTTGAATTAAAGTTTATGATGTTTGGACGCTTATAAAATATTAAATGTATAAAGCCAATTACAGAACAAAATTTGCTCAAAATTTCTATATTTTCTCAAGTCTAAATATTACTATTTTGATCATGTAAAAGAATTATTGAAAAAGCAAACTTAAAAGGCTTAGGGAAATGCCAAGAAAAATGACTGGAATATGGGAATTGCTTCTTTTTTTAAAAATCCTCAAATGTCTAACCACTTCGAAGGTTTAAATCTTCAGTAATGCTTAAAAATGTAACAAAAATTTCAGAAAGATTTGGTGGTACTGTATGAAATAAGAGGTAGAGGAGAGTAATGTTTATGAACTTTTCTTTTTGTGATGCTAATAAATATTTTAAATATATATTATTTGAGTTTGATGTTTTGACACCCAGCCCTGTTGTCAATTTAAGGATTTCAAAAGTTGGCAAAATGTTTTCTTCTGCTGTGAATGAGAGTTGAATAGATCACCAAAATATACATAAAAAAATGAAAAGGCGAGAGACAAAGAAAGGTACAAGAGGATGTGTCTCAGTTTTGGGGTAGTTCAGTTTTGAAGGGAGCAACGACAATGAAGAAATCAGACGGCAGTCACAACCTTTAACAGTTTTCCCCCACCGTCCACACTTTCAGAAAATATAAAAATGTCTCTCCTTCATTTCAACCAACGTGTACTACACTGCATCTTAAGAAATGGAGCCCCGTGTGTCTCTGAGTCGAAGCATTGCTGATCCACAGGATAGTTATAAAGAACAGGCCAGTATCTTCAAGTAAACAGGCTCACACCTGCATGGCTGATTAGATCAAATTCTCGCTCTTTGAAGAATGGTCCGGCAAAAACACCTTCCTTGATGGAGCTTGCAGAGACAAAAACAGGTGAGAAGAGCAACACTTCACTCACACACCTCAAATCTCCAGGGAATTGATCCAGGTCAGTAGAGCAATTGTGAAATGAAAATGCTGGAGCGCGGAGGAATCCCAGGATGTACAGGTGCTTATGTGGGGATTGTGGGAGGAGGGGTTCAAAACAATGGACAAGAGTTCAACTTCTCTCTTGGGACAGTTCAGGGACTTCCGTAATCGTGTTTATGTGTGTGTATCAGGCCCAGCTGATATCTATTAGCAGATGAGGAGGCATTACATAAGAATCTCAGGGGGGCGCGGCCTCAAGGGAGTGCCTTGAGCCATGTCGACACCTCCTTTTCTGACTCTGTGGAGTTATCTCCTCTTTCAGAAGACCATATGCACACTCACAATCACATCCAGAGGGTGTGCTGGAGAATGAAAATAAACTCCACCTGAAAAGAACAAAAGAGTGAAAAAATTGATTTGAGAGCGAAAAAAAGACTTGAGCATCAAATTTTAAAAAGACACATTTGGCAAATAATGTGCCTAAGGTTTATTTATAAAATGAGAACATGTCAGTTTATATCATTTATTCTATAAGTTGTGGGTGAAATGTACATGAAAAAGGTTTGGTTAATGTAAAAGTCACAAATATAAAGTGGAAATTAAATAAGATTATCAATTATAAATAATTACATTTTAGTTGTCCTCGTGCTGCACACAAAAACAAACAAACCATGTGATATATACAGTATATAAAAAAACGTAAATTCGTAATTAATTTTGCTTTATGAATTATTTTCTCATTCAATTTATTCCTCGGAAGAAAAGCCCCTGATGGGCCTCATGTATCACCACTGCGTACGCACAAAAACACGGCATACGCCAGCTTTCAGGTTCACGGCCAGGTGTACTAACAGTAAAATTAACGTAAGAATGTGCGTTCCTCCATGCAGACTTCATGCCTGGCATATGTACATTAAATTTGTTGTGATTTTTGTCCGTTGGCCGCTCAAAGAGGCATTGAATAAAGTGTGAAGTGGAATCAAGTGAAGTGGCAATTACACTACGAATTGTTCTATCGCACCACCAGCTGTCAGATATTGCTTATAATTTGTAATTGATAAATTATTTGACACATTATTGTCACATGAGTCTTATTAAAATATTCTATTAATTATGCAATTAATTAAGAACATATATAAAGCATGTGCAAATGGGCTATATGCAAGCATAAGTTCCGCATTTGACGCAAGGATGCTCGTCCATTTCCGGTTGTGGAGATTAAAGCGGAGGAAAACCGAGGAAAACGGGATTATGGCAGAGTCTTCAAAATTTACTGTCCTCCCGTCTTTGAAACAAAACGTACATACGTTTAGATGTAATTTTATATATAGTTATGTTTATTTAATATAATTTTAAAAAAGGAGCATTAACACAACGAGGGGTGTCTGTTTTATCTGTTTTTGTGCCTAACTTTTCTTTAGTATAACCATGGAGTATAAAATTCAATATAAATTCTCGATATTGCATTGGACTCTGCGATCGGCGGAAGTTATCGAGCATACTTACACCTTCACCGGAAATACCGCCGTGCATAGAGCCCATTGATACAACCCGTCTAGCAATGGCAGTGTTGGCTTTATTAGAGGACATTTTCAATGGACGAATCCAGAGAGAACGATTTTTTAGGGACCACAATGATTTTCTGGCCCACGATGATGACTGGCTTATCAGCCGTTTCAGATTTCCAAGGGCTCTACTCTTGAAGCTCTGTGCTGAGTTGGGTCCGAATATTGAAAGAGAGACAGTAAGGAGCCACACATTACCCGTTCCATTACAGGTTCTTACTACACTTGGTTTCCTGTCAACTGGTTCTTTCCAAAGAGAACTGGCAGACCGCTTGGGAATTAGCCAGTCATGTTTGAGCTGTGCAAACGCAGCTGTATGGCACGGGATCATCCGCTTGTATACCAGGTATTTAACGTCTCCATACGATGCAGGTGACCAGCCAAAGAGCAATTTGCAACAATAGCGGGTTTTCCTAATGTGATCTGAGCGATCGACTGCACACATATTGCTATAAAGGCACCATCTGAAGAAACATTTGCATATGCGAATTGGAAACATTTTCATTCAAATAATGTGCAGATTATATGTGATGCACAAATGCGCCTAACAAATATTGTGGCAAGGTGGCCCCATAATTCATATATCCTTACAAACAGCATGGTTGGGATGAGACTCCAAGCTGGCAGGGTGCACAATGGGTGGCTACTTGGTAAGTTATGCATTTAAATGTATGGTCCTATCTAAACGTTAAATTTTTGTGTGTGTAATTATTCAACTGCCCATCAAGAGACAGTGGTTATCCAACTAAAGCCTTGTTCACAGTTCACACTACATGATTTTAAAACGTCAGGCTGAACTGTGCGGTTCACACTACATGACTTGCTCGTTCACACCACACAACACAACGTGATTGATCCACAACAGGAGGTAACTCACTACGCGAGTTGACAACGCACTACATAGAGCAGACTGATCTCATGAAGTAGCGCGTGTATGACACGGCAATTCGTATTTCCATTTTTGGCGTGCTATCAAGATGCATAATCGCCTTTCAGCGTGTTTATGAACACCGTTGACTTAACGTTATATAAATATATGACTTACCTCAACCCCGTCCCTAAACCTAACCGTCACTGGGGTTAATGGCATTTATGACTGTTCCCTTACCATCCTAGGTAAAAAAAAAAGATATGACTTACCTCAACCCCATCCCTAAACTTAACCGTCACTGGGGTTAATGGCATTTATGACTGGAGATTTGACTGCGTGTACAGACACGCGGAATGACGCAGACGTTAATGGCGTAGACATATACGCATACACGCGGATAGCTCAAAATGCATAGAGATAACACGCCACCTGACTCGAAAGTGGCGTATATGTTTACGCAAAAGTCATGATGTCATGTTGCATAGAGATACAACCACGATCGGATGATAAGAGCAAATCATTTATGACTCAATGAGAGCTGTTTCAGTATGTTACGGTCTAAATCCTGAAAATAATCAAATAAATAACGAGTTGACAACAACTGTCACCCAATGATTCTATCTTGTCTACACACCACGTTTTGTCACAAAAAAACGTGCAATAAAACGAACCAGAAATGACGCGAAACAGCACATGCGCCAATACCCAGTGAAGAAGAGAACACAACACGTGAATATGGACGTCAGACAGAAACTAGTCCTGCACACTGTTTGCGCGACGATCTGCTCTGAGAAAAAAAAAATGCAAAAAACTAAGATTTACCTGGTGTCCTCAACCCATGTGTTGCTATGATTGGCTTTACTCATGACATCACGGAGTTTGAGTCGCGCGACAGCTCTGAATATCTAGCAGGGTAGATATTTTTCTGGGCTCTGCGACGCGTCTGCGAGCGCTTTTGCTGCGTTTTTGGCTCTTTCATACTAACAGATTGGCAAGCGTTCATCGTCTGCTAATCCCCCGCGATAACACCCTGACCTGTCGGCGAGCTCAACGATTTGGAAATCGGGCATAAATCGGGCTTAAAATCCTGTAGTGTGAACTTGGCTTAAAGACGTGGCTGTTAACCCCCCTCACCAACCCACAAACAGACGAGAGCGCAGATACAATGATGACCATTCTCACACTCGGTCAGTTGTGGAGCGGGCGATTGGACAGCCGAAATGTCGGTGGCACTGCCTTGACAGGACCGGGGAGATTCTGTTATACCGCCTTGACAAGGTTTGCCCCATCATACTGGCCTGTGGAGTGCTGCACAATGTCACGCACAGGCATGGCATACCCCTTGGTGAGATGGGGGCACCGCCAGATGACCCTGACCCAGGACCAGTATATGTGCAGCACAATCAACAAGCCATTCAGAACTGTCAACGTGTAATTGCGACATTATAAAAGGTACTCAGACACAAAGTTCATTTTTTGACCAATTCCTTTAATGAGATGCTTGTTTCTGTGAGTGCGTCAATGACATTTTTCCAGTGACTGTTAATTTCTCCAATGGCCCTAACAATTTGCTGTTGTGGCTCCAGAACAGCAAGTGTCAAGACGCGGCCAGAAGCATTTGAGACATCGGAGACGCTGGACTGAATGGGCTCTGGCTGCTTGGGTGGTGCGGACCCTGAATGCGTGCCAGTGGACGTTCCTGCAATGTTTTAGTATGAATTCAACGCAAGTCTTTGTACATGAGGCCCCTCATCTGTAGGGTAATCCTCAACCAGTTTCTGTTTGTTAACCAAACAGAAATTTGTTGTAGAGATGACATTACATAAGCTTTCACTAGCAAATGTAATGTTGAAAAAGGTGTCTGGATGCTTTCAAAGCCTCAAGGTTTTGTCTCTGTCTCTGTGTGTTCATTCTGTGCATAATATCATAACTGAACTGTGTGCACCTGTACAGATTGTATTGTCAAGTAAAACCTTTGATGTCATGGGTCTTGATTATCCATAAAACTAAACTTAGTCGGTCTGACAATGACATTGTTAATTTTTAACTACACAATCACAACAGAGATGTGACACTGTAAATGAAGATGGGTGAAAAAAGGAGGAGACGGTAAAAGTAACAGCAGTTAGGTGGTGGTTGACAGATGTCCTCATTAATTAATGAATAAAGGGGTGAAGGTGCAATTCAGAATTGAAATTTAATACCGTAAATAACTCTTCCAGCGAGACACCTGTTACTGCGTCTAATCTTAAAAGGAGTTAAAAATTAAAAATAAGATATCTTGTGATGATTTTTGTTTTTAGGTAGGGCAGGGTGGTATATAGAGTTTGTACGATATATCGATTTATTTTTTAGAAACGATATGGAATGAGGCAATACCGTTTATATCAATACAGTAGTTTGATACAAGCACTTCTGAAAAATAGCAGAGGTTGCAGTGTTAGCTGCTGCAGTGAAAGTAGCTACATAGTACAATTTATCCTAAACATGACACAAGCTTATATTAAGGGATTCAAAATAACTGGTAGCCGAAGATATAGTTAACAAGTTTAAAGCAGCTTGTCCTGTCAGATGCTCTGCCAGATACTGTTGCTGACTGACAGATAAATACTTGCTGTTTAATGCGTTTGAGATGTAGTGCCTTCCTCAGTGTTCAACTTGCATTTCACAAGTATATTCTCTATCTGTAAATGTTAGAAAGTAAAACAAATGTGTCCATTTTACTGTCAGGAGAGGACTAATTGAATCTCCGTTAAAATTCAAGCTTCCGCGAAGGAGAGCCACCGTGCCCATGCACACCAAACAGAGGGAGCACAATTGAATAGTAGCGCAATTCTGACTAAAATAAACATATTGCTAAAATATTTGTTGTTGGAGACAATAAATGTGCCATATGTGGAATTTTAAACCTACAAGTATATTTTTATTTAAGTGATTTTATTATAATGGGTTAATCAAATGCAGGCTAATATAATTAGTTTGTGCTTTTGTTTTTATTTTCATTTACAAAAACAAAATCTTTTTGCACATAATATATTGTATAGTCTATATTACATTATATATTTGTTTCCATATCCTTCAATATCATGTTTGTAGGATATCATTGGGCAGAATGTGAATTTTTTTTAAAATATACAGATTTACAGATTATTAAATGCCTAAATTACCATAACTGAATTTCAGCTCCAGAGGCTTAATTTCGTTAATGAAATCTATTACGAAAAATGTTCGTTGACAACATTATTTTCCCATGACTAAGACGAGGCAATAAGATGACACCAACAACATTACACGATAACTGTGTGACAATATCAACATGCATTATTGTTGATGGAAAGAACGAGACTAAAATTTTTGGTAAAAAATAAAATCGCCCTAAATAACTCTGTTTTTGTTGAATAAAAGGAGACAAAATATATCACAATGTTTTTAACAAGCCACTATAAGCTTTCATGCTTTCAGTTGCTAGATTTCAAGAATTTAAATCCCCCAATCAGAGCTTTTCTGTTAAAAGAATGCGCAGATGATCTGAAAACCGACAAATGAGCCACTTGCACTATATTTGAGATTGTAGTTGCTGAATTAATGCACTTACTTATGCACCTTCTGTGGGGTTTCATTCATGTAATTTGGAATATTGGATTTCTAGGAATTTCACTGAGAAATTTCATTTTTGAGAGAAGTTTCTTGTACATAGGAAGTAGCCTAAGTCCAATTCAGAAAAAAAAAAAATAATATATATATATGCAGATGCAGATGTAAACCTGCTCAGCTAAGTAGTTCAAACCAATTTCAGACAACCTCGTTATCGGTTTAGCTATGCCTGACATTTGGTAACCTGACCCGGGGTTTGGTCTAAAATTGCCATAGCTGTGTAACCCTGCATAAAGTCCAAGGGAAAACACTCCAAAGTATGTCAGTGTGGAGGGTGGGAATCTCTAGGCACCTCACAATTTCATTCGATTACGATTCAGAGGGCTGCGATAGATGCTAAAACTTTCACCGATGCATCATTTTACTAATTTTACTGGTATACTTTCTCTATTGTATTTATTTGTGTTATTGTTATAGTGTGATTATTTGACAGAAGTCCTTTTTTTCCTGAACACAGCACATACCAGAAACAGTGAACCTAAAACCGTGACAAACCAAACCTGTGAGTCATTTAAACCATTACACATCTAAAATATTTGATGACAGCTCAGTGACAATTTGACATTTTATAACATTCAAACAAGTCTTTCACTAGGCTATACCTAAATACAAATATATATAAAATGATGGGTAGCATTTTGTTAGTCATATAATTGATGCACCAATCCTGATGTATTGTTATACCACTAGAAAAGATACATTTGATTAGGACATGGTGTTACAGACAATCTGGCAGTTATTCAACATGCATAGGTCAACATTTGTGACATCAAAATTACAATAATTGTGACAGAATAATAATAATTTCATATAAACCTTGTTTTGTTGCAATGTCATTTTTAGAATATGTATGAGCTGATTTTTGTAAACATGTATGAATGAGAATTCATTTAGATTTGCTCCAAATAGATTTTTCTCTCCTGACACTTTTGGATTTTACAAAACCTAAGAATTAGGTGAAATAAGGCATTGCGGTCTGACACATTTCGAAATGCAACAGCACAAAATCACGCTTGCATAGGGATGGGAATGTTCAATTATGTGAAAGCATGTTTCTGGTCTAAGTCAAACACACAGTGTACATATTCCTCCACTTCATTAATCCCTTTTTATGTGAATTCCCTCTCTTCTCCTCCTCACTGTCCACTAACACAACAGAATGATGAAACCTAAAGCCATGTGGCATTACACTCCCTGCCAACTGAGGCAACTTGCATTTCTTACAATCCAATAAATGCCTGCCAATTTCACATGGTGAGAGTGAAGCAAAGCATCTCTTTGATTCTATAAGGAGAGAGGGAGAGAGAGACATCTGTCACCCTTTTGAACTTTTCTATTTTCCAGTCTTCCCTGACACACCCCTCTGCACTTAAAATGGAAATAAAGATAAACACCAGACCTAAACTGGCAAACCTTTATGCGTAATAGTAGAAAAACAGACAGACTACGGCCAGAAAACATTTGATTTTCACGTGCACAGCTCAAATTCAGCACGTTTTCATTCATACGTGAGTCACTGATTGTATGTGACACGGTTTGTGCACGGTCTGAATTTACAATAGGTGATCTGATGAAGCAGAATGACTCCCGTGTGACTAAAATACAAAACGTGCAGAACTAATAAACATGATCTCATTATGCCAAGGTGGCACGATTAAATAGCTAAAAGGAAATTAAAAAGCAGTGCGGCGTTGTCTTACACACTTTGAGGCGGTGAGTGTATCTTTTTGGGTGTGTTTCGCTGCAGCTGCACTGTTTAGGCCCCGACAAGAATCCGCACGACGCCGATACCGAGCGCGCGGTCAAGGCTTTGGCGTCGCGCGAAGCACAACGGGGCCTCGATCGATTACCTCAGTAAAACCGAATCGAAAATGCCATTTAAAACACACATTCCAGGCTTTAACCTTAACACTGCAGCGACTACATGTCAATATAAAGTCAGTATGTAGTCACACCCTTGAAAACATGACTTATTCTGCTACACGGGGAATGACAGCAAATAACATGCACAGAATAAATTACTCGTGCTTAAGGAAATCAATAAATAAATAACATGGAAGCGTTAGATTGACATTATCCTAACTAGTTGTAGCACAGCTGGGCAGGTCTATTAGCATGACAGCTAGCATTATATAGCTTCTTTTTCAAAACAGTGTTTACGTTGAAATAAATGTAACACCACTGGCGACCTACCTGTCAGTTCATTGGCGTCGCTGCGTTAGAGGATTGGTGTGTGTGACATTGGTTATCCTCTTTAATAGATTCGATGATGGCTTTAATCTCCGTTTCAATCTTTGGGTGGTGGGGTCTTGCCGACGGCTCACTTAGCCAGTTAGCCTGCGTCCAAACTATGAATCTTTTGCCTTTTTTTACACACTCGAGTTATTAAAATCTGGGCGTTCTCGATAAGCGTTTAAATCTATATTCTGTCGCATATGACTTGATAAAGCTCGCGTAGCTTAAAGCTAACGACAGGTTTAACGTATTTTCACCTCGCTCAGCTCAGCGCAGCGGCACGAGCTCCAGTCCACATCCTCGAGCCTCCCAGAACAGTCTGACGTCCCCGCCCTCCTGTGAGCTCATTGGCCGAGAGCTGCTGTCGCTCCATCCGGAGCTACCAATGAGAAGATGCAAGGAAGCGTTTGACGGGACTTGTCAAACTCACTCTTCATGTTGGAATCTCAGGTGTTTGGGTGTTTGTGAAAGAGCGTGACCTATGAGTGTGACGGACACTTGAACAAACGCTGGTGTACAGGGACGTGAGAAGAACAAGCAGTGGTAGGACTTCCAAACGGTTTATGTGTTAATAATTTTAGTAATGAACTGACATACATAAACAGCTTAATGAAGGATAAAAAGTGACACAGTGACATATTAAATACGTGTGTCTGAGAGGGAGGCAGACAGACAAGACGCTTGTGTTGGCCTGAGGATTAAAGGGACAGCAGGAGTTTTACAGATAAGCGTCTCCCCCACCCACTCTAATATCCCCACAAATCTGACCAACATCTGTCACACCACCTCTTGTAGACCAAATAACACAAATCTACTGCTCAGTGAACAAAAACATATTTCACAAGAGTAGCCTGACAGATGCTGGGGTTAGACTGTAATTTACTGGGAAATATACAGGAAAACATCAACTCTCTGACATGCATAGATATGGCCTAAATGACATAAGATATGGTAAAAATAAAGTAGCCAATAGAATACAGTATATATGTCTGGCAATGGAGAATGCACACTATATCCTACATGATGTGAGACCTTTCAAACAAATTCATCATAACAAATGCTGATCTTTCAGTATTCCTGTAAACAGACTCTGAATTTGGGCGTTCATTCAATTTTATTTCATGATCCCCAAGTTGAACAACAAGGCAATCCGTATGTTGACATTCTGGACTCACAGATAAAGAAATTATAAATTCATTATTACTTTCAAAACCAACAAAGGGAACTGAATTCCATGCCATGCGATGAGATATTTACATGCACATCATGAGATGGTAACTCCCATAACCTTTTAAATACTCGACCTAGTTCCATTGCTTAGCAACGGGAAGAAACTCCTGTAACTTCAGTGCCCAACCCGTATCACGACAAGACGTGAAATAATCACGTTGGTCCAATTTGGAAAACGTGTAGATGTCACGGTTTAGTTTAAACTCAGAACCATAAATAGGGCTATACTGCCCTCTTGTGTCAAATTATATTTCTATATTTATTTTTCCAACAAATAAAACTAAACCCGCAATAGATGCAGTGGCTCAGTTGATAAAGCGTTGGGCTTTAATCTAGAAGATCTGAGTTCAATTCCCATAATTGAGTTAAATTGTTGTGATTATATCAAACAAAGTGGCCTAAACAATATTTCTTCAACCCGTTTTTTTACAGTCTATGATCTAGACGCATGACTTAAAGGGTTAGTTCACCCAAAAATGAAAATTAAGTAATTAATTACTCACCCCCATGCTGTACCAACCCCGCAAGACCTTCGTTCGTCTTCGGAACACAAATGAAGATATTTTTGATTAAATTTGAGAGCTGTATAACTACCACATTGGCTAAGGGACTGCCTCTTGACGGCCCAAAAAGTCAATGAAGAAAATGTTTAAATATCCCAAGTGACTACCGTGGCTCAACTATATGTTTATCAAGCGACGCGAATACTTTTTGTGCGAAAAAACAAACAAAAATAACGAGTTTATTCGACTATTTCTTTTCTTCCTTGTAGGCCAGAACGAGACTTCCTTATAGATTTCCACGACGCATGCGCGAGAATTGCGATCTAAGCTGGTGTAAGCTGGTGTGAGCAGATCGCAAATCTCGCGCATGCGTCCATTGCGTCGTGGAAATCTAAGGAATTCTCGTTCTGGCCTACAAGGAAGAAAAGAAATAGTCGAATAAACTCGTTATTTTTGTTTGTTTTTTCGCACAAAAAGTATTCGCGTCGCTTGATAAACATATAGTTGAGCCACGGTAGTCACTTGGGATATTTAAACATTTTCTTCATTGACTTTCTGGGCCGTCAAGAGGCAGTCCCTTAGGAGCCAATGTGGTAGTTTTACAGCTCTCAAATTTAATCAAAAATATCTTCATTTGTGTTCCGAAGACGAACGAAGGTCTTACGGGGTTGGTACAGCATGGGGGTGAGTAATTAATGACTTAATTTTCATTTTTGGGTGAACTAACCCTTTAAACGCAGGCAGACACAGCAACAGTTGTAACTGTCTTGTAGGCAGGTATATTGATCATTAAATCAGAGTTTTGTTGTCTTGAATGATTCATTCAGTCATTTTCATTCATTCATTGATTTATGTCACTTGTTTAAGTAATCTAAAAAAAAAATAAAAATAAAAAATAACCCCGATAAGGGGCCCCCTGGTGGTCAGGGGCCCTAAGCGGCCGCTTAGTTCGCTTATGCCTCGGGCCGGCTCTGTCCTGAGCTAATGTAATGCTAAGGTGAGCACAAGGAACTAGATGAATACTAAAGACAGAATGTAGAATCCAAGTGTGATATATTTTAATAATTGGAAATCCACTGAGGATAATCAAAATTCAGTGACTAGATCGAAATACAGATGACTGATGTTGATCACAGAATATAAAAAAAGCAAATAAAAGGACAAAATTTCACATTGACAAAGAACCTCATGATTTTTAAACAAGACATGAATGAGACTTGATCAAATAGGACAAAATAACAACAAATTGGGGTGCTAATCATCTAGGGCAGGAGCCTGGAAGCCAGCCGAATTCAGTCTGGACTTGATCCATTGTGAAGCAAGTATCCCCAAACCAACGCTGTTTGGACCAATCAACCATAATGTAATCATCTACATCACCAAAGAGTGCTTGGGTTGAATTTGTTTAAAATAAAGAAACAGAGTTGTTCATATTATTTATACATTTATAATATTTATAAATTTGTTACAACAAAACAGTTGTCAGAATTCATACAATTTCAATTAGACCCATTTACACAACACATTCCAAGACATCCATAACCTCGTTTTGTCATTTCATGAAGGAGATTTAGTTTGGTGAAAAAGTTGTCATGTAAAAAGATACACCCTGAAGGAACTTCCTCTTGTTCGGCTAGCCCTCTATGGGCTAGACCAAGGACTTTGGCCCTGGACATCAAGGAGATGTTTGTGTGTGTCCCCACTCATTCAGTGCACTGAAGATACTTTGTAGAAAGGCTTGTTTGTGTGGGGCACACCAAATGGTTCTCATGAACGTCTGCCTCATCCTCTAGATATTTCACCTCTGCGTCGCCATTCAATAATCTACCTGGGCAAATATAGACCCTCTAAAGAATAAACAAATTATGATAGTTCTATCTGTTAATTAAGGTGTTTTACATATTACTTTTTGTCTAAAGGAAGAAATCTTCTTTATGTGCAAGCAGGAGGTAAACTGATCTGTTCATTTGACCTTTCACACTAGGCACATGACATACATTTTAATCAAGACAATTTATTTTTCATTTGAAAGTTGAATATCTTGCCCAAAGCCAATTACAACACTTTTAGAGCTTCCAGAAAGAAGAAAAAAGATGCAGTCACAATTGTGACCAGTGGGATTAAACGTAAATATGTTCAACAACGGTGTGCACAGGTGTGCTATGGGTTTGAGATACGTTTTTGGTGGGTGTGTCAGAACTGCCGTCCAATCAGCAGCAACATGTATATAAAGCACGGAGTATTGAAGTAAAGTTTTCAAGGAAAGTAATTACAAATGTAAATTACATGTTCGATGCAGCTCGGTAGCCTATATGCAACAACTGGATTATTAGGAGACATTATTGTAAAATTAAAGCTGCAAGCAGCGATGGGCGGGCCCTCGCACCTGTAGCACGTCGGGGTCTGAGGCGGCCGCGTTGCATTTTCTGCAGCTCAGCCAGTGCGGCTGTGTATTTACTACGCTGCTTCGTTAAAGGTCACTTCCTGTTGCCAGCAGGTGGCGCTATGACTGTGGGTGAATGTCGGAATGTAGATTTGTTCAGGGCGGGACTCTCGTCAAAGGTGTAAAATTTCATACATATCTGGGCTTTTACAGTCAAGTTACTACAACTTCCTGTTTCAAGGCGAATCATCGACGCCACGGACACGCCCATCGACGAAAACCCGCAGATAGCACAACTTTACATCGTCAATGCCTTTAGAAGGCACAGCAGAAATGTGAAGTCGATCCGACTAAAGCCCTAGGAGGAGTTAGTTAAAGTACGTAATGAGTAAATCATCCAAAAATGGCGGTAAAATTAGAAATGGCCGACTTCCTGTTGAGTTTAAGGCATCGCTCCAGGAGACTTTTCTGTGCGTCTGGACATGGTAGATGTACCACAGAAATTTCTTACATATCGGTCAAACATGCGGCGGGGGCTGCTTTGTTAAAGGCCACTTCCTGTTGCCAGCAGGTGGCGCTATGACTGTGGGTGAATGTCGGCATGTAGATTTGTTCAGGGTGGGACTCTTGTCAAATATGTAAAATTTCGTGCAGATCTGGGCATTTACAGCCAAGTTACTACAACTTCCTGTTTCATGGCGAATCATCAACGCTTCGGACACTCGCACCTGTAGCACGTCGGGGTCTGAGGCGGCCGCGTTGCATTTTCTGCAGCTCAGCCAGTGCGGCTGTGTATTTACTACGCTGCTTCGTTAAAGGTCACTTCCTGTTGCCAGCAGGTGGCGCTATGACTGTGGGTGAATGTCGGAAAATTAGAAATGGCCGACTTCCTGTTGAGTTTAAGGCATCGCTCCAGGAGACTTTTCTGTGCGTCTGGACATGGTAGATGTACCACAGAAATTTCTTACATGTCGGTCAAACATGCGGCGGGGGCTGCTTTGTTAAAGGCCACTTCCTGTTGCCAGCAGGTGGCGCTATGACTGTGGGTGAATGTCGGCATGTAGATTTGTTCAGGGTGGGACTCTTGTCAAATATGTAAAATTTCGTGCAGATCTGGGCATTTACAACCAAGTTACTACAACTTCCTGTTTCATGGCGAATCATCAACGCTTCGGACACGCCCATCGACGAAAATGCGCAGATAGCACAACTT